TCTTGCCACTTTTGCAAAAAATAGCAAAAAAAAATAAAAAAAAACACCCCTTAACTCTTACCCCGCCCAAAATTTTTTTAACGTTTTTTTGAAATTTTAATATTTTTTCAATTTTAAAACAATTTCTAACCCCCTTTCCCCACTCTACCCCTTCCTCCCACTACACTACCCACTCCTACTCTTCTAACCCTAGCCTTGCGTAAAACAGCCCTTTTCCTATACCCTTTACCCTCACCTACCCCCTTTTATCCCCGAACCATATGCTCCGGCCTTTTTTTAATACAACCCTATATGTCCCTGCCCTTTCCAAGCACAACAAACCGTGTGAAAGAGACCAATTTAGGATATGCGTCATTTTGTCACCCTTCCACCTCGCTTCATTCATATTTTATTCAAACTTTGTCGAAATGGTTCTTGGAAAACACAAAAGTTTGCCCTTTTTTCAATTCAAATACTATAATTTCAGTTTTTGTTACCTAATGTAAGGCCTTCCGGACAGTACAAAACCCTAACCTATAATATCCTTTTAAAACTGTCTTACTTTACGCTGGTATTTGTAAGAGTCAAAAACCCTTGCCCAATACCTTGCTTTATAATAAGGACGCGAAAAAGAAAATTGCCTTACCCTACCCTTAAAAAATTTACCCTACCCTCCAAAAAAAATTAACGTGTCTTCCAAAAATGACCCAATCCTAACCTCAATTTTCTACCTTACCTTCAAAAAACTACCCTGCCCTCCAAAACTTGTCTTACCCTCAAAGCAACTACCACGTCATCGAGGAACCGCTCTATCTTACCCTTAACAAACCTAACCTGCCTTTCAAAAACTACCTACTCTACCCTTAAGAAAACTATTCCGCCCTTCAAAAACTGCTTTTAAAAACTACCCAACCCTGCCCTTAAAAAACCCATCTTGCACTCTGAAAAATGCCCTACCCTAGTTTTAAGCAAACTACCCTGCCTTTGAAAAACCGTTTTGCCCTTGAAAAACTGCCCTATCCTAACTATAACAAAACTATCCTGCCCTTCATAAACTTGCCTACCCTACCCTTAAGAAAACTAGCCTGCCCTTTAAAAAATTTACAAAACTGCCCTACCCCACTCTCAAAAAATGCATCCTGTAATCCAAAAACAGCTCTATCGTACCTTACAACACCTACTTACTTATTCTTACTCTACTCTATCCCACCCATCCGCACCCTACTCTCAAGTATACTACCCTACCTTCGAAAGGCTATCCCATTCTATTCTAACATTATCATCCCCAAAAACGCATGTCTAACACGCTGTCTTAATAATTGTCAAAGTTATATGCCAAAATATCTTATCCTTGCATTTTAATTGCTAAAAACCCACGCCCAATACCCTACCCTAACAATATAATTACCAAAAACCCATGCCCAATACCCTATTCTAACATTACAATTGCCAAAAACCCACGCCAAATAATCTACCCTAACATTATAAATCATAATTGCCAAAACCCCCGCCCAATACCCTATCCTAACATTATCATCCTTAAAAACCCATGCCCAATACTCTGCCCTATTAAGCGTTAAACATGCATGCCCAGTCCCCTACTCTAACATCACAATCGTCAAAAACCCACGCCCAATACCCTACCCAAGCATTAAAACTATCAAAAACCCCCACCCAATGTTGTTTTATCTCCAAATTCCCAAGCCGAAAAAGTCTGAGCGAGGAGCTTCGAAACGTTTTTTTTCCGTCGAAACAGCAGGATTTGGGGTGGATTTTAGCAAGCGGAAGCCTTATCTGATTAGTTTTACCTTTCAACATCAAACACATATTGAAATGACATTACAACACCAATAAGAGCATTATCGGGCCGTTAAGCTGATTTTTGAAAAAAAATATTATTTTTTATTTTTTGCTGCTGTAAAAAAGTTCTTGTCATTTTTGTTTTGTAAAGAAAGTTCTTGCCATTTCTTGTTTTGTAAAGAAAGTTCTTGCCATTTTTGTTTTGTAAGGAAAGTTCTTGCCATTTTTGTTTTGTAAGGAAAGTTCTTGCCATTTCTTGTTTTGTATAGAAAGTTCTTGCAATTTTTTGTTCTGTAAAGAAAGTTCTTGTCATTTTTGTTTTGTAAAGAAAGTTCTTGTCATTTTTTGCTGCTGTAAAGAAAGTTTTTGTCATTTTTTGCTGCTGTAAAGAAAGTTCTTGCTATTTTGCATTTTGTAAAGAAAGTTTTTGCCATTTTCCATTTTGTAAAGAAAGTTCTCGCCGTTTTTACCAAAAAACCAAAAATTGAACTTTCGCAGACTGCAGGTGACAAGTTATACGATGAATGCGTTTTAAGCTATTTGGAAAGAAAGTTTTTGCAATTCTTTTTAAAAATGAGATTTTGTAAAGAAAGTTCTAGCCTCTTTTTAAAGGAACCGTTCATTGAATTTTTTTGAATGAAATTTCTTCGCGGGTTTTTCAATGTTTTCGATTAACTTTTTGAGAATTTTCATTTTGAAAAAACATTTTCATTTTATTTATTTCTTTCGAACGCGGTTGAATATAAGGTAAGGTATTGTAGTATATGACCTGTATAGTAATTTAAGACCAAGCAGTGATGGTTAAGATACTTTTAAGCTGTTAAAACACTAAACATCTAGTATAACATCGCCTATAAAGCTTCAGAAGAGAAAGGTTTGTTTCTTAGGTGTTGTGATATTTTAAAGGTCTGAATAGGTAAGAAATGTTAACTATTGTACTAACAACAATGCCACCGTACTATTCAATACATTTGACAACATATACGGAGTCGCTTTTTGAAAACACTTATGACATTAAACAACTCAAAAAGTATCTCTCTTATGTACAAAATTTAATTTTTTAAAAATTTTACAGCATTACAAGTCATTTGGACAAAAAATCTTACTAAACTGTGTGTCGGCAGCCACATCGCGTTAATATTCTGTAGCTCAACCGCAATTTTAATATTTTTTAGCCAGTAAATGTGATCTAAAGTTCTGAAAACGAAAAGACACTGAAATGCTTACCTTTGACGTCGAATTAGCTGCTTTTTATCCTCTAACGAAACCTGACATTTTTAAACTTATGGTAAAGTAAGACCAACTCTATTCTTTAAAAGTTTTACTGAACTAAAAGTTTAAAAATGGTTTCATTATGGTAAGGAATATGTTTTTACAGTTTAGAACAATGAATATGTAGAATAATAAAGTGAAAGTAGTGAAATATAAACAGAAAACCTCAATATGGTTCAATATATTCAACCGCGTTCGAAAGAAATAAATAAAATGAAAATGTTTTTTCAAAATGAAAATTCTCAAAAAGTTAATCGAAAACATTGAAAAACTCGCGAAGAAATTTCATTCAAAAAAATTCAATGAACGGTTTCTTTAAAAAATTTTAAATTAAAAAATAGTTAAAAAAAGCATTTTAAAATTTTGAAAAAACGAAAAATTTAATGTACTATCCAAAAACTGATACCATAAAAGTGTGCGTGTAGTTTACACGTCCTTTAAGGAGAAATCTGTTTTAAGCAAAGAAAACACAAGATAGTGTTATTAGTCTACTGAGAACGTATATCATAAGAGTCGTATAGCTTGTGAGAAACTTCCTGAATAACAAAATCCAAATTCTAATAAAAAATTTTTGCAAAACTTTTTAGTACTACGTGCTAAATAGCAAGTTTTTTCAGTACCACGTGCTAAGTAGTACTATTATTCAGTACGAAAAAAACTGACAGTATTATACTTATAGTACGAGAAGGTTTTGTAGTACTATGTATATAATACAGTACCAAGAGGCGAATAGTACAAGAAAACTTTACATTACCTTACTTACCTTACTCTACCATACCCTATCCTGACCTATTCTACACTACCCAACTCTACCTTATTATAACTTTTACCACCCTACGTTACCTTAACCTACCCTGTTCTATCTCGCTCTGTCTCCAAATCCAAAAAAAATTAAAAAGATTTTGTTTAAAATGTCACTTGTTTTACCCGTCCTGCCAGCTGAAAATCCTTTAAATTTCCCGCACGACAGCCATTAAATCGCGGCCTTTTGTTCCACACATCTGTCAACCCTGTTTCCACTAAAAAACTAGTTTTATTATCAACCTAGCCCTAGTTCTAGCCCAGAGCCCTAGCCCAAAGCCCTAGCCCAGAGCCCTAGCCCAGAGCTCTAGCCCAGAGCCCTAGCCCAGAGCCCTAGCCCAGACTCTAGCCTAGAGCCCTAGCCAAGAGCTCTAGCCCAGAGCCCTAGCCCTAACTTTTCTACAAGCCACCGCGACAAGCCTAATTTTTTGGCTTGGCCGTTTTCAAATCTGCCCCGGATGGCCCGGCACTAAAAATTGAAAAAAAAAAAGTTTGATTTTTGAATAGTTTTGGAAACCGTTGAAACCAGTGTTTTCTGGAGCAGTTTAGTCCGGACCGGACGAGGATAAAAAATTTTGGTCCGGTCCGGAAAAAAATTTTTACTTGCCAGAAAGTTTGGTCGTACAATACTTTATAACTCTCTGCCGCAAGCTTCCGTCCGTCCGGACTGGACATTTGCGAAGAAAATTAAGGGCGGGCCGGACCGGATTGAAATAAAACTCATCCGGACGGTCCAGGCAAAACTCTGGTTCAAACAAAATGCTAATAACTACTCGGCGGAGCCAGAGCTGCAATTTAAAAAAGAAGAAGTCGCAGCTGAAGCCGGAGCCGGAAATTTTCAAGCCCAGGACATATCTGGTTCTTGATGTATCAAAAAACCCTAAAATACAAAAAATCTTCCCTACCCTATCCCACCCTACCCTACCCACCCAAAAACCCACTTTTTCAACCAGTCGTTCCTTTCTCTTATCCATTTTTTTCCCAAAACCGTGCCTTTCTCTGTTCTTTTTTGCCCGTCCGTGCCTTCCACTCGCTTTTTCGAAAACCACGGGACGGAACGACCAAACAACGTGCAAAGAAAAAGAAAGCTTGACGTCAATCCGATCCCAATTTACCCTAAGGGAAATCAAATTTCAAAGGGATTATTTATGGGATTAACGGAGGGAGGGGGGGGAATCAGCATTACTAATTGGGTTAGTTTAGGAGCTGGGTGGGAGGAATTTAGAAATAGCAAGAACTTTCTTTACAAAACAAAAAACGGCAAAAACTTTCTTTACAAAACAAGAAATGGCAAGAACTTTCTTTACAAAACAAAAAACGGCAAGAACTTTTTTTACAAAACAAAAAATGGCAAGGACTTTCTTTACAAAACAAAAAATAGCAAGAACTTTCTTTACAAAACAAAAAATGGCAATAACTTTCTTTACAAAACAAAAAATAGCAAGAACTTTCTTTACAAAACAAAAAATGGCAAGAACTTTCTTTACAAAAAACCATAGCAAGAACTTTCTTTACAAAACAAAAAATGACAAACTTTTGGTCTTCAGACATTTTCAGTACACAAAAAGCATGAAAAACAACTTTTCATTGTAACGAAAAGCTAAACAAGCAAAAAAATATTGCCAGACAAAGCTTTTTTAATTATTTATATTCAAAAAGGTGGGCTGATGCACTAACGGAAACAACAAATTGAGACATGCATTTAAAAGAAAAAAACTTGTAACGACAGACCAGACCAGGCCAAACCAGACCAGATCAGACCAGCCAGAACAGACCAGACCAGGCCAGACCAGACCAGACCAGACCAGACCAGACCAGACCAGACCAGACCAGACCAGGCCAGACCAGACCAGACCAGACCAGACCAGACCAGACCAGACCAGACCAGACCAGACCAGAGCATACCAGACCAGACCAGACCAGACCAGACCAAATCAGACCAGACCAGACCAAATCAGACCAGACCAGAAAAGACTAGACCAGACTAGAACAGACCAGACCAGGCCAGACCAGACCAGACCAGACCAGACCAGACCAGACCAGACCAGACCAGACCAGAACAGACCAGACCAGACCAGACCAGAGCATACCAGACCAGACCAGACCAAACCAAATCTGACCAGACCAGAAAAGACCAGACCAGACTAGACCAGACCACCCCAGACCAGACCAGACCAGGCCAAATCAGACCAAACCAGACTAGGTCGGACCATACCAGACCAGACCGGTCCAGACCAGACCAGACCAGACCAGATCAGACCAAATCAAACTAGACCACCCCAGATCAGACCAGGCCAAATCAGACCAAACCAGACCAGACCAGACCAACCCGGTCCATCCCCATTCAGTCTAATCCAACCCTGCTTAGACCAGCTCAACGCAGTCTAGCCTGGTCTTGCCCCTGGTCTTGCCCCTGGCCTTGCCCTGGCCTTGCCCTTGGCCTTGGCCTTGGCCTTGGCCTTGGCCTTGGCCTTGGCCTTGCCCTGACCTTGCCCTGGCCTTGCCCTACCCTTACTCCTGGCCTTGCCCCTGGCCTTGCCTTGGCTTTGCTCCTGGTTTTGCCCTGGCTTTGCCCTGGCCTTGCCCTGGCCTTGCTCTCTGTTTTCTCCGTGCTCTCCCTGACTGCTCTTGTCTTGCCATTGCCCTGCCTTGCTTTCCTGTGCTTTCAATTACCCAACCCTACCCTTCTCTTTTATCCAACCGTATCCTACTGTACCCTACTTCCCTTTCATTCCTGACATATAAACACCAAAACCCGCTAAAACTTTGTTTACAATCTAAAAAATTTTAAAAATTAAATTTTTTAAATTCCGAGTAATTCATTTAACTATCTATTATATTATACTCAGTACCACAATGCAATTTGGTTTTAAAATTAAATTTAAAAAACAGCTGTTGATGACAGCTGATGCCACGTGACCGTTTGCAAATTCTCAGCTGTTGGGTCAATTTTAGTCTGGCCGGTTTGTCTAGTCGTTTGTCAATTTGACAGAGGTATGACACATCAAGAAACATGTATGTTTATACAGTATAAGTTGAGGTCAAAGTAAATTAAAGTACTGTAAGTTGGGCTGGAGGTTAATAAGTATGGCGGGAAAAGAAAAGAGGTGGTTAAGGTAAGGTCATATGTATCAAAGGGTCAATGTATGTTAAGGAAGACATAAGGTAAAGAAGATCATGATAAAGAAGGCTCAGGTAGGATAGGATTGAATAAAGTAGGGTAGGGTAGGGTAGGGTAAGGTAGGTTAGGGTAGGGTAGGGTAGGGTAAATTTTAAATTACCAATTTTTTGCAATATTCTTTTCTCCCCCCCCCCGCTCACGTTTCACGTTTCCCCTCGATCATCTTTAAAATTTGCGCCTCTCCCTAATCTACCCTTTCCCTACTAACGTCCCTAATATACCTTCCCTACCCTGCTTTTCTTTATCTTACTCAATTTCGTCTTTCCCTGCCTTGCCAATTCTATATTAGACAAAACAAAATAATATAATAAACGAAGATTGCTAAAAATAACACAAAAAGACCAAAAGTTTATTCACAGACAGCCTTTCCCCCACTCCAATAGAGTAAAATAATATTTGCACTCAAATCGTATACGCAAATACAGCGAAAAAACACTCTTGTAACAGTTAAATAAGCCTGAAGTTATGTAAAAGTAACATGGTTAGCAAGCCTAACACATAAAAAAACACCTCATCCATAGGCCTAAGCCTTGAGCTGCATTGCTCTTGACCTGGCTTTGAGCTTGGCCTGACCTTGCCCCTGGCCTGGCTTTTTATTGCTTTTGGTTTCGTAGCCCTAGGTCGAGTCATATCCTTAACCTAAACCCAAGCCTCAGTCGCAGCTTTAATCCTGATTCTAGCCTTAGCCTTCGTACCTATATCCAGCAAAAAGATGGTGAGTACTCTAGGGTCTTTAAGGAGGATCATTAACAACACTTGAATTTGACGGTATACCTAGACTTTACAACTCAGAAGCTCACCAAGAGTTTAATTTTAAATCTTGATGCGTTGGTAGCGCAGTGGCTGTAGCGTCGTTTGCTATTCGGAAGAAGCTTGGTTCGACCCCGCACACCGCCCAACCCAGGAGTCTTGAGGAATGAGTAGTGCTGAGTGCACGGGAACTAGGCACATCTATACTTGGCCTACACGAATATGTAATCGAACGTCAGAAATCTTATGGAGCACCTCACTCACGACTCAGTGACGCGAGGAACAGTGAAGTACTTGGAGGGAGACCCAATTATGGGAAGCGTCAGACCCAAGTATAGCTCCGTTGGTCTTCATCTGAACCTTGAACATCCTTGCACATCAGCACTGTACTTTACAATCTACGGCATCAAAAACCTAATCTAATATATATCTTCCAAGTTGTAATTGTAGACGCTTGAAGAATGTAAAGTATATAAAAAATAAATACGTGACATTATTCTACAGTATCTTATCTTGTCTCTGATATGTATACATATAAAAAAGACCATATGTGATATGAAGGTAAAAAACACAAATAAAAGCACTTACTACTCCTAACATATTCCCCTTACTCTATCCCTGCACTAATTTTTTTCAAGTATTAAAAATGAAAGATACAACACAGTAGTAACAGGCCTTATTCATAAACTATACGTAAATAATATTATTTATTAACTATGCATACGTGAAAGATTATACTAAAAACGCTACTGAGTAACTCCAAAGAATTCGAGCGAAATATTACCCCGTTGCATTCCGATAGATCAGTGAAATGTCATGAAGATGCAATACAAATGTTTTTTGGAAATTATTCCAGCCTTACAAAGTTTTATACTTTTTTACTTTTTTTAAAATTAAAATGCACTTTTTAACTTTAGAGTGAGTCGACTTAAAGCCTAACATCTATAGAAGCCGTTGGGTTTTGATAAGTGCTAAGGCTCTCGAGGCTAGGGCTATGTTTTTGAGGCTAAAGGTTTGACTAGTGCTAGAGCTCTATGCCTACAGTTAGGACTAAGACTATCAGTATGACTAAGACCCAAACCAGAGTTAACTCTAAGACTAAGGCTAAGGCTAGAGTTAGAATTTAAGTTTTAGATTCTCGGCTAGATCAACGACAAGTCCAAGATAAAGCTAACATGTAAGGCAAAGCCAGCTCAAAACCAAGTCTAGGGCTCTCGGCTAGAACTTATGGGTTGGGGTTCTTCTGGGCTAGAGCTCTGGGCTAGGGCTGTGGGCTAGGGCTCTGGGCTAGGGCTCAAATCTAAAACGTTGTTTTATTTAGAGCTACGTAGCTTAACAGTGCAATATTGAGGAGTAAACAACGTTCTCGTTATCACTCCTATTCGTATCTATTATTATAAACATATTAATATAAAGTCAATTTTATACTTTGAACGGTACTTATTAAATACCATCGAAATATAACATGTAAAGCTGTCTATTTCGATGTTTTTGTCTTTCTTGATTAGTGTCGTGGGATTAAAATTATAATTTTAATTTTTTTAAACTGGAAGTTTAAATTTACATGTTTTTTTTTAAATATCGGGTTGTAAAGAAAGTTCTGGCGGTTTTCGTATTTGAAAACAGTCCACTAGGCCCGGACCCGTCTCGGTTAAACCAAATTTGAAAGGAACCGGGCATCTTTTGGACCGAAAGCCGGAGCTCCAACCAATGCTTCAAGAACTCAGCTTAGGTCCCTCTGGTCTTGGCCAAAGCGACTTGTTATACGGAAGTTTTCCTATATTTTAAAAAATAAAAAAATATTTATTTGGGCAGCAGACAGGGGTCAATATTTGATAACAGTTTAATACCTAAAGCTTGATAAACTTATCTTTGAACCGTATTCAATAATACTGAAAAATTTTTGGAAAACTGCAAGAACTTTCTTTTACAGTGCAAAAAATGGCAAGAAATTTCTTTACAAATCAAAAAATGGCAAGAACTTTCTTTACAAAATAAAAAATGGCAAGAACTTTCTTTACAAATCAAAAAATGGCAAGAACTTTCTTTACAAAATAAAAAATGGCAAGAACTTTCTTTACAAAATAAAAAATGGCAAGAACTTTCTTTACAAAATAAAAAATGGCAAGAACTTTCTTTACAAATCAAAAAATGGCAAGAACTTTCTTTACAAAATAAAAAATGGCAAGAACTTTCTTTACAAAATAAAAAATGGCAAGAACTTTCTTTACAAAATAAAAAATGGCAAGAACTTTCTTTACAAAATAAAAAATGGCAAGAACTTTCTTTACAAATCAAAAAATGGCAAGAACTTTCTTTACAAAATAAAAAATGGCAAGAACTTTCTTTACAAAATAAAAAATGGCAAGAACTTTCTTTACAAAATAAAAAATGGCAAGAACTTTCTTTACAAAGCAAAAAATGGCAAGAACTTTCTTTACAAAACCCATTTTTTTAATAACCGCAAGAATTTTCTTTACAAAAAGTGTCTTTTAAAGTTTTTTGGGTGCCTCAAATCAGTTTATTTGTTTACAAGATTATCAATTATAAATAACTAGAATAACAGACTAAAAGCTCAATATCATTATTTTTATTATCATATACGTTTTGAAAGATGGAAAAGTGTGTTTTTTGTAAAGAAAGTTTTTGCGGTTTTTCAAAAATCAGGTTTTGTTAAAAAAGTTATTGCGGTTTTTTGAAAATTACGTTTTCTAAACAAAGTCCTTGCCATTTTTACATAATTTAAAAAAGTTTTGTTTTGGCTGTCTGCGGGTCACATGTTATACGATGAATTTCATTTTTTTGCTTTTGTAAAGAAAGTTCTTGCAGTTTTTCAAATCTCGGGTTTTGTAAAGAAAGTTTTTTGCGGTTTTTTCTCGATTACGTTTTGTAAAGAAAGTTCTTGCGGTGTTTTTACGTAAAATTAAAAAAATTAGTGTTTCGCAGCCTGACACGTTATACGATAAATACGTTTTAGAGCTTTATAAAGAAAGTTATTGTACTTCTTTCAAAAATGATGCTTTGTAAAGAAACGTCTTGCCATTTTTAACAAAATCACCAAAAAAATATTTTTGGCAGTCTTCGAGTGACAAGTTATACGATGAATTTCGTTTTTGGCCTTTGTAAGGGAAGTTGTTGTGTTTTTTTTAAAAATTGTTAATGTAAAAAAAAGTCCTTGCGGTTTCGCAAACCATTCATAACTTTCTTTACAGAGTTGTAACTTTATTTGATTTAGTATTTAAAAAAAGTTTTGTTTGATCAGTGCGCGACTTTACTCAGTTTCTTCATGTCTTACATAACTCTATATCACTTTACTCTCGAAGCTTGAGTCGAGACTAATAAACGTTTTTTTCTACAGAACTTTTGAGTATTCTATTCTTTTTGATGCAAAAACTTTCTTTACAAAACGTGATTTTTTAAAAATTTGCAAGGACTTTCTTTACAAAGCTCTGAAACGTAGTTATCGTATAACTTGTCACCCGCAGACTGCCAACCATAACTTTTTTAAAGTCTGGATAAAAACCGCAAGGACTTTCTTTACAAAAGGTAACTTTTTAAAAACACGTTGCAAGCGCTTTCTTTACAAACCGTTTTTTTAATTGCAAGAACTTTCTTTACAACGGTGATAAACAATTTTCCGTATAACTTGTCACCCGCAGACTGCCAAGCATAAATTTTTGTTGTTTTTGTTAACAGTGGCAAAGACTTTCTTTACAAAACACAAAACCGCAAGAACTTTTTTTACATAACATAAAATGGCAATAACTTTTTTTACATAACATAAAATAGCAAGAACTTTCTTTACAAAACAAAAAATGGCAAGAACTTTCTTTACAAAACTCATATTTTTGAAAAACCCCAAAAACTTTTTTTACAAAACCTATTTCTCAAAAAACCGCAAGAACTTTCTTTACAAAATGCATTTTCTAATAAACAGCAAGAACTTTCTTTACCAAACCCATTTTTTGAAAAACCGCAAGAACTTTCTTTACAAGGCTTTTAACTTCAAAAAAAATTTCAAATTTTAGGTTTATTTGTTCAAGTAATTAACAAACTTTTGTTACCTAAAGCCTCTGACTCATTTGTTGTCCTATCAAATAGTCAATTTGTTATTTAAGTTGTGGACCCCTTTTTAATTTTGTCATGTTTCAGATGTTTCAACAAGAAAGTTTTGAGGAAGAAGAGCAACCTATACCCAAAAGTGGCACATTCACTACGAACTTGAGCAGTGTTTCGATGGATCTGGAGCCATCGTGTTCGAATTATCAAGAAAAAAAACGGTGGGTCATGTGAAATTTGGCATTATTGTTATTTTTTTACATTTTGTAAACATTTTTTTACTGAGTGACATTTTGTAAGATAAAAAGTGTACAGACATGTTTCATCGTATAATATGTAGCTTAATAAATTTTTTTTTAATTTTTATTTACTTTCATGTTTTTATAAAGTAATTTAAATTTAGAAAGTAAATTTTTAACTATTTTTTAAAAATTGTAGACATTTTATACGATGAAATGTGTACGACATGTTTCATCGTATAATATGTCGCTTTATAAATTTTTTTGATTTTTAATTATTTTCATGTTTTTATAAAGTAATTTAAATCTAGAAAGTAAATTTTTATCTATTTTTAAATCTTATAGACATTTTATACGATGAAATGTGTACGGACATGTTTCATCGTATAACTTGTTGCTTTATAAAATTTTTATGATTTTTTATTATTATTATGGTTTAATAAATTAAATCAAATTTTAAAACTAAATTTTTAACTATTTTTTAAAAATTGTAGACATCTTATACGATGAAACATGTTTTATCGTATAACCTGTCACTCTGTCATTATGTTTTAAAAAAAATAATTTTTTTTGAAATTTTTAAAGTTTATGCAAAATCTTTTTTTACTTTTTTTGCATTTTATTTTTTAATTTGTTGTTTTGAAGACATGTTATACGCTTAAACATGTTTCATCGTATAACATGTCTCTATAATTTTAAAAACAAAAAATTATGGTAAAAGTTGAATTTTCTTAAAATATCAGGTCATATAAAGCCAAATTTAAATATAATAGATTGTATTACATAGTAACATGTGATACGATAAAACACCTTTCATCGTATAAGATGTCACTTTTGAACCTAAATTTAAAATTTTTAGGTTATCAATATCAGATGAAGCCAAGAGGTTAAAAGAAAAGGCGAATCACTTGGTGGTGCGGTTGCCAGCTGAACAGTTAAGGAAGATAGCCAATACGACCGGTGTCAACTCGATACGAACTGAGACACAACATTTCGTTGGTATTTACTATTATTTTTTTAAATTTAAACTTTTTTATTTAAGTTTTTTAAGTTTCTATTAAGCAAAAAATCAAAGTTTATGAAAAACCGCCAGAACTTTCTTTACAAAAGCAAAAAATGCAATTCATCGTATAACTTGTCACCCGCAGGCTGCGAAACACATATTTGTACTACTTTTACGTAAAAACCGCAAGAACTTTCTTTACAAACCTTAATTTTTGAATAAACGCAAGAACTTTCTTTCCAAAACCCATTTTTTCAAAAAACCGCAGGAACTTTCTTTACAAAAGCAATTTTTTGAAAACCGCAAGAGCTTTCTTTACAAAACCTATTTTTTAAAAAACTGCAAGAACTTTCTTTACAAAACCTATTTTTTCAAAAACAGCAAGAACTTTCTTTACAAAAGTTATATTTTAGGTATTGCCTCGTTACACGGCCCTATACGAATATACCGTAGTCGAGGGCAGGGCCGCTTCTTTTGGATTGTTGCTACAGTATTTTGTGTTTTTATGATGTGTTATCAAATATACAGATTAGTCAGCTTGGCTTCACAACAACCTATCGTATCTCAGGTAGGTCTGGAATAGGCTAAGTTAAGCTATGTATGCTAGGGGGTAAGGCTAGGCTAGGATTAGGTTGGCTTGACTGGACTGCACTAGACTCAGCTGTTTGAGTTAGATTGGGTTGGGCTGAGATGTTTTGGGCTAGGTTGGGTCAGGCTGAGATATGACGAATTAAGCTGGGCTGGGTTGGGATTGTGCTGGGATAAGCTGGGCTGAGCTGTGTTGGGTTGAGCTAAGCTGTATTAAGCTCGGATGCGCCAGGCTGGGCTGAGCTAAGCTAACCTGGGCTGGGATGAGCTGGAGTGCGCTGGAATAGGCTGAACCGGGGTGTGGGGCTGAACTAGGCTGAGCTAGGCAGAGGTGTGCTAAGACAGAGTAGGCATGGCTTGAATTGTGGGCCAGTCTGAGCTATGCTGAGTAGGGTAACGCTAGCCTGGGCTAGATTGGGTTGTGTAAAGTATTTCTGGATACGGTACGGTATATTAATAAAGTATTTTTTCAGATTTCATTTCGTCTTCCAGAAGAAGGCCTAAAATACCCACTAGTCACAATATGTAGCTTTAACTATGTCACAAAACATTATCTTAATGGTACGTTTTACCCTTACTTATATTAATGTAGCTTAACCTACGCTTACCTTCAGCCTTATGCCTTATAATTTTAAAATTAAAATATTTTTCAGCATTTATAAAAAAGTACAATGTCTCAAACGAGCTGACCCGCTTCATATTGATGACGAGTTTGGAGGTTCAGAATTTACAGAAGAATGAACAAACCCAAATCACAGCGACACAGGATGAATACCTCCAGTTCGCTGAAAGAAACCCTGAGTTTTCGTTAAACAAGTTCTTCAGGGATGCTGCGTAAGTTCTTTTCTAAAGTTTTTTTTGGCTTAGAATTGGCTTAACTACTCTAGGCTAAGAGAAGATAGGCTGAGCTACGTCGTGCTAGGCTTTTCGCTAGGCTAGTCTAAGTTGTAGTATGCTGGACTGGGACGTGCCAAGCCAGCCTAGACTAAGCTGGGCTAAGTTGAGCAGGGCTATGCATTTAAACTAGCATAGCTATGCTAGGTTGAGCTTTGAGCTAGTTTGGGTTGGGCTAAGCTGGTCTATGTTAGGTTGGACTGAGCTAGAGATTTGTTAAAATTACGTTTGAGCTAAAGCTTAATCCTAAGCTTAAGCATACGCCTATGCCTGAGCTTAAGCCTAAGCCTAAGCCTAAGTCTAAGCCTAAGCATATGCTTAAGCCTAAACATATACCTACGCCTAAGCCTAAGACAAAGCCTAAGCCTATGCTTAAGCCTAAGTCTAAGCCGAAGCCTAAGTCTAATTCTAATTTTAAGCCTAAGCCTAAGTCTAAACCTATCATTTGAATTTTCAGACCATCCTGCAATGACACTCTTCGTATCTGTACATACGCGTCGGAAGAATTCAATTGTTGTGACTATGCCAAATCAATTATGACTGATCTCGGGAATTGCTATCAACTCGACCTAAATTACTATGCTCGGTCGAAGAAACTTACTCCGCAGGCTGGGGTCAACAATGGGTAAGTAAAAACTAAAAAATTGTTTTGTTGAAAAATTGCAAGAACTTTCTTTACAAAATGATAATCGTTTTTTACTGTAATTTTTGTACTACAGCATACTACAGTAACCTCTTTAGGCTCCAAGTATACGCTGACTTCCATTCTGATGAACAACCTAACACAACATATAATGACTTTATGTCAAATGTCGAGAACGGGTTCAGGTACTACATTCATTCGAGAAACTCAGTACCATACATACACAGTGAGGGTACTAGTGTATCGCCTGGTCGGAAGGCCTTTTCATCTGTTAGCCCTAATCACGTAAGTTGCCGTACCTCTCTCCTACTCTACCCTACCCTACCCTACCCTACTCTACCCTACCCTACTCTACCCTACCGTACTCTACTTTACCCTACCCTAGTCTTACAAGGTAATATTTTAAATTACAGTACATTCTGCACCCCTCAGGCAATCGTTGCTCGCAGGACTGGTCGGAGGACAAGCTTGATGACGTTTTATCCCATCACAACTACTCCAGCTCACTGTGCCAGGCACATTGTTTTGCCGTGCATTTGTTCGAAAAGTGTAAATGTGTTCCGTTTTTGTATAGTTTGAATGGAAGTACGTGGTTTGTTATGTTATCTGTCGTTTTTAGTGTGTGCATTCCTTAATTTATCAGGCTTGTTTTTATAGGGTAATGCTTAGTTTTAGGCTTAGTCTTAGGCTTAGACTTAATTTTAAGCTTAGGTTGCGTCATGGGCTTAATAAACATAAGAGCAGTAGGATTAAGCTTAGAATGCTTAGGTTTAGTAGACTTAGGCTTAGTAGACGTAGGCTTAGTAGGCTTAGGCATAGTAGGCTTAAGCTTTTAAACAGGCCTAAACACTTTTGCTGCCATTCTTTATATAACCCCCAGCAGAAATTGAGAGCCAAATCCCAGCACTCGCAGTAATTTTTTGGGTCGTTTTACATCGAGGCAGATGTTATATAAAACCATAACATTACATAAGAAAACGTTGCGCAATACGATTTTTTGCAATTTCTCTAAGGCTATGTTAATATACAATAACATTAAGTAACCCCGAAATTATTTTACCTTAACGTAAGCCACAAATTTATTACACTGAAAAGTGTTGTTACGTTACCTAGGGTTTAGTTTCTATAGGTGGGGTAGGCTTACGATTAATAGGTTTAAGCTTAGTTTTTTGGCTTAGGCTTAACGTTAGACTTGATAGGGTAGGATAGGGTGAAGCGGAATAAGGTAGGTAGAATACCTATGACTTTAGGTTAGATAAGGTAGAGTCAGGTAAGGCAGGGTATTATTAAACACTTTTCTATTTATTTCTTGTTAATGGTTACCATAAGCCTCTAGGCTTAATTATCTTTTAATCGTTTCAGCTTACAACACCTGTTCAGTGGCCGAGAACTACAACTGTTTGAATACGACGTTTGGGGTGGATCCGGCTGCGAATTGTAAGTTTTTTTGTTTTGTAAAGAAAGTTTTTGCCATTTCTTGTTTTGTAAAGAAATTTTTTGCCATTTTTGTTCTGTAAAGAAAGTTTTTGCCATTTCTTGTTTTGTAAAGAAAGTTCTTGTCATTTTTTGATTTTTAAAGGAAATTCTTGCCATTTTTTGTTTTGTAAAGAAAGTTCTTGCTATTTTTTCAAAAATTGATTTTTGTAAACAAATTCCTTTCAGCCGAGGACATATTGAAGAAGATAGCTCCGGACTGTTCACATTGTCGTATGGAATGTGACAGATGGGACTATCAAGTGTATACCTCATATTCTGATGGCTTTTCACGGGCAGTATCCGCTTATTTGAAGAAACATGAAAAGATTAGGAACAGCAAGTTGAAGTAAGTTCGAAATTTTGAATTTTGAAATTAAAAAAAAATGTAGCACTGGCCAGTTTACTATTATACATAATAGGGTATGGTAGGACAAGGCAGACCAGGGTAGGGTAAGATAGAATAGAACAGGGTAAAGCAGGGTAAAGAGTTTTTTTGCGGTTTTTACTGAAAATGAACGAAAAGTTGTTTTGGCAGCCTGCGGGTGACAAGTTATACGATGGTTTTGTTTTAGCCTGTTATAAAGAAAGTCTTTAGCAAAAACTTTCTTCACAAAACATTTTTTTTTAAATAGCAATTTTCAACTTTTTATCAAAAAAAAATTTTTTAGTTTTAAAATTTCGAAATTTTCAGAAAAGATTTCGTTGGAATAGCGGTATTCTTCCGTGAAATCTCCTTCACCGAGTACGAGCAAGTCGAACGGACCTCAATGTCCGAGATCCTCTCCGACATTGGCGGTAATATGGGCCTATTTCTGGGTATGAGTGTACTATCCGTCATCGAGATATTGATTTACATAGTAAAAGTGTCATGGCTGTTTGTCAGCTCGAAGCGACGTCAACATATGGCCTCAAAAGGAGAGAAACAACGTCGACAACGTCAAAATGATCTACAGGACATTGATGAAGAAGATGAGGTTAGCCCCACGATGGCTAGCCGACTCAGGCGGCTGGCTGGGAGCATTCGGAGGAAGACGGCTGCTGTTTGGCATCCTTACGGCTTGGAGTCGGAGAAGGTGGGTTTTGACAAAATTTATGGCACAAAAATTAAAAATTTTTTGTGATTAGACTGGTCTTTATCTAATTTTACAATAAATTTAAAATTTTTAAAATTTTTTAAATTTAGCGACAAGTTATACGATGAAACATGTTTGAGTGTGAACATATTTGATCGTATAACTTGTCACTAATACAATAATATGTTCGAAAACATAGTTGATGGGATGTATAATTTTGTAAGCTACCTAAAAATGTAATTTTTGGGCTTAAACATAGTAAAGGGAACAAGTTATACGATAAAACATGTTCAGAATCAAACATGTTTCATCGTATAACATGTCTTCTTGACAAGTGGTATGCTTAAAATTTACTTTTTCTATAAATTTATGTAATTTTACATCATTTAAAATTAGTTTTTTAACATAATTTTATATTGGTGACAAGTTATACGATCAAACATGTTCATAATTAAACACGTTTCATCGTATAACATGTCTCCTAAACCAAAACTTGTCATAAATTTACAAATTTCAGGACATTGGCCCAGAAACCGAGCTAAAACAAACCACTCTGTACCCAACAACCTCGGCCAGCTACTATCTCGACAACATTGTGACCGAACGCACCATGGGCATGGGTAAGGCCGTGGTTCGACCGACCGAAATGGTCGAACTGGAGCTGGAGCTGGGCAGTGACACCGAATCCGAAAAGATATCGAAGAAGAGGAGTCACAAGATTGGCAGAAGTCATACAGTGAGGCCGAAGGTTTCGACGATCTACGCGGTTCGTACTGTAATGGGTGAGGACAATGAAGGTTACGGTAGTGATACGATGGGAACGGACGGTATTGTACGGCAACGGTCGCAGTCGTATATAAGATCGGATAAAGATCGGGGAAAGTATTAGGTGGTTGTTTTTGTACATTGTTTTGTTTTATGTTAGGAATTAGGGGGGGGGGGGGGGGGTTACGGTAGTTTGTTAAACAAACGTGTTTCAACGTATTACGTGTCTTCCTTTTACAAAAAGTATCAAAGGTATGTACATTTAGGGTCATTTTGTTTAGTAATTTTTAATTTTAATGAAAGTTTGTAACGTATTTTGTCAAAGTGACATGTTATACGCTCAGACATGTTTAATTGCGGACATGTTTTATCGTATAACCTGTCTACTTGACAATTAATGTCCAAAATTTACTTTTTTAGATAACTTATCAATTTTTATACAGTTTAAAACTTGTTTTTTTTAACAAAATTTGTATTAGTGACAAGTTATATGATCAAACATGTACACAATAAAACATGTTTTATCGTATAAAATGTCTCACTTTTAGAAAAAATATCAAACGTATGTACATTTAGGGTCATTTCTCTTGTAATTTCTTAATTTGTTAATACTTGTAATAATTTTGTCATAGCGACATGTTATACGCTCAAACATGTTTCTTCGTATAACTTGTCTCCATATTTTAAAAACGTATAATTATGGTAAAAGTTGGAATTTTTTAACCATATATTGTTTGTATTATAGCCCGTCGCACACATATCATCAAATTTCATATTGTAGTCTATCATATTTTGTTATGTTTATTAAAATTTTTAAATAAATAATAAAAATTTCAAATTTAAAGCTAAAATAATAATAAAAAGGTGACAAATCTGATTAAAATATGTAATTACAGGCTTTTTGGTCGATAATATTGACTTTTTTAATTTTTTGTTCAATTTGTTTTGGTATATTGCACGGTGCAAAGAGTTCATTGACTGCACGGTGCAATGAGTTCATCGACTGCACAGTGCAACGGTATATTTTATTGCACTGTGCACTTATTTAACGTACTGTATGGTGAAAAAAATTGGAAATATTTTAAAAAAAGCTTAAAAATTTTTAACTTAAAAAAAATTTTGAATTTTATAAAATTTGGCTTTACAGTGCAATTTTTAAGTTTTATGCACTGTGCAAGACATCATTTGGTTGTACCGTGCAAAAAAAATGAAAATTTTTTAAAATTTCTATTTTAAATTTAAAAAGTAAAATTTAGTTAAAAAAAGGCGTGTCCCGCATCATTTCCAGCATTTTCTGGACCATTGAAACAGGCTGAAATGGCTCCAAAACGTCATCAAACACATGGTACCCAGCTACAGAGCCCCTCGCCCCACTGACATAGTTAATATAGTAGGTCCGACTAAATCGTGGCACATAAAATGCGTAGAATTCGGCTACACCGCCGTAGCCTTGTGGAAACAAAGTTCTTGGCCTTGAAGCCTCGGGTCCATCGTATAACTTGTCACCCTGTCGAATGTAGTAGGTGGAGGTGGAAAAGTCCTGGATGAAGGTGTGGTTGTCCATGGAGATGATGTTGGTTGGGGCGGAGAGGTTGGGCAGGGTAGTGTCTGTTCGTAGGCTTTCAGGTTTCTGAGGCTTCTCTAGTTTACCGTACTTCTTTAGTCGAGATTCTCGAGAGTCTAAAGCAAGAACTTTTTTTACAAAGTAAAAAATGGCAAGAACTTTCTTTACAAAACAAAAAATGGCAAGAACTTTCTTTACAAAAACAAAAAATGGCAAGAACTTTCTTTACAAAACTTACATTGAGCATTCACTATCGTTATCACACCTACGGTAACCATTAACCGTAATATTGTTGAGGTATTCATGGTGAACTGAAATCCGACATAAGTGGAACGTTATGTTACTTTTTTAATTAATTGTAACGCTACTTCAAATTAGCGACAAAGACCTCCAAGGAAGCCCTTAGGTAATCGCGATGAAATACGAAAAATACGTGAAAAACAAAGAAAATGTTATTAAAGAACGTTTTTTTACCTTACCCTACCCTACCCTACCCTACCCTAACCTATCCTATCCTACCCTACCCTACGATACCCTACCCTACCCTACCCTACGATACCCTACCCTACCCTACCCTACCCTAACCTACCCTACCCTACCCTCTATCCTACTTTATCCTGCCCTACCAACCCTATCTAGCCTAGTACCATCATTGTCTTCCTGTAATGACATACTTATTCCATACTTCAGCTTGTCCTTTTATCCAGAATTTTGCTTTTTGGGTCCTGTTCAGACCCGACGGTCCGGATTTTTAAATTTATTTTTCTCGCGCTTTTTTTCTACCGGTCGGATTGGTCTGAAACTTTTTCTACTATCTATTTGGAAGGGTGCTAACCCTTCTAGATGCTGTTTGTTTTTTGCTATCTGTAGTACTTTTCGAGATACGCGTTTGGCGGGAAAAATAAATTCAAAAATCCGGACCGTCCGGACCGGACCCAAAAGGCAAAACTCTGCTCACCCCACTTAAGCATAAAAAGATCAGCCTATCCACATCTATCAGAAATTAAAAATTAAACGTTTACAATGTACAACTTTACTCAAAAGCTTTATTGTTAATCAAAATAAAAGTAGAATATAGTAAGCACATACCACTGATATACGTTGTAAAAGGCAATTCAACATTCTGCCAATCATAGCGGTAGAAAAGGTCAAAAAAGCATTTGACAAAGTTCAAAAAAGGTTTTAAAATTTTAAAATCAGAAACACATTTTAAAATTTAAAAAAGTTAAAAACAAATTGAATATGATTAAACCTTCTCCATCACAACTTGTTTTTGTCGAATTTGAGCGCGAAAAACAGGTGAATAAGCTAGATAAACACTTCTTAAATCGCCGCAGGGCAAGAAGCGAAAGTGAACTTTAAAGTAATAGTCATACAGACAAAGTATGTCATTTTTAGCAAGAACTTTCTTTACAAAACAAGAAATGGCAAGAACTTTCTTTAAAAAACAAGAAATGGCAAGAACTTTCTTTACAAATTAAAAAATTACAAGAACTTTCTTTACAAATCAAAAAATGGCAAGAAATTTCTTCACAAAACAAAAAATAGCAGAAAAATGTATTTATCGATAACTTGTCTCTCGCAGCCTGCGTAACCACGAAATTCCGTTTATAAGGCCTAAAAATAGCAAAAACTTTCTTTACAAAAGAAACAATGACAAGAACTTTATTTACAACAAAAAATAAGATTTATTGTATAAAATGTCACCCGCAGTCTGCAGCGCTTTAAATTTTGATTCTATGGCTGATAACTATAGCAAGAACTTTCTTTACAAAACAAAAAATGGCAAAAACTTTCTTTATAAAGCATGAAATAGCAAGAACTTTCTTTACAGAATGGCAAAACAAGTATTTAAAATGGCAAAACAAGTATTTATCGTATAACTTGCTCCTCGCAGCCTGCGTAACCACGAAATTCCGTTTATAAGGCCTAAAAATGGCAAGAACTTTCTTTACAAAGCAAAAAATTACAAAAAAGAGTATTTATAGTATAACTTGTCTCTCGCAGGCTGCGTAGTCACGAAATTCTGTTTATAAGGATGGAAATGGTAAAAACTTTCTTTAAAAAACAAAAAATGGCAAGAACTTTCTTTACAATACAAAAAATGGCAAGAACTTTCTTTACAAAACAAAAATGGCAAGAACTTTCTTTACAAAACAAAAAATAGCAAAAACGTTCTTTACAAGACATCCTTTCTCTTTTCCAACCCCTTGAATAACAAAAAACTAGAGCAACCACCTTACTTTCTTCCCCTTCGTATTACTCGATGTAAACTACTCTGAAATCCCTTCCAAAGTAATTTATATTACTCAAAACCCGTTAGGGATCTCTGAAGAAAGGGGGGTTCGCACCTTTGGAATCCACCTTTCAATGGATCTACTATAAGTTATGTCAAGTTGAATGCCGTTTTCGCTTTCGATTGAAAAGTAATCGCAAGTGCATCTCGTGGGTTTTGGAAAGTGAAAGCACCTGAACTTTAGTTTTGTGATTAGAAGCGTATCCGGTTTGATATCATGTAGGTATAGAAGACACTGAAAGTTTGCAACTTAACCTATATTTTTGCAAGCTTTTAAGATGACCACCCTAGCTCTAGTCGAGAGTTCTAGCTCAGAGCCCTAGCCCAGAGCCCTAGCCCAGACCCCTAGCCCAGAGCCCTAGCCCAAAGCCCTAGCCCAGAGCCCTAGCCCAGAGCTCTAGCCCAGAGCCCTAGCCCAATGCCCTAGCCCAGAGCCCTAACCCAGAGCCCTAGCCCAGAGCCCTAGCCCAGAGCCCTAGTCCACAGCCCTAGCCCAGAGCCCTAGCCCAGAGCCCTAGTCCACAGCCCTAGCCCAGAGCCCTAGCCCAGAGCCCTAGTTTATAGCCTTAGTCCTAGCTCTACCCACACCTTGAAGTACCCCTACTGAAAATTGCCGAAACTTACCGTATTCCTAACCTTGCTCTGCTTAGACGCGAGGAACGAACCGGGCTTGACTTAATTTTTGATAGGCCGGGGCTGAAAATCAAGACCTGTCTTGTTTGCACGTAGTTCAAAGCCATAGCTCAGTACTTGTTCTGATCGTGTGTTAAAAAAAACTTTTTTTTGCATATTTTTTGATTTCAACTAAACAATAAGATCCTAGAACATTAATTTGTTTAGTAAAAAGGTAGCTAAATTGAGTTTCTGATGTTTTAAAGTTAGATTGATAGAAGCCGGAATATCTTCGAAATATTTAAAACTTTTTACTGGCCTAAAAACAAACGATAGCCTGTGCTTTTTTCCACTTTTCTCTAGACACCCTGCAGAAGCCTCAATGTTTATATAAAAATCAACAATAAGTTTACTGAGTACAATTTATGTTAGTCTTCAACCTCATCAAACAACATTTTGTTGAATCGAAGTTTACGTTGCCGGATGATTCTGTGCCGTCGTCGTAGCTTTTGTAGCCGTTCTTGTTCGGAGACGTCTTCTGGCGGTGGGTCGATGAAGTCTTCGGGTAAAAGGGGTGGTGGTGAAGCAAAGGAAATCGGTGTGGTAAAAGGATTAGGGGGTGGAGTTGGGGTGGTTGATGTTGATGTGGGCTCATGCTTGTTTGCGCTGCTTTGTCTTGGTCTGGGGACCTGAAAAAGTCATTTTAAAGCTTTATATTGAAGAAGGTGTACGGTAGGAATACAGTAGGGTAGGGTAGGGTAGGGTAGGGTAGGGTAGGCTCCAGTAATTACCGCAGTATAACTTACAGCATAGCCTTCCAATCCCAATGGCTGGCTAGCCATGCTAAATTCAGCTAGTCCAAAGTGTTGAGGGTCTAGTCCAGGCCTGGAGCCTTCTTTTTTACCACTTCCTTTGCGCTTTTTGCCATTTCCACGGCGTTGGCTAGCCACAGGCTTGGCTTCAGCACTACCATCCTCATTTGAGTTTTGGCTAGCTGAATTTTCATCGTCAGGTTTGCCCAAGTTACCACCATTTCCTTCCCGGTCTGGGCATTCACAATATTCAGCGTCTTTTCCTGGTAATCCAGGTGGGCCAGGCTGAAATATTAAAAACATAAAAAAAGTCTTGTCGTTTTTCACTTTTCAAAACATAGTAAATTAACGACAAGACTTTTTTACATCAACATAAAACAATATTGGCCTACCGTTCCAGGCTGTCCATCCGGTCCAGGCACTCCAGGGTCGCCAGGACTTCCTTGTGGTCCAGGTGGACCCAAAGGACCGCTTCCAGCTGGTGCCCCCATCAATCCAGGCGCTCCAACCGGCCCAGGTTTGCCCTGAGCTCCTTGTGGACCAGGTTTACCTCTACCACGCTGCCCACCAGCACCATGCTCTCCACTCTCGCCTTGTGTACCAGGCACGCCAGGATACCCTCGTACGCCCATTGGTCCTACTGGTCCAGCCATTCCAGTCTTTCCTGGTTTTCCATTCTCTCCAGGTGCTCCAGACGGACCTTTCTCACCCATTCCGCCTGGTACACCAGGTGGGCCAGGTGGACCGGCTGGACAGAGAATACAGCCTGGGCTGTCTTGATTCAGGACGACAGCTAGTCCAGGGGCGCCCATTCGACCGTCTTCCCCATCTTCGCCTGGATATCCTGGGTCACCAGGTGGTCCGGGAGGACCGACTGGGCCGGGTGGGCAGGTTTTGGCTGAGATTGCACATTCTGAAAAAAGTGTTAGGATAGTACGAACAATAGTAATGTTAGAGCATGAGAATGAAGAATAGTACTACTAGTACTAAATAGTACGAAGATAGTACAAAGTAATAAAATGGTACTGTAATAGCGTGATACTAAGAAATTGTACTAAATAGTACCTTGATAGTACGAAACTATGAAATAGCACTGTAAAAGCGAGGTAAGAAAAAATAGTACTAAATAGTAATGAACGAAGATATAAAATAGTACTGTAATGGCATGAAAATAAGAAATAGTACTAAATAGTATCAAAAACGGTACAAAGCTATAAAATAGTACTGTAATAACATGATACTAAGAAATAGTGCTAAATAGTACAAAGTTAGTACGAAGATGTAAATCAGTACTTTAAGAGAATGATACAACGAGATAGTACTAAATAGTACGAAGATAGTACAAATTTAGGAAGCAGTACTGTAACAATAAAAAAACACAAAATAGTACTATATAGTACTAAATAGTATCAAAGACAGTACGAAGATATAAAGTGGTACTTAATGAGTACAAACGTTCACTTACTAGAGCACTGTTTAGTACCATAACTCCGTTTGGACCTTTTGACAAAATCATTCAAGTTAGACCTAAATGTCTCTCGCTGTCTGGCGTTTCTCATCTCTACCACACCTTCCCATGCTTTGTTTGTTATGTCCTATAACAAAAAGGGTGCTTTAGGTATACAGTTTTAAAGTTATCCCCGTATGTAAACGGAGAGGCGGTGGCTGTCAGAAGCCGCTAATCCGGACATTTTGTCAAAATGAACTTGATGGGAAATGAAATTTTTTTGGCAACAATTTTGAAGTATTTTTGAAAAAAGCGAGCGGTCGTGGAAATGAAAAAAAATAAAAAGCGACCGGTAAATTGCATTGAATTGCTTAACGGAGAGCGGTCGTTGTTCGAATATGTTGAGGAACATACGTTAGCAAATGTAAGTATGTTTTCTGATAGTATTTTGTGTATAGTACTGAATTTTGTGATGATTTTAGAGTTTTCGTTTTAAAATATTCTTTACAGGCGTGGGAAAAATCAAAGGGTGTGTTAAATGGAGTAAATTTTAAGGCGTACCATACTCAAAATAGTTTCAGGATTCATGCTGCGTTTCAATAGAAAAATCAAAAAGATTTTAGAGTTTGGAAACGTGCGAGGGCCGCAGGCCCGAGCATATTAGTTTGAATAATATAAAACACATGTAATTGCTATGTCCGGATCAAAAGCAATGCGCGAGGGCCACAGGCCCGAGCTCATGATATGGTATCTTCAAATGAAAATTAATTTTATTGATTTATAACAACAAAAATCAAAAGAGGCGTGCGAGGGCCGCAGGCCCGAGCCCTTGATTTTGCATATTATAAAATGTACTGAATTTGTCATAATGTAAATGAACTTGCAATGTCCAGATCATAGGAGGCCCGAAGGGCCTCCGTTGATCTGGTATTTAATAAAAGAAGTCTATAGTAAAGTAGAATATGTGAAGCTAGGACTAAGGCTAAAAGTAAAGAACAAGATGGGCCTACATTAAGGGTACGGTAAACGTAAAGTATTGCTTTAGACTAACCCAAGGCTATTAGTTATACTAAGTTTTTGCGGCTAAGAGTTCGGCTAGAGCTGTCTACGTTAAGACTAAGTCTAAGAATTAAGGTTAAGACCCAAACCAGAGTTAGGGCTAAGGCTATAGGCTTAAATTCTAACTCTAGGAAGTCTAGAGTTAGAATTTAAGTTTTAAATTTTCGGCTAGATCAAGGACAAGTCCAAGGTAAAGTTAAAGGCTAGAGCTCTGGGTTAGGGATCTGGGCTGGGACTCTGGGCTAGGGCTAAGACTAAAAAAACTTACCTGAAAATTCAAAAACTCAGCCTTCATTTCATAACTCCATGTGTTCGTTTGTACTATAACAGATATGGATATTATCCATAATAGGCACAACATTAACAATGTTCCAATGGCAGCAAACCATGATCGAAATCCAGGTGATTTGATGACTTCTGACTTCATTTTGAGCCTAAAATTATATTTTTGAACAAAAAAATTTTATTTCATTGCACTCTGCCCCACCCTACCTTACTCTACACTAGTTTCCCTACGCTACCCTACATTACCCTACCCTGCCTTTCTCTACTCTACCGTACCGTGCCTAGAGTACTGTATCGTGACGTGCTCTACCACCGTAAATTAGTACCGTAAATCATCGTACCCTACTCAAGCTTACCCTGTTTTACTTTACCTTATCCTGCCCTACCCTACATTACCGTACCCTGTCGTACCTACTGTACCTACTGTACTCTACCCTACTGTACCCTGTCGTACCTACTGTACCTACTGTACTCTACCTTACCATGACGTGCTCTGCCCTACCGTACATCGCCGTTCCCTACCCAACACAAGCTAACCCTATTCTCCTTCACTCAATCCTACCGTACAATGCTGCACCCTATTCTGTTTCATCCCACCATATCGTATCTTGCCCTACCCTTCGCTACTTTACCCCACCCTACTTTTTTCCCTTCTACATTTTCTTGCCATACCTATTTCAACAAGCCTATGACACAATATGACGTAAGTTACCATCATAAGTAATATCCTTCCCTTCCTTCTTTCACCGAGTAATTAAACCCAGTTCCAGCTACATAGGTCGAAGGCGTCAAGAGCCCTTGTATGCGTTAATTATTACAAAAGTTTTGTTTTTCAAGATGCGGCGAGACATAATGTAAATTGAAGAGGGTATGAGAGAAGAAAAATATTTTTTTGATTTCGGAAGATTTTGACCTAAAATTAATTAAAAAACCATAAAAATAAGTGTGGAGATGAATAATATGGCTGCTTGAACTTGTTCTTGGTAGAGATTTTTGAAATTTAAAATTTTAAAATTTTAAAATTTTTGAAATTTAAAAAAATTTTTTTAAAAAATTTTTTATTTTACCCTACTTTATCCTATCTTTTCGAATTTTACCTTACCCAACTCTAATTTGTTCCACCCTACTCCACCCAGCCCCCTCCTTCTCTATTACCTTACCCTCTCCTACCCTACCTTGCCTTACAGTAACCTATTCTCAACTTTATTACCTAAAAATGTCATTTGACATCCTACAACTAGAAACTGCCTCATCTTCATATCAATGTTCAAATGCTGACCAAAATGAAGCCCTACGTGAACGCCTCTATGCTGGTGTTACAGTAACAGCATGCTTTTTTGCTTTTGTGTCTTGTTTATGCTTGGTCATTACTGTACCTATATTGTGCGAAAATATTCTTGGTGTTAGTGAGAACATGTACGAACAGGCTCAGAATTGTAATGTAAGTTGGGTTTTTAATTTTAAAAAAATTTAGATTTTTTAATTTTAAAAAAAATTTTAAAACACCCCGCTACTAAAAACTTTTTTTGGCGCTAGGACAAATGCGGTTTTTGGACATTTGCGGATTTTTTAAAGGGGTTTTTTTATTTTTTAGTTTATTTATTTGTATTATGGTAATAAATGGTACTAAAGTTTAAATTGGTACGGTTTTAATATTTTTTAGTGTTAAATAGTACTAAATATTAAATTGATACTGTTTAAAAATTTTTTTCAATTTTTTACCCCGCCCACGCCCACTCCCACTCCCCAAAAAAATTTTTGTGAAAAGATTTTTCCTACGCCTTTTTTTAAAATAAAAAAAATTAAATTCTAAGAAAAAAAAATGTTTTTCTTTTTTACCCCGCCCACGCCCATAACACAAAATTAAAAAAAAAATTTCTACAATTTTAAAAATTATTTTATTTTGTCTACCCTCCTCTCCCCTCCAACCAAAAATAAATTACCCTACCACACCCTGACCTACCTAAAACTTAAATTTAGGAGTCGATGGAAACCCTAAAGTCTCAACTAATCTATGTTGAAACCTACCGTATATACCTGCAAAACCTGACAGTCAACCGTACAGCACGTTATGCGCCCTACCGACCGCCGAATCAAAGTGGTGGTTATGCTGTACCGCCGAAGAAGCCTTGTTGTATCCCAGGCCCACCTGGAACACCCGGTCGACCTGGCCATAATGGACTCCCTGGCGTTCCTGGAGCTGCAGGAGTACCTGGACAGCCGGGCAAAATGGGGCCTGTACCTTGTGATGGTAGGTGCTACGCTAACCTACCCTACTCTATCTTACAGAACCCTACTCTATCCTACAGTACCTTATTCTATTTTACAGTACCCTACTTTATCCTACAGTACCCTACCCTACAGTCCTCTACCCTATCCTACAGTATCTTACCCTGTCTTACAGTACTCTAATCTATTATATTTTAGTTTGCTTTGCAGTACCGTACTCTACCTTGCCTTACGATATTCTAACCTTACAATTCCTACCGTACCTCACAATGCTCTACCCCACCTTACAGTACCTAACCAAATTTACCCTCAAAGAAAAAGCATTTCAGCTATTCCCGCCTGCCCGCCATGCCCAATTGGTGAGCCAGGACCGCCAGGTCCGACCGGCGAGCCTGGTGACGAAGGTGTGCCAGGACTACCAGGACGAGATGGAAGGCCAGGAGAAACGGGTCCGTGTGGTACTACTGGACCTCCCGGACCACCAGGACCCGCTGGCTTACCTGGACAGCGAGGCGACACGGGAGTCACGCCTGTCGCTGCACCACCTATACCTGGACCGGCTGGTATGAGAGGGGTAGGTTAAAATTTTTGAAGAGATATTGGGCGGGGTAAATTTTTGTATTTTTTATGAAGAAGGGGGGGGGAGAGGATTACAAATAAAAAATTTTAAAAAAGTGTTGGGCGGGGTAAATTTTTTAATTTTTTTTGGGTAGGGGGACGTTAAAATTTTTTTTAAAAAAAAAGTAATGGTAATACCAAAAATGCCTTACAGATTACAGTAAAAAAATAAATTTTAAAAAATTTAGCCACCAGGTCCGCCCGGCCCGCGAGGACCTCCAGGACCCGCCTCAACTGACTATGACCTGATCCCAGGTCCAAAAGGACCTAAAGGTTTGCCTGGACAAGATGGAATACCCGGTCCAGCTGGTCCACCTGGACCGGCCGGACCTCCCGGTTCTCCGGGCGAACTTGGAGTATGTCCGAATTACTGCGCAGTAGATGGCGGAGTCTTTTACGCTCCGGGTGGAGTGGCAAAGGTGCGAGATTTTGATATTAACAGCGACGTTGGTCGGTATCGACGGACTTTTAAACAGAATAAAGTGTGATATATGTTAATATATGGTAATGTAATGACGTTTTGGTTATATAAATTTTTATATTTTTTGCTTTGGTTACTGTTACATGCTTAAACTTGACATAATATTACGCTACAGCATTCTACCCTACCCGCCCCTACCCTACCCTGCCCTACCCTATCCTACTCTACCCTACCCTACCCTACCCTACCCTACCCTACCCTACCCTACCCTACCCCACCCTACCCTACCCTACCCTACCCTACCCCACCCTTCCTCTACCCTATCCTACCCTATCCTATCCTACTCTAACTTACTCTACTTTAATTTACCATACTCCATTTTGCCCTGTCCTACCTTATTCTTTTCTAGTTTTCTCGTTTCTATCATACCCTACACATTTCAATCTCACCCTGTTTAACCAGCCTTTACCCTACCTTATTTTACCTTCTACTAGCGTGCCCTACCGTACTCTACCGTACCTTTTTCACCTATTTTAGGTTTTTTTACGTTAGCTTAAGCTCTTCTACACTATCTTCTCTATCCTACTGAACTTAGGGTACCCTATCAAACTCTTCGTAAAAAGTTACAGTACTTCAAATTTAAAGACATCATAGTATCCCAACTGTACACAAATTAATTACAATTTATTAAAAGGTCCAAATATACAAGTATAACAATATTAAAATGCTCTGTAATTAGTTAAGTAGACTAAACCAAAACAAGCCCTATGGGCCTGCTTTGGTCTGAATAGAGTATGATACATAAGAAAATGGCTAATTGTCATAGCTAAATCATAATCGTTCATAATCATCAAGGCTTTGTGAATGATCAACGTTTCTTTGAGGCTAGCTGAAAGTACAGTAACTTAGAATTTTTTTTTGTAAAGAAAGTTCTTGCCATTTTTTGATTTGTAAAGAAAGTTCTTGCCATTTCTTGTTTTGTCAAGAAAGTTCTTGCTATTTTATATTCTCTTACCTCTCTGTTCAACTGTTTGATTTGATCTTGTAGATTTTGTAGCGTCGTATCAAAGAGCTTCTGATTTTGTTGATTCTTTTCTCTGAACTCTTTGTCTTTACGGTGTTGTTCGGCTTCTAGATCTACTATCTGTAACACAAAACTATCATTTTAGTACTCTACCCCACCCTACCCTACCCTACCCTACCCTACCCTACCCTACCCTACCCTACCCTACCCTTGACTGTTTCTCCTTGAGTTGTTTCTGAGTATCGACCAGTTGTCTCTGAAGATCTTCGTTCTTCTCCCGAAGCTGTTGAATCTTTTCCTCCGGCGATTCAACTCCGATCAATGCCATCGCTGAGGTTGTTGGAGTGCCACTTGAACCATTTTTAGGAATTATTGGCATAATACTAGCCAATGCGTTTGAGGTAAAACTTTTGGTTTGCGATAAATTGGAGGGCTTGTCTTTACTGGAACAATTTTAAATAGTAAAATATGGGCTTGGGTATTGTGTCGTACAATACAAAAAAGTCGAAAAAACTGAAAAGTCAGGACTACTGAAGCATAAGCTAATAAATGCGCTAGATCTTGGGCTATGACTTACGCTATTGCTTACGCTAAAGCATGAGCGAGAGAATGGGCTTGATCATAAGCTAGGGTATTATGATGGAGCTAAGGCTGAAACTAGGGCTAAAGCATAGGCTAAGGCATATACTAAGGCATAGACTAAGGCATAGGCTAAGGCATAGGCTAAGGCATAGGCTAAGGCATAGGCTAAGGCATAGGCTAAGGCATAGGCTAAAGCATAGGCTAAGGCATAGGCTAAGGCATAGGCTAAGGCATAGGCTAAGGCATGGGAGAAAGCATGGGCTAGGGTGTGGTTACAGCTTAGGCTAAAGCTTAGGTTATGACTGAGGCTAGGGCTTAGGCTAAGACTAGAGTTCAGGATAGGATATAGGCTATAGCTTAGGATAGAACATTGAATTATAAAACAAGCTAAAGCACGGGCATTTGTATGGGCTAGCTCTTGGTTTAAAGCTTACGCTAGGACATAAGCTAGATCATGAACCAGGGCGTGAGCTAAGGCTTAGGCTTTAGTTTTATTGCGGCTTAAGTTAAGGTTTAGGCTAGAGCATGAGTTAAGGCATAGACTAGTGTATGAGTTAAGGCATAGGCTACGGCATGAGCTAAAACCCTATGTTAAAGCTCTGAGGTATGTCTCCGGGCTAGGGCTTTGGACTAAGGGTCCGAGTTAAGGGCCTGGGCTAAAGATCTGGACTGGAGCTAGGGCTAGGGCTATGACTAAGACTATAGAATAGACTTACTTATGCTTGGTCTTTGACGATTCTTTTTTTGTGTGTTTCGAGCCGGCTGTCTCTTTGCCCAACTTCATTGCACATGGCCTGCAGTATAGTGAGCCCTAAAATTATAAAGTAAAGCATTGTAAAAAAAGTTCTTGCCATTTTTGGTTATGGAAAGAAAGTTCTTGCCATTTATTGTTCTGTAAAGAAAGTTCTTGCAATTTTTATAAAATTAATGGTTTTTTTAAATTCTTACTTGTCGACTATTATCTTTGAAAGCAGCTCTTCTTTTGCAATGTGAGCATTCTCTGGGCGCACCGTGCTTCCTCTCCGAATATGCACAGTGAACACACTTCTGGTCGACGAAAGCTGCTGGTAGTTTACAGTATTTGCAGGTTGTGGGCTAAAAATGGATTTTAATTTAGTAAAACGAAGTATAATATATCAGTAGAGTTATTATATTGTAGTATCTTGAACTGTAAAGAAAGTTCTTGCCATTTTATGCTTTGTAAAGAAAGTTCTTGCTATTTTTTGTTTTGTAAAGAAAGTTCTTGCCGTTTTTTGTTTTGTAAAGAAAGTTCTTGCTATTTTTTGTTTTGTAAAGAAAGTTCTTGCTATTTTTTGTTTTGTAAAGAAAGTTCTTGCTATTTTTTGTTTTGTAAAGAAAGTTCTTGCCGTTTTTTGTTTTGTAAAGAAAGTTCTTGCTATTTTTTGTTTTGTAAAGAAAGTTTTTGCCGTTTTTTGTTTTGTAAAGAAAGTTCTTGCCGTTTTTTGTTTTGTAAAGAAAGTTCTTGCATTCAGTAGTCTAAAAACAAAAAAGAAGTTTTAAATTCAACGTACCGTGCCATATTTGGCTTGATTCTTTATACATTTGTCGCATTGTGGGCCGGACCTGCTTGAGATCTCTCTGTTGCAGTAGTTACAACGCTTCATACTGTAACAGTACTAACTTATAAATTTTAAAATCCAAAATTTCAAAAAAAAATTTTATTTTTAAAATACGACTGGTCAAGAAACAATTAAAAGGTATATAAAAAGAAGATACGAAAGCTTTTTGGCGAGAGATCTTAAGAAAAGCTGTTTAAAGCGGAATGCCATGAAACGGGTCAAGTCTTACTCTATTTTTGTTTGCAAGGGAAGACTTGACACAATAGCTTTAAAGCTACGAAAAATTAAAATTGGTGGGCTTGTTGGCAAGAACTTTCTTTACAAAACAAAAAACGGCAAGAACTTTTTTTACAAGACAAGAAATGGCAAGAACTTTCTTTACAAAACATAAAATTGCAAGAACTTTCTTTACAAAAAAAAAACTGGCAAGAAATTTCTTTACAAAACAGTAAATGGGAAGAACTTTCTTTACAAAATTAAAATTGGCAAATTTTCATTAAAATTTTTTATTTTCAATAAGTCATGACATTTTAAAACACCTGTGTACCATTTTGTTTATTAAAGTCGTCCACTTTTCGTTTGTGGTCCAATTCGGTGTAGTTTTGGTATCCAAGACACGCACAGAGAGCTGATATGATGATCATCATCAAGTTGAACAATGCATACGAAAATAAGAACCCAATATCATCATGTTTTCCTTTAAAGTAGTCGATTCCAACATTGAAAGAGCCATACAGTAAGGCTACCAAAGCTATCAGGCTGTAGGCCATCTAAAACAATATTAAAGTACTTTGCGTTACCCTACTCTACCCTACCCTACCCTACCCTACCTTACCCTACCTTACTCTACCCTACCCTACCCTACCCTACCCTACTTTACCCTACCTACCATACCATATTCTATTCTACTCTACCTACTGTACTCTACCAAACCTTACCGTATCTACTCTTACCCTATCGTATCCTATTCTGTTTTACAGTACTCTTCCTTGCAATACCCAAACTTACCTTACACTGCGTTACAGTACCTCACTGTGCCTTACAGTACTGTACTTTACCGTGCTTTACAGAACCCTGTCTTACGTGATGTTACCTTGTCTTACAGTACTCTACCTTACCCTGCTTTAAAGAGTCTTACAGTGCCTTACCCTACCGGTCTTTACAGTATCCTATCCTACCCTATCTCGCAATACCCTCCCTTGCTTTACAATTACCTAACTTACCACGTCTTTCAGTACTCTACTCTGATTTACAGTATCCTGCTATACCCTTGCTTACTTTACTATGCTATTCCTTATCCACTCTAAATTACAGTATCCTACAGTACCTTACAGTGATATACCCTATACACTCTACATTACAGTACCCTACAAGCAATATCTTGCTCTACCTTAACCCACCCCCTTTCTGTAATTAAAAACGTCATAACATTGTGAAACCTACCGCAACTCCAGTACCAAACTTGAGTATCGAAACACTGTCGATTCGGTTTCCAAAGAACAACACAGCCGTAGCGGCAGCTGGAATCAAGTCGAAGAAGACGGTTAAAACAAAGATAAAATCATAGTTTCGGTTGTCCGTGTCCAGAACTTGTTTTATATTGAGTAGTATTAGCAATATACATGATATTAGGAATACATAACCGGCAAAGCTCTGAAATTTAAAATTAAAAAAATTAACTTTGTCTTTCGGCAAGTCTCATAGGCTTAGACTTGCCTAGATAGGCTTAATTTTGATAAGGTAGATGGAGCCTTTGTGGGGTAGGCTTAGGCTTCGTAGGGTAGGTTCAGGCTGGGTCAGACAAATTTATGCCTAGTAAGGTAGGGTTAGGCTTGATAGGATAAGTATAGGCTAAGTAAAATAGGCTTAGTCTTGGTAAGGTAGGGTTAGGATTTCAGGAAAAGATCAGTAGGGTGGGCCAAGGTAAGCGTAAGCTTGGTATAGAGTAGGCTTGGGAAAACAGATTTAACCTTGTTAAGATAGGCTTCAGTTGATAATCTAGGCTTAGGCTTGGTAGTATCGGTCGGATTAGGTTAGGCTTACTAGGGCGAGAATAGGCTTGGCAGGATAGGTGTAAGCTTGGTAGAGTAGGTTTAGCTTGGTAGGATAATTTTAAGCTTCATAGAGTAGTTTTAGGCTTAGTAGTGTAGACTCAGGATAGGGTAGGGTAGGGTATGGCAGAGTAGGGTAGGGTAGGGTAGGGTAGGGTAGGGTAGGGTATAAAAATTAAAAAAAAAGTCTTGCCGCCAAATTCCTTTCACTTACAAGTTGAAAAACGACATAACTTTTTTATTCTTTTGAAACGTATAAAACTGTATATTATAGTAACTCGCACTCACTTTCACTTACCTGAATTTTCATTTTAAAGAAGCAAAAAATAAACAACGAGTTCCGTTGACTTTCCTTTCCCAAAACTAGCAAAAAACCTCGTGCCAATCGCCTTCAGGAGCCCATTCTCTTTTGTCACTTCGTCGATCACAGCCTTAAAGAACTCGGAAAAAAGGTTTTTTGCGAAAAAATAACAACAACACATTCGAAAAGTCAACGTAAACGTTGATTTATATAGTAACTTTCTCTAGCATAGGATTTGTTTTAAAACATGTCATGATGACACATTTTTTAAGTAAAGTTTTGATAAAAATCGAAATAAAAACGATGTTGTCTATTTTTCTTACAGTCTTAAAAAATCAAATTTTCAAATTACGTTGCTTATGAAATGACAAAGAAATGTGAAAAACATGTCATGATGACACATTTTTTAAGTGAAGTTTTGATAAAAATCGAAATAAAAACATTGTTGTCTATTTTTCTTATAACCTTAATAAATCAAATTTTGAAATTACTTTATTTATAAATGACAAAGTAATGTGAAAAACATGTCATGATGACATATATTTTTATACTAAATTTTAAAAAAACCAAAATAGGTATGGTCTTATATAAGTTTATTACAATCTCGAAAAACCCTAATTTTTAAAATGCCTTAATTATAGTGTGATAAAGTAATGTAAAAACACGTCATGATGACATATATTTTTATAGCAAATTTTAAAGAAAATCGATAATAAAAATCCAATGATATGATCAATGTGTTTCTATTAGCGTCTAATACATGATTAGTAGCCACATAAACTCTAATTTTCAATGTTATATGAGAATGGTAATGATTGGAATTGTAAAAAACTTGTCATGATGACATATTTTCATAATGATTTTTGAGCAGATCTGTGAAATCTATAGTAGTTGTTCTGTCATATATTACTTGTACACTCAAAGTATTATTTTCTAAATGACTGTCATATGAGGATGAGAAAAATTGTAAAAAACATGTCATGATGACACATTTTTATAACGATTTTTGAGAAAATTTGTTGAAAATACAGTGATTTCAAAGCCCTAACGAAGCCATGAAAATTTTTGTTTCGACGTTTCAAATGTTTTAAATGTCATCTTCTTGTCACCTCAGCCTGTAAGCCTACGATTTCAATATATTGACTTAATGAATCAGCTACAAGCTTCAAACTTTCAACCGAAAAAGCTACAAAGAGGATTAAAGTTTAATAAAAAAGAGAAACAAACATGTTGTTGTGTCATTTCAAAAGCGACTTGCTACTCGAAAAACGTATGTCAAATTAAGTTTGTCGAATCCACACTTTTACTGCCCTCTGGCGGCGAGTTCGACCAACATAAACCGTCTTTAATGGAGAGTGGGGTGGTTATCGACCAAAAAATAATATTTTAATTGATTTGAAATTTACTGGGTTTTTATTATTTTTTTCATTTTAAATTTTGTTTTATTTTGGCAAGCTAAAAAACGGTTTTTCTTTGTTTTTAACCTTGTAAAGAAAGTTTTTGCAGTTTTTTCAAAAAGACTATGTAAAGAAAGTTATTGCGCTTTAAAACAATCAATCTTTGTAAAAGAATTTATTGCCGTTTGTACGTGGGCATTAAAAAATGTTTCACAGTCTGCGGGTGACAAGTTATACGATGGATGCGGTTTTTTAGTTTTTAACTTTGTAAATAAAGTTCTTGCCGTTCTTCCGAAAATCGCGTTTTGTAAAGGAAGTTCTTGCCATTTTTTGTACCGTAAAGAAAGTTTTTGCCATATTTTGTTCTGTAAAGGAAGTTATTGCCATTTTTCGTATTGTAAAGAAAATTCTCGCCGTTTTTCAAAAATCACGTTTTGTAAAGAAATTTAAAGCCATCGAGTCTTTGTAATATTCATTTTTAGGACACCACAATGCTAAAGCTACTAGCTACTGCCTTAGCTATGGCTATGGTATTGTCATCACCAGTCATTCAAAACAATTACGGTAACGGTTGCAGTGTTACAGTAAGTTTACAAGTTGAAAAGGCGTTTTAGCAACGGAATGTGGGTGTTAATCTCAGATGTCATTGTAGAATGACATGGTACACGAGTGTGATGGCACGTCAAGACGGATAACAGCGGCCGAGAAACGGGACATGGAGGAGTGGAACGTGCAATTCCAGAAGTACATGCAGAATCAAGTAAGCCCTAGGCTAGTTTAGCTTTGTCCCTAGCCTTGCCCTGACCTTGCCCTGGCCATGCCGTGGCCTTGTCCTGGCCTTGCCCTGGCCATGCCGTGGCCTTGCCCTGGTCTTGCCCTGACCTTGCCCTGGCCTTGCCGTGGCCTTGTTCTGGCCTTGCTCTGGCCTTGCCTTGGCCATGCCGTGGCCTTGTCCTGGCCTTGCCCTGGCCATGCCCTGGCCTTGCCCTGGTCTTGCCCTGGCCTTGCCCTGACCTTGTCCTGGCCTTGCATTGGCTTTGGTTGGAAAACGGGAAGTTTGGAAATCGAACTCATTTTAGGTTGGCCCGTTTCTAAAAATCAAAACCTGATCCGGCCTAAAAAGCCCGGCCCTTCACGTGAAAACAAATCGGCCGGTCCAGACCGGCCTGAGGTAACATGAGAACAGGACGGACCTAAACCTTAACCCCGACCTTTAGACCGGACTTAAAAAGTGGGTCCGGCCGGTTTCTGACCCATAGCCCCGGTCTTGTGCTTGCCTTGGTCTGAGACTTGCCCTGGACTAGGGCCTGCTTTGGCCTTGCTTTTAGACTGTTCCTGGTCTTGCCTTGGTCTAATACTTGCTCTTGCCTTAAACTTTCCATTGCTTGTCTTTGCCCTAGCCCTGGCCTTGCCCCTACCCAACATCACCTTACCTTACCTTACCTTACCTTACCCAACCATACCCTACTACAGAAAATTTTTTTCAGTTTCCACCAGGCTTTCCCTTCGTCCAAGCCCAACCACAAGGTCCGCCACCTCAAATGAAATCCCCGTGCAAGGTGGTTTGTACCACCAATTACTACACTTCCATACAAACTTCAACCTAACTCTTTAAGGCGTAGTGGAGCTATTTTGCCATAATAAATATTTTTAAAAAATTTGAAGAAAAAATTTTTTTTAATTAAAAAAATTTAAATTTGAAAAAAAATGAAAAATTTATTTACAACAATGCCAATTTGAAAAAGTAAATACATCACAAAATATATTTTTTTTAAATTCCAAAAAATATTTAAATTTTGTGTAAAATTAATAGAAATGTCAATTTTTGGCTTTTGGTCAATGAAAAATGGCAATCATCGACTTTTAATTCATGTAAAATGACTATTATCGACGTTTAGGTAATAAAACATGGCATTTTTTGTTATTTTTTAGCCAAAAAATTACAATTTTTGCAACTTTGAGGCAAAAAATGGTATTTTTCTATCACTTTTGACAAATAAAAATAATTTTAAAAAAGAATTTTTAGCCCACATATTCTAATATGGCATTTGCTTAATCAAAAATGCCATATTTTGTCTTTTACAGCAACAAAAATTACCTTTTGCAGCAAATATCAGGTCAAAAGGTGCTATATTTCAACAAATTTTAGGTAAAAAACCACCATTTTTCATCTATTTTTGGCCTAAAACGGCCATTGCTGACCTATTTTTAGGCTGAAACTGCTATTTATGTTCTACATTTAGCCAAAAACCGCCATTTTTTATCAATACAGTGTCAGTATTTAGCTAAAAACTGCCATTTTGTATCAAAAATTAATCAAAAACTGCTATTTTCTATCAACATTTAGCCAAAAGCTGCCATTTTCTATCAACATTAAGCCAAAAACGGCCATTTTCTATCAACTCTCGGCTCCCAAAACCTTTCATTTCACCGAATTCTGGTCAATGACAAGATAGACGGCCTTCGGCTGCCCACAGGCAAATTACTTTGATGACTTTGAATCGACATACGACGGTCATGGATCATCTTTTCGACTTGATGCGGATGAGCCAACTGTTCCGCTCGGATGTCAAACTGAGCTTCCGGCGCCACCTTGGCCGTTTCTCTGGCCCATGGCCGTGCCGTGACTTCAGTGGTGAAGTTGAAGATGATGGTGAAGACGGTCATCATGACTCCCATGAAGATGAAGACTTTGGACCACTGGAAGTAGTGGTTAATATAGTTGATATCAGTTGATAAAAACTTACCTCACCGCTGGTATTGTTGGGTACAAAGATGGATACAGCCGCTGCCAATCCAAATAAGGTCAAACTTTCGTTCAGGGAGTTGACTGACATCAGGACGTGCACAAATCGACCAGAAATCTAAAAGAAACTCGACTTTGAAAGAACTTTCTATACAGAACAAAAAATGGCAAAAACTTTCTTTACAAAACAGAAAATAGCAAGAACTTTCTTTACAAAGCATAAAATGGCAAAAACTTTCTTTACAAATCAAGAAATGGCAAGAACTTTCTTTACAAAACAAATAATGGCAAAAACTTTCTTTACAAATCAAAACATGGCAAGAACGTTTTTTACAGATCAAAAAATGGCAAGAACTTTCTTTAGAAAACAAAAAATGGCAAGAACTTTCTTTACAACTTAAATTTTTTTCAAATTTAACAAACAACTTAAAAACACTCACCAACTGACAGCTCTTAAGCACACTGACAGTATCCAGTCCACTTAGCGCAATCACAGCCGAATAGCAAAACTGGCCCAGTCCAACCGCACCTTCAGGCATAAAAGCTAGCCCGAAATAGGCGGCGGCCAATAAAAATTGCGAAAATGAAGCAAACGCTATCACTCTTTGCTTATCAGTGAGTCCGGGCAGGGTGTCACTGATTGGTCCACCAATGAATTTGCCCAGCATTGATAAAAAGAATGGCAGTGCGGCGGCGAAGCCCGTGCCTTCGACGTCAAAGTGAAGAATCTGAAAGCAGTTTTGTCACTTTGAATATAGATATTATGGTAAAATACGGGGTTTTCGTATAGATATGTATTTGCTATACACAATACGATTATTTTACACTAGTAGTAATTGAAATGGCATGTTACGCGTTGGAGATGTTTTATCGTATAACTTGTCACTTTTTTTTATATTTTTGTCAGAATTGAAATATTATTTTTAAAAAATAGGTTTAAGATGCTCTTCCTTGTCATACAAAAACATTATTTTTAGCTTTTGTACTAAAGGTGACAAGTTATACGATAAAACATGTTGTATTAATAAACATGTTTCATCGTATAACTTGTCACTAATACCAAAATTAAACTTCATTTTTAAAAAAAATTGATCTAGAATACCTTTCTTTGTCATACAAAAACGTTATCTTTAGTTGGTATACTAAAGGTAACAAGTTATACGATAAAACACTTTTGAAAAGATTAAAATTCATTTTCAAAAAAACTGATATAAAATGCACTTGTTTGTGATACTAAAACATTTTTTTTTAATTTTATGCTAAAAGCGACAACTTATACGATGAAAAATGAAAACCTTTCCACCGTATAACTTGTCACCTTTAACAACAATTTTAAATTCGAAAACAAAAAACCTGCCTCATTAAGATAGATAGGTCCATATTGAAAGAATAATCGAAAAGCGATGATGTTACTCAAGGCAGTTCCCAAGATACCAAGCACGCATTTGTCAGTGAAGATGGCCTTGTATGGTACAGGCTCCAACTCAACGCCATCGTTGATTCGGATAATTTTACCTTCTTGAATCACTTTCAATTCTTGTTCAGATACGTTTCTGAATCAATTTTACTAATTTTTTATTTTAAAAAACGACAAGCTACATGTTATACGGTCAAACATGTCTTATCGAAACTGTTTCATCGTAAACATGTCACGCTATAACTAAAACTTGAAAAACTTGTCCGAAATGGCTTTAATATACCATTTTCAACAGTCCTTAAAAAATTTAGCATTTTAAATTTGTCACGATGGCAAGTTATACGATCAAACATGTTTAATATGTTTCATCGTATAACGTGTCACCCTATAAAAAATTTGTTACAAAAGCCTTTAAAATGTTATTTTTAACTCCCATCTAAAAATTTAATATTTAAACTATGTCATAATGACAAGTTATACAAATCAAACATAACATAAATTAACACTTTTCATCGTATAACTTGTCCCCCATTCCCATAACATTAAAACTCACGGATGCATAGCCGGAGAATCTCTGTACATCCAATAAAACAACACAAACACTGCCAATGTGACAAATCCATGAAGATAATAAGCCCAACTCCAGCCCCAGCTCGTCTCGCAGAGTGCGGCCGAGACCGGCATTGTGAACATGGGCGCGAGCTGCAAATGACATGACAAATAGGCCACTGCGGTACCACTTCGGTTCAGCTCGGCCCATTCCGCTATGACTGCGCCGAATACAGACCAGGACGCGGTTATGGCTACACCTTGTACCATTCGTACTAGTAGGACTGGATAGTACCCGAACTCGGCCGCTAAGGGGAAGATGAACACCGATAAAGCTGATATTAGGCCATACAGAGTGAACATATTGCTGAAAATTAAGTATTATAGTACTAAAAATGGTGTTATAATGTCAAATTTTAAAAAATTTTGAATTTACAGTAACATACCGTATTCCTAACAAAGAAACCAAATAAGTTATTGGAAGTGTTCCAAAAATGGTACCAACTGCTATCATGGATAATAACCAACTTCGTTCTGTTTCGGAGAACATTGGCTTAGATTCTGCAAGAACTTTCTTTACAAAACAAAAAATTGCAAGAACTTTCTTTACAAAGCAAAATTAAAACGTACCAGTAACCGTAGTACCATTAAAAGTGGCAATATGATCTTTATTCAAGCAAATCACAGTAAAGTTGAAGATCATAGCATTTGAAACGCATATTGTGAGAGCAATCGTCACTATTCCCAATATTATCAGTCTTGTTTTATTCCTGAAATGTCATGTTTAGTCATTGCACGGTGCAGTGACAAACTAAATTACGTTGCACTGTGTAGTTCAATAAAAGAAAACCTTGCACAGTGCAGTGAAAGAAAAGAAGCGTTGCACTGTGCAGTTCAATAAAAGAAAGGGTTGCACAGTGCACTCTAACAAAAGAAAGTGTTGCACGGTGCAATCACAAAAGAAATCGTCGCACTGTGCAGTTCAATAAAAGAAAGCCTTGCACAGTGCAGTTTAACAAAAGAAAGCGTTGCACGGTGAAATGACAAAAGAAATCGTCGCACTGTGCAGTTCAATAAAAGAACGGATTGCACAGTGCAGTCTAACAAAAGAAAGCGTTGCACAGTGCAGTCAATAAATTAATTTCTGCACGGTGCACGCCGAATATTTGTGATATTTTTTAAAATAAAATTTTAAAAAATTGAAAAAAAATTGTTATCTAAAAAAATTTTCGAAAAATTTTACAAATTATTTTTTTTTAATTTTAAATTTCTTGAAACTAGAAATCCTTACCAAAAAACGAAATTTTTTTGCTTCTTCAATGGACTAAACTTCTCGACCGTTGCCATCGAGGTTCGGCGAAGGGTTTGCTCGTCCATGTACAATACATTGTCGCCAGCTGCATGTTGGTTCGACATTTCGACGCCTAAAACATAATTCATTATGTAATTGAGCTTTTTTTTTAAATTGAAGTCAAAACGCAATAACTTCCTTTACAAAACAAAAAAATGGCAAGAACTTTCTTTACAAAACAAAAAATGGCAAGAACTTTTTTTACAAAACAAAAAATGGCAATAACTTTCTTTACAAAACAAAAAATGGCAATAACTTTCTTTACAAAACAAAAAATGGCAATAACTTTCTTTACAAAATCAATTTTTTTACAGTTTATACAAATGAGCAAAAACTTTCTTTCCACCGCCCAAAAACCCAGTTTTATGTCTTTTTATATCATAAATAACCCCAGAGTTCAACCAATTCGCAAACTGCATGATCGTAAAGCCGGCTGGCGCTAAATATGCTCAAATCGTTGAATAATTTATAAACTTTATGCTTCTGATCCTTCGACTTTAGTAAAATTTTCGAACCCTCGAGGATTTAAATTTGATTTAAAAGTGTCAAACGTGACAAGTGATAGTAGTTCAGTAACTTGTGTTAGTCCGAAGGTTAGCCGGCTGCACTTCCAAGCCGATTAAAATGATTTTGCAAATTGAAATATCGACTACAAATCATTTGATAGGTGATAAACGATTCTACTTTGTTAAAAATTTAAATTTATTACGTAAAATTGGAGTAAGGCCATTTCAATTCTAAAAAAATGAGGGGGTGGAGCAAGGCTATACAAATGCAAAGACATTATTCGACTAGCACTGTCTCAACATGTCAGCAATCAACTTCATCGTCACCGCCGATCGCCGCAACATGCAACACTGTTTCGAGTATGGTAAGTAGGGCATAATCACTGTGACGGTCTTGGCCGACGAAGTTTTGCACGCGTACATCAAGATCAGAAGCTCAAATATATTGTTGTTCACGTCTTTCGACGCTGATTGAATAATAAAAACATGCTTTGCTCGAACACTCTGAAAAAGGTCAGATTAATACCTATTCTTCAGCATTTTAAGCCAAACTGGGCCTTCAAAACGTTTAAATTAGCCATCAAAATACAAATTACAAGCTTATTACATCAAAACTTACCTGTTTAATATACACACTGGTTCATTTTTAAGGTCATGCATTACCTATGATCAGTGATAATCTTCATTTCGAGGAGTACGACTGCGCTTTATCCGAGATGAGGTCTCTTGAAGGTCGATTGGAAGACGAGCTTCAACGACACTTCAGCACGAAGGTGGATCTTCGTCAGTACGAGGATTTGAGGGTACCAATCTCAGGAACGGATGAAGTGCATCGACTGGGAAATTTGGGGCGAGTTACGATGAAAAATCCGCAAATTATCATGATCAATTTTGCTGACAAGCCCACGGCCATAAAGGTTGCGTTGCAAAAGAGCGCATTGAATGTGAATCCTCAACATGAAGGTAGGAAACAGACTTTTATATGTTTTTGACAAATTTAAACTCAAAAGCTTTCGTTAATCATAAGTTATGGATTGTTTTAGGCAGACAGTCAAGAGTAATATAAATTTTGAATCTTTTTTGGTCATAACTCAACGGAAATTGTTTTTATAGACTTCAAAATTTAGTTTTTAGTTAATGAAGAGTATTTTAAATGATTTAAATATATTTTTTGCAGGAATCATGTTGTACATACCCGTCCCAAGGATGACGAAAGAAAGGAGAGAGCAATTGGCGAAAGATGCCAAAACTTTGGTGTTGGTTGATTATAAGAAGGCAGTTAATGATGTAAGCTTTACTAAGGTTTTCTTTATGTACTGTTAAAGTTTTGTGTTTATAATTTCAAAAATTTTTGAGTTTTGTCAAGAATTGACGCACCTACAGAAGCAGCATGGTCAATATCGCTAAAATCACTAAAAAAGGAGATTGTTGTTTAAATTCAAGTTGCATTTTTAGGTATATGTTAAAAGCGGCAAAAAGGCATCAGCAACGAAAGAACTGGAAAGCAAAGCAAGGCCGTATAATATTAAAATAGCCAAGTGTAACATAAGGTAGGGAAAGCCAGCGCGCTAAAAAGTCCAGAGATTTAGCGTTTGTCGGAAGGCTGGCTATACGAAAAGGGCTTTATTCAAATTTATTCTTTAAATTTTACTCAAATTGATTGTTTAAAACGAAGATGAACATTTTATGGTCAATTTACCCTGAGGTAAGCTTAATATTTTACTGTGTATTGTATTGTAACTGTTACTTTAATTTATATAAATGTTTTAAAGAAAACTTAAGCCCCATTGAGGTTCAATCTTTAAAAAAATTGAATTGAAAGAACCAATCTTCAAATAGGTCAAATTGATTTTTAGTTCTGGATACGAATGATCAAGTACACAACAAATGTGGAAGATCGCTGTAGCTTTGCCCAGATAAACAAGTACTGTTACGAACTGACAGTACGTGCTACGAAAATAAGCTTTCAAAGCTTGTGCTACAGACATATGATTTGTCGTTACAAAGGAGAGACTTGGGCCGAGGCTTTCTCTGAGTAAGTTACAATGCTTTAGGCATACATCTTTATCAAGTTGCAATGCTTTAGGTACACATCTTTAAGTTTTTATTAGATAAGTTGGGTAGATTATACAAAATAAAACACAACTGGTGAAGCTACAGTAAGTTTAAAGAAATTTAGGCTTGTGTCATGACTATAGCAGTGGTGGGCTACGGTATGAACAGGACAGTTTAAGATAAAGCTTCAGTATGACTAGGGTACTTCAAAGCAAAACTACAATAGAGTTAAGGCGAAGCCTAAGTTGACGGCTAAAGCTAAGGGTATGGCTAAGGCTAATGCTAAGGGTAAGGCTAATGTAAGGCTAAGTCGAAAGGTAAGACTAAAAATAACGCTAGAGTTAGAGCTAGAGCAGACATTCGGAAGGGGCCAAGCCGGACTAAACTCAAATTTAGGTCGGACCGGGCCTTGATTTCCAGGTCCAAAAGCCCGGCCCTTTTGCACGGAAAAACATTCAGGCCGGACCCTGGACTAAAATTAAGATCAGCCCAATCTTCACGTTCAGCTAGAACTAGGGCTAATTTGTACTAATACTCATTTTTCAGCGCACCAAACCGCCCAATAGAGTCAACATTCAAAAAGGAATTTGGATTTTGGCTTTATAACGATCCCATTCGTTGCTGTCCTTACACTGGGATGATGGCACGCAGATCGTGCGGCAAAAAAGTTCGTTTGATGAATATTGACTTTGGGTTGAAAATGGACAAAATTTTGAATTTTGAATATATTAAAGGTGATCATCTCTTTAAAGTGCATTTTATCAACAAGTCAAAACAACTGCTACTAGACATGTTTAAAACCTTTGTCGTGTACGACATAGCAAAGAAAAAGGTGGTCAAAACTTACCCAGCGCTTCAACACCAACGAGACACTAATTTCACGTTGTGGTACTCCGAGAGTCGAACGTTGGTAGATGTGTGTAATCAAAAAGAGTACAAATTTAAAGTGAATGTATTAGGCTTTTGCAATGAAATATACAACGCGGTTTCCTATGGCTACCGAAAATACGTTGGTTTCGTGAATACACAACAAGAGTTTGTTGTGATCAATAACACTACAGGACAACGGCAAACTGTATTTCCTCTGCTCGATGACGCGTGGGACGCCATAATTGCAATTGCAGACGACTCGGACCTGGTTGTCCATAAACGCGGTTTGTAATTTTTTTTACTATCTATTTATTATGTATGTAGCGAACTTGAAAAAACAGCTGAAAATAGTTGTGAGAGGGAGGGGCGATGATGCTAGGGCTAGGGAGAAAACTAGGGCTTGGCCAAGACTAAGGCAAAAGCTCAGGCTGATGCCAAAGCCCAGGCTGTAGCTATGGCTAGAGCTCGAGCTAAAGCAGGTCCTGAAGCTAGGGCTAGAGCTAGAACTGAGGCTTGGGCTAGGAGTAGGGCTAAATGCCAAACCTAGAACTCAAGCTAGGGCTTGGCTAAAACTTGGCTAAGGATTAGCTAGAGCTTGGCTAGAGTTTGGCTAGGGCTTGGCTAGAACTTGGCTTGAGCTTGGCTAGGGATTGGCTAGAGCTTGGCTAGGACTTGGCTAGGGCTAGAGCTTTGCTAGGGTAAAGGAAGAAGCTAATGCTAAAGCCCAGCGGGCTAGAACTTGAGCTGAGCCTAGAGTTAAGAATTGGTGAGGGCTGGAGCAAAGGCTAGCGTTAGAGCTAAAACTAATACTAATGGTAGAATTAGGGTTAAGGTTACAGCTGCTTGTAGCAAAACTACGTCAATTAAAAAAATTTTTTTTGTGAAACGGTCCTTCTCCTTTCTCAAAAAATGCTTTAACTTAGAGCTATTTTCAGACAAGCTTATTAGAGTCTATGACATCAAAACGAGAAAATGTGTTTTTGAAACGGACAGCCACAACAAGATGAACGAGATCGAGTTATTAAATCAAGAGCTTCTACACATAAGTCATGACAAAAGTTTTTACGTAAGTCATAATTTGCTCGGAATAAACTTTGTTTGAACAGTTCCAGACTCGTTATAGCTTTATTGACACCCACATTCAACAGTTGGTTACATTAGATATTACCCGTTTTGTTGATAAAACAAAACTCAATAGTTCTTGATGTCTGCTTGGTTGTTGGCAAAAACAGCAAATGTCAAGATTGTTTTATCTTTGATACAAAACGCCAATGATTTTAGAGGACGTTTTATAGTCTTTTAAAGACTTTTAAACAACTTTAATAAAGTATTTTTAAAATAAAATAATTTTCGAAGTGGGTCTAGAAATTTTGTTTAACAAAAAGCTAGCGTGTACGTATAGTCCTGCAATCAAGTCCAAGCGCCGGAGAGAATTTTGTTCAAACAACCATGATTCGAAATCAGAATTTAACGGAAAAAAATTAAAACTCCAAGAAGCCCAAAGTCAAAACTAGAAAATGTATGTTTAAAAAGCGTTTCCTCTTTCAAAACAATAATTGCAAAATAACAGTTTGGGGGAAAAAATTGAAAATCGGCATTAAGTTCTTCATCACAATAAGCTCAAGCCTTCTATAACGAGTTCAAAAGTCAACGTAGTGCAAGATCGGCTTGAAAAACTATAATGTTTTATAATAATTTAAAGCAAAAGTTGAATTAATTCCAAAGACTTAAACTTAAAATTATAAGAATCTACGACCATCAATAGTATTCAGTGTAAAAATTCCCTATTGTAGCACATCCTAAAAAAGAAACAAAAATTAGTAATTCCATTTTTCGAACTGTTAAAAATAAACCATATCACCTTAAGTTTTTTTGAGAAAAAATAAGTAAAAACTCTTTTTTTAAAACTTTTTATTACAGTCTTAAAAACTACAAAAGTACCATTTAAAAAACTGTCATAGCCGTACACGGCTTCAAAGAGCAATAATAATAAAAAACGTTTATAAAGCTTAATAATTTCAACTAAAGTAATAAAAGAAAACATAGGTTCGTTCCGAACTTAATAAGATAAAGACTTTTAGTACACGATAATGAAAAAAAAACAGTTCAAAGCGAATTTCAGACACAAATATTCTGAGATCATACTAAACCCACAAATATCCTGAGATCATATTAAAAACTCTTACAACAGATAACGATTAATTAAATGCCAAGAGGTATAATAAGAGATAAATTCAACATAAATGACAATAACAAGAGGTAATGTAAACGGTTTTGCGCTTTCTTAATAGATTAAAGTTTAAAAAATTGTTAAAAGTTTACCGTAAAAATTTCAAAATTTTAATGAAAATGGTTTTTATCAAAGTAGTTTGTGGGAGTGTATAAATTCTAAAAATTAATATAGCCACTTATTTACTGAATAAGTTAATGTTTTAGAGTCTTATTTTTAGGTTTACATAAAAGATCGTTTGCAAAAAAATTTTTTGCACGCTGTAGAAACAAATCTTGCTAACTGAACCAACAAAAGTTTACAAAAAAGTAATGTATGTTGGAAATTTCCAAAACTTGGTCCAGTTATTAAAGCAACTATATAAAACAAAACAAAAAAAAGCAAAAATTACATAGTTCAGAATTTAGAAAATTTGCTAAAGTGTCCGCAGCATTTTTTGAAGCTCCAAAAATGTATCTTTTTTAATGTATAGCACGTGGCAAAAACTGATACGTGCTACAACAGAAGAAACACTACTTATATTTAAAAAAAAATATTTTAACCGCAAAACTCTTTACACTGCCTACTTTCATTGAGGAACTTCCTTTTTATCTATCAACATTGTTAAAACAGTAGCTGGAGCGTCACTTAAACCCTTCAGCTTTCTCACGGTGGCCACAACTTGACCAGCTTTCGTGTTTAAACATCGTGCATCTCCTTCTACTTGTACCCAGCTTTTAATCAGAGTTTGTAGCCATACATTCATATTATGCTCCCGCAAAGCTGTGGTCAGTGCTACAAATTATTGCATTACAATAAAAAATAGTACAAAAACAAAAATATTAATTGTTAAAGCTTAATAAAAATAAAAAACAAAGAGAAGCAAAAGAAGAGGGAGAAGTAGATCAACGACTAAGAGTTGATTAACTCTACCCCCGCCCCGGAAGGCCTAATGCTAAAAGTAAGGCTAAAGATAAGACTAAGTCTTAGGCTAGAACTAAGACTAGTGCTACGGCTAGTGCTAGGGCTAGGGTTAGGGCTATGATTATGGCTATGGCTATGTCTATGGCTATGATTATGGCTATGGCTATGGTTATGTCTATGGCTATGATTATGGCTATAGCGATGGCTATAGCGATGGCTATGGCTATAGCGATGGCTATGGCTATAGCGATGGCTATGGCTATAGCGATGGCTATGGCTATAGCGATGGCTATGGCTATAGCGATGGCTATGGCTATAGCGATGGCTATGGCTATAGCGATGGCTATGGATATGGCTATAGCTATGGATATGGCTATCGCTATAATTATCGCTATGGCTATGGTTATGGCTATGGTTATGGCTTGGGCTAGGGCTAGGGCTAGAGCTAGGGTTAAAGCTAGTGCTAAGGCTAGTGCTACGGCTATTTCTGGGGCTAGGGTTAAGGCTAAGGCTAGTGCTATTTCTAGGGCTAGGGTTAATACTAGAGCTAGAACTAAGGCTAGGCTAAAGCTAGGGCTAAAGCTAGGGCTAAGGCTAGAGATAGGGTTAGAGATAGGGCTAGGGATAAGGATAGGGGTAGGGCTAAAGCTAGTGCTAAGGCTATTTCTAGGGCTAGGGTTAATACTAGAGCTAGAACTAAGGCTAAGGCTAGGCTAAAGCTAGGGCTAGGGCTAGGGATAAAGCTAGGGCTAAAACCATGGCTTGATTTAAGGCTAGAGTATGAGTTAAGACTAAAGCTAAAATTAAAGCTAGAGCAGGCTAAGGCTAAAATTAGCTAGTGCTAGCGAAAGCTAGAGCTAAGACAGACTAACAATTAAGACTAACAGCTATGGCTAGAACTAGAGCTAGACATATAGTTACACTGTATCCTACCTCCTACCCATAAAGTAGATCCACTCCTCTTCACACCCCCCCCCTCCCTTTGTTTAAAATATACTTGTAAAACTTACCAAACGATTCACGTAAGAAAAGCGAAGCGTGAATAGTTCGTCTGGGAAAATCCCCACCAGCGGGAGTTACGTCGCAATTAAGGTCCCTTTTTTGAAATTCTGAACAAATGGCGGTGACATGTTCTGCCTCGCACTCTATGTCCATTTCGACTAGCGGTTCCAGGATCACTGGCTTTGCGTTTAAGATAGCTGCGTGAGTAGCTTTACGCACAACTTCTTTGAAGTCAGCTTCAGATCGCTTCTCCGGTCTTTGTAAATTAGCATTGTTAAGTTTGACCAGAACACCTTGAGTTCGGTCGCCACAAAGTGGGCCCCGCATAGTTGCTTCGTCAAACCCTTCTGCGACGGCCTTTTGGATTTCGTTCAGGTATTGTACTCCCTTGGTGTAATCAATTAAAATGTTGCCGTTTGGTCTAAAGCTCCAGATGTTTTTTGAAACATCCGTGTTGTAACCACAATCCTCCATGTATAGTCTTCCTTGCTTGACGTTAACTTTGAAATTACGACCAATCTCCACCACCTTTTCTGCCATTTTTTGTGTTATTTTACACGCAGTAACTTCGATACTATTCATTTTGTCTTCTGTTCTAATCAAGCAGGGAATGTGCGAGGATTCCTTTACCGATTCCTCGTAACAAACATCCCACTGGATAACCTTGATTTTGGTTTTGTGTTCTTCTTCCAGCAGTTTCAAACAGTATTCTACGTGTAATTGACCAGCCCCGGCAATAACAAGTGTGCCATTTTCTCCGAAGTGCAGTTCAATCATAGGATCGGCTTTGGACAAACGTTCTAATCCATTTATCTTAAAAAATAAAAGACGGTTAAAAAAGGTTAGAGTAGAAGTAGGGTATAGTAGAGTAGAGTACGGTAGAGTAGAGAGAGTGAAGTAAGGTTGGGTAGTATATGATAAGGTAGAGTAAGACAATTTTTTATATTATTCAATTTTCTTAAAATCTTACAAGGCTTTGCAATTCATCAAGATTTTCTGGCTCAATGACCGCACAGACTGTCGGTGATCCAAAAAACGACATGGCTTTTAATTTGTGTCTTTGATCTACCGATGTTATTGTGCCCTCTGAGACCAACACCTGGTCAACCCCGGTTATACCGACTAAATTACCGGCTGGGACTTCTTCGATGGATTCTCTGCGACATCCCGTCATAAAGACAACGCTAAATTTAAAATAAGAATACATTTATAATTAGTAAAATTAAAAACAGTTTTATTTGATTTTAAGCCGTAGAAATTTTTAAATTTCGTTTTTAGTATGTATTAGGTTGTCCGGAAAGTTTTGAGCCCAAAATACTTTTTAAATATAATTTGTATTTCTTAAATAATAGCACTGCTTGTTTTACAATTATTCTATACTGCAACATTAGAATCATTAAAAACATTTTAAAAAATTTTTCTACGTTTTAAAACCATTTTGACACATGTAGCTCAACTTTTAGAAATTCTAAATTTTTTCAATTTTTTTGAGATGAATCTGGCTACATTAAGTTTGTCAACACATATTTGAGCTGTTAGAAACAGAAAATAAATAAAGGACTAAAATCGGTCTGAGCAACACTACATAAAATGAAAAATAGTTTTTTGTTTTTGTAGCACGTATTCTTAATTTTTTGCACGGTCTTCACTAACGTAAGAACGGTAAATGTGTCATACTTTAAAAAATGCTTCGGCCACTTTTCTCAAAAATTCTAGAAAGATTTGAACCAGGTTTGTTTGTAATTGTGTTGTAAATAGTTACTTTAGTATCTAAGCCAAATTTCAGAAATTTACGAAATACCAAAGAAAATATGCATCACCAAACGTAAAATACAAATATTTTGACTTTAAAGTGAATTCTGGAGTTGTCCTGTGTAGACACTAACTCTTGAAATTAAATATTTCTCTATCGTACACTAGTCCACAAAAAAGTCATTTTTAAGCACTTCTTTGTCCGGCAGCATCAGGAGCCGTCTTTAAGCCTATCGCAGTCTGATTTTCAACCGATTTTTTACGAAAAGTACTACATTTTTGGTAACAACTTTCAATGTGCCAATTTCAAAACAGCTAAAATCTCATGTGTTCTTATAATATTGATGCCTAATAAGCTATTAGCACCATTTTTTAGTTTATCCACAGTTTATAGCCTTAGGGCATTCTTGCAAACTTTTGATGGTTTAGTTGGGGGGTATTTGTTTTTACCGTATACATAAAAAACGAAAATGTTTTGCTAACTTTTTTTGATGCAAACTTAACAATAAGACCCTAGAGCATTAATTTGGGAATGAACAAATAGCTCAATAAAGTTTCTGCTCTTTTATATTACGGCAATCTATTTCGATAAAAAATTTCCTTAAAATTTTTTAAATTTCTACCTACCTAAAACGAATAAAAATTTTAATTTTAAGAATGGATTTTTTTAAATAATAGAAGCAACTAAATTCCAAACAAAAAAAATTTTTTTAAATTCGGCTATCATAAAAGGTCAGAACTTTCCGGACAACATAATATAATATCAGAAACTTAACTTAGGCTCTGTAATTGAATAAATCTATGTTTTAAAGTCTTATTTTTGAATTTACATTAAAAAATGTTAGCAAAAAAATTTATTTTTTATGCACACGGTAGAAACAAATATGTGCCAACTAGACCATCAAATGTTTACATAAATAGCCTAAAGCTATGAGTAGTAGATAACCTAAAAAATTGTGCTAATAGTTTAATGATAGCAGCTGTATTAAAAGTAAATATACTATTTTGGCTGTTTTTAATAAATTGGTCCACTGAAAGTGGTTACTCAACAAAGTAGTAAAAAAATCGATAAAAAATCAGAAGGTGATAAGCTTTAGAATGAATTCTGTTGCCACCGAAAGAGGAAATGTTCAAAAAATGACGCTGTTTTTAATTTTTAAACCGCTTTTAAGTTTGGTGGCTACACAGAGTGAAAGGGCGGGCGGAGTCTTGATATGTCACAAAGCTCCAAAACTTCGCTTAGAAGCTAAGATAAACATAAAAACACAACGACAGACAAAAACAAGTTCAGCATATTCGAAAAATTTTTAAAGAGTACCTGGATTGTGCTTACAACTCCAAAAACTGTCTGCAAAATTGATGTATTCAAATTTACCGCAAAAACTTTTTAAACGTCCAGTATCTCTAAATATAGTGCTACATGACTACAAATAGACTTGAAAAGTAGATAAGAAGTAATTTTGCAGTGTAGAATAATTAATCAACAGCAAGTGTTGTTATTTAAGAAACATTACTTATACATTGCAAAAATTTAAAAAAGTTCATTTATATTTTGACTACCTAATAAATAATATAAAATGACACTGAATATTAAAAATTGAAACTTCAGTTTTTTTAGCCATTAAAAATTTTAAAAAAACCAATTATTAAAATTACCTTTCGATAGTTGGCTCAAGTAAAAATTCCTCGCCTGAAACGCCGTTGGGAACTTGGACACGGACCTTCTTGCCAGTAGCGACCTTTCCGGAGAATACACGACCGAAGGCGTAGAAACGTCCTCTATCAGAGGTCGGTACCATCTTGGACACGTACATCGTCAATGGTCCGTTGACGTCACAGTTCTTGATGGCGGTAGCGGCGGCATCATTGTGGGGTCCTTCGTACAACACCTTCATTCTGTACTTCTGGGCGGTAACAGGGGATGGCAAGTAGATACAGGACATTTGCAACATAGTATCACCAGCTGGCAACCATTTTCTCATAAAGACCTCCATCAAAGCCTTTCCTTCCAAGTCCTTCTCTTCAGATGAGAGCTTGATGTTCAGTTTAGTGATGAACTTGTCAACCTGGTCCTTCTTGATGTTCATGGTAGCGTCGAAAACCTTGAAGATGGGGTCCAAGACGAATTGGACGAAACCACGAACTGAACCTTCTTTTTGAGAGCTGCTCCACTTTTTGGTCTTCAAGTTGAAGAAACGATCTCCCCATAAGTTCTTCATTAGCTTGTTAACTTGGATTCCGAATTTGGAAGAGTACATCTCAGCAAACTGCTTCAGGGTGTAGGCCCAACCGTGAAGACCTGATCCGAAACCGACGTTACCATCAGCTGGGTTAACCTTGATTGGTCCCATTGGTCCGTCGTCACCACCACAGGTAGTGATGACATCGTTGATGTTCTCAACTATATGATCGAAGCTTTGGAAGAGTTCTTCCTGATCCAATTGCAGTTCCAAAAGAGCACGGTCCATCTTGTTGATGAACAGGATTGGCTTGACACGTTCGTCGATGGCTTGACGAAGTACGGTCTTGATTTGTACGCACACACCTGAAAGTATGTTATTTTACAAACCAAAACTCTATTTTCAACGAATAAAAGGTCAAAAATCTCATCAAAACACAAATTTTAATAAGTTTTAAAGCTAAAACATTATAATATCAAAGTAAAACTCACCAGTAACACAGTCGACGACGACCAAAGCACCATCAGTCACACGGAGAGCGGCTGTTACTTCAGATGAGAAATCAACGTGACCAGGTGAATCGATCAAGTTGATCAAGAAACCGTTATGTTTTTGCCATCTTCAACCTCAATCTGGTTGTCTCCCTTTATGAAGTCCAAATCCTTGGTGTCAAGTTCAAAGAACATAGAGATGGCACTAAAATGAAAAAATTATATTAACATACCTCTATAACATTATATTTTGCTCTACGTTATAATAAAAAGCTTTTTAAAAGCAAAATAATTTCTTTCCAAAGCAAGATTATACTAATACATCTAAAACAACATCAAAAATGACCAAAAACTTTGTAAAACAAATTGAATATCAAAATATTAACTTACGTTGACTTGATGGTCATACAACGATCCTGTTCATCTTTACGGGTATCAGTGAAACTTGTTTCACCGGCCTTGGCTCCAGCAATAATACCGGCCTTGGATACCAACGAGTCAGTCAGTGTCGTCTTTCCGTGACCGAAGTCAGCAATTACGGACATGTTTCTGATGTTCTTCTTTTTGTCCATAAGGGCGCGGATCTTGGCCCCTTTGGACATTTTGCCTAAAAGATCAACATAATTTTTTAAAGCATAGAGCCTAAAGCTAAACCAATAAACGATCACAATCAAAACAATGATAAAATAAGCTATAACCAGACAAATAAAATACGTTAATTTATAAAAATCAATTTAAAATAAGCCTAAATCACGAAAACATAAAACATGGGTAAAATACGGCATAAACATGTAAAAAAGGACCATAAATAGCACCAATCAGATATCAGAGCATGCCATTTTTAATTCAAGATCCTCGCGCGAAACGATTTCGCGTGGGTACTTAACATTTTCTTGGCATTTCGTTGCAGAAACGCGTGAATTTTATTTTCACGTTGAAATCGATATACCTTTGAAATTTTTAGGGATTCTTCTCAATTCCGGTGGATAATCTTAGGGCTAGTCCATATTTACTGCAGTACATTAAAGAGAACATTCCGGACTTTAAAAACGCTGTGATTGTGGCCAAGAGTGCTGAGGTCATGCATAAGGTATGTTATGATCAATATCTTGGGGGAATTGGTCTTTTTAATTGATATAACGGCTTTTTACTGAAGAATAGATGTTGTTCTAGCTACAGTAGTGTAAATTATGTTTAAAATTTTGCGATTTGGTAACACTTTCATTGATCTTTGTTAATTGGCAGTGTAATATAGCTTTTGATGATTTTCTTGGTCAGAAGCGTTTTAAATGCATCGATTTTGACTTTATATGAAAGAGTATATCTCATTCTATCTATAACATCATACTTCATTTTAAAATTTAAAGAATTTTAATTTTTATATTAATTTTTCTTTCGCTGATATTTGATGCCTAGTATAATATCATATTTACTTCATAACTTTTCCTTATCATAATGACTTAAATTTTAGGCAACAAGTTACGCTGATCGTCTTCGCCTAGGAATCGCCGTAATTCACGGTGAAGAGCAGAAAGAGGACAATGATGGAACGTTGAAGCACGATGGTCGTCAAAGTCCTCCGTTGAACAATGAGAAGAGACCTTCGACAAGTTCGGGACGTCTCAGTTCAGCCAGTGGTTTGGGAAATGCTTCTTACGAACTGTTTCCGGTTTTGGTGAGTTTTTAGGTAGCAATTTTTAGGTTTTATATTGCTTGTTTTTACCAAATGTCAATCAAAAATGACAATAACTTATCAGACAGCCAAAGAGAAGCCTCCACTGACTGTAGTCGGCGATGTAGGTGGGAAGATAGCGATTTTAGTGGATAATATCATCGATGAAGCTCAATCATTCGTGGCCGCAGCTGAATGTCTGAAGAAACGAGGCGCTTACAAGATATACGTGGTCGCTACACATGGTATCCTGTCAGCAGATGCTCCAAAAATTATCGAGGACTCCTGTATTGATGAGGTAAGGTTTGGGTGGTACTTGGAAACAAAGTTTTTGCGGTTTTTTGGAAAAAGGTTTTGGAAAGAAAGTTATTGCGGTTTTTTCAAAAAATGGTTTTTGGAAAGAAAGTTCTTGCGGTTTTTTGGAAAAATGGGTTTTGTAAATAAAGTTCTTGCGTTTTTTAAAGAAATAGGTTTTGTAAAGAAAGTTCTTGTGGTTTTTCAAAATCAGGTCTTGGAAACAATGACAACATTAAAATTATATTATTTTAGGTAATAGTGACCAACACGGTGCCGCACGAGGTCCAGAAGATGCGATGTCACAAGATCAAGACCGTCGACATATCCATGATCATCTGCGAAGCCATACGTCGGATTCAGAACAAAGAATCCATGGCCTTCTTGTTCAAGGATATTACACTTGACGATTGAAATATCAGTTTATATTGTCGTACCTCGTTCCCAAGTTTTAAATTGTATATGTTATATTAGCCATACATTAAACATTTCGTAGCTGCTTCTGGATTTGTGGAAATGGATTTTGAAGGTCCGGAAACAACTTCTAAATGGCCAAGCAAACGACTATAATTCAAAATAAGTTTATTCATTACAGATATAGATCAAGGCCTATCGTTTCCGTGCATTTGGAGGTAATCCGGTCATCCGTCTGATTACAGGAGCTCCGCCTTCTGAATCCGACGAACTTGAGTCGGAGCTGATTTGGATGGGTGCTGAATGATGCCCGGTTGGTGGTAGTCCAACAGGACCTGATCCTGACGGTGTAGCCGGCTTTTGTTGGGCTTCTAAAGTTGGTTGAGGTCTTTTGGCCGCTTCTGAAATTACATGAGGCCTTTTGGAGCCTTCTGAAGTTGGCTGGGGCCTTTTAGAAGCTTCTGGAGTTGGCTGAGGCCTCTTGTAGGCTTCTAAGGTTGTTTTAGATCCTTTCCTAGCTTCTGCTAGCCTATGAGACGGTGTAGTAGGTCTACCGTCAGCTTCTGATAATGTTGTAGGTATACCTTCAACTTCTGATGATGTAGTAGATTTCTTGGAAGCTTCTGACGGTATGTTATGTCTTCTGGCTGATGATGGTGTAGTAGGCCATCCGGTAGACACTGATGGTGTAGTGGGCCTTCCAGTAGCCGTTGATGGAGTTGTAGGCCTTCCGGTTAATGCTGATGCTGTAGTAGGTCTTCTGGAAGCTTGTGAGAGTGTAGTAGGCCTTAAGGAAGCTTCTGATGGTGTACCAGGCTCTAAAGTAGTATGTGACGGTGTACTTGGCCTTCCAGTAGGTATTGATGATGCACCAGCTGTGCTCTTGAAACCCTCTTTACATTGTGGCACCTCTTCTGGAGACGAACTGATTCTGATAACATCCAGATTCCGCTCCAGATTCTCTTTCGGCAACTTTGAGGATGATGACTTAGGTTTTTCTGATGTTGAAGCAACAGAAGCTGGCTTATAAACCCAAGACCTCTTCTGAGACGGTGTTACCACACCTTTCTGACCTATATCCTTCTTCTGGCCTTCACCTTCTTTATGTTTTTCATCTTTCTTATGACTTTCATCTTGTTTATGCGTTTCATCTTCATCATCATCGTCACTACTATACTCACTAGTACTTGAAGAATCCTTGCTTTCATCGTCATCGTCGTCGAAATCTTCGTCTTCAGAAGACTCTTCTTCCATTTGTATTGTAGCATTAGCCCCAGCACCAACTTTGCTGCCAGTACCAAACAAAGTAACACTTTTTCCATCAGTACCAACTGGAGGGCCAGCTTTGACGCCAGTACCAGACGTAACAGCACTTTTTGGATCATCCGAAGCTTTATCGTTGTTAACACTCGTACCAAGTGTACCATCTTTAGCCGTAGTTGGTGTAGTTGGAACATTAAAATTGGTAAATTTGATTCGAAGTCGCTGTTTGGTACTTCTTTTGGGTTTCTTTTTTGGTACCTCGACAATTTAGTCCTTAGTTTTGGCGCTTCCTTCAATGGAATCGGGCCCTTGTGAACGTGGAAACCACTATAAAGTGGTACCTTCTTGTCTGGGACTTTTTTCTTCACCTTAACATGACAAAACTTATCATAGTATTTATAATTTGTTTTGAAAATAATTTAATTTTACAGTTTAGTCTATTTTTAACCTTGTAAAATCAAAAATATAAGTAAATGAACTAATTTTGCACAAAAATGATATTACACTTACTGCAGCTGAATCATCGATGAATTCGTCATCTACATCGTACCCCGCGCCTTTTGCCATCAAGTCTTCCAAGTCTAACATTTGACTCGGATCTGCTGTTTCATTTGAGCCCTAAAACATCGAAATTAAAAGCCATTTTCATATAAAAACCATCATTTTTCCACCAACCCTATCTGGCACAACATACTGGTGCTCTACTTTTTGCTATACCTTCAACACCTAGCCTTCAAATCTCAACTAAAACGCCTTTTTCAGTACTAAGCACATTATAGTTTGGTTCCCAAAAAGAATTAGTCAACTTATCGCTAATAAACTTACACTAGAGCCAGCATCCGAATAATCGTCAATATCTGGGTCCATTTCAGACAAAAGCTCCATAAGATTGACCGTCGTGAGTTTTTTACCAGTCGGTTGATTTATCTGAACCTGGATTCGCAGCACCTGCTCATTTCGAGACGTTTCCTCCTTGCCACGCAGTAAAAGATTCATAGGGTTACGTTACACTTGTTACCTAAAACAATCAAAACATGCATTTTAAAGGCTTTGTCAAACTATCACGTTAACAGGGTCATAAAGCGAACTATTTTGCATTTTCAAATGCAATTTAAATACAATCATTGAATTACAACAAGCAGAGTTCTTCCCGGACCGAACCCGATGCGGAAGTCCGGAATTTGAATTTTGTTTTCCCGCGCTTTTTTTCTACTGGGCGAATCGGTCTGAAACTTTTTCTACCCCCCTATTTGGAATGGTGCTAACCCTTCTAGATGCTGTTAGTTTTTTGATATCTATTATCTTTTTCGAGATATGAGTTTGGCGGGAAAAATAAATTCAAAAATCCGGACCGTGCGGACCGGACCCGAAAGGCAAAACTCTGACAACAAGTTTAAGCCAGATGGTCTTTGTCTCCCTTTTTTTAACTGTTTTCTATTTTTGTAAATGAGATCAGTCTTCCAATATAAAAGCCTTGTGGGAAGTGATCCCAACTTTGCCCCCTAAAATAAATATTTGTAACAGTATACAGTAGTCGATATTGAACTAAAAAGCTTATTTAAGCACAGTTGGTATTAATTTTAGGGTTTTAAGATTGCCAAATTTATCTCCTGTATTAAGTCTTAACAAATAATTATGGTTTTAGGTCGAATTTGTATTATATTGTACCTTAAACTTGTTATGGAAGGCTTGGAATCGCTGATATTGTTCTTCTTGAAGAAAATGCAGAAAAATCGGTTTATTTTAGCCAATTATCGGCAAAGTTTGCCGTTGTTTTCAAGCATTGTAGAAGACTAACAAAACTTAATCGGCCTAGTCGGTATTGCTATCTTCAAAATATATACGGATAAGTTTTGGTAGGGTTTAAGACTATGGCTATAGCGATGGCTATGGCTATGGCTATGATTATGGCTATGGCTATCGCTATAATTATGGCTATGATTATGGCTATGGCTATGGCTATGGCTATGGCTATAGCGATGGCTATGGCTATGGCTATGGCTATAGCGATGGCTATGGCTATGGCTATGGCTATAGCGATGGCTATGGCTACTTTATTTTCAAAATACTTTATTTGACTTATTTCAAAATTTTTAAAAAATTTATTTTTTATTTTATTTATTTATTCTGTTGTTCAGTGCAAAATATACAGAATAGCACGTGAGGGGGGTAAAGAGGGTTTGATGAAGATCTTCAGAGCAACTCATTGTAGGTATTACCCATTGGACGCCATCCAGGTGACCCTGTTTCTTGAGCTATCAAATTGTGATCAAGTGCTTCAAGACTTCCGGCCTAGTCAGAAGCTTGTGTTGACCAAGCAACCGTATTGCCATAGTCTCTTTCAATTTAATTTCTTGATATTTTGATCGTATTTCCTATCCTACCCTAGCAGACATCACGAACTATTGAGTTTTGTTTTATCAACAAAACGGGTAATATCTAATGTAACCAACTGTTGAATGTGGGTGTCAATAAAGCTATAACGAGTCTGGAACTGTTCAAACAAAGTTTATTCCGAGCAAATTATGACTTACGTAAAAACTTTTGTCATGACTTATGTGTAGAAGCTCTTGATTTAATAACTCGATCTCGTTCATCTTGTTGTGGCTGTCCGTTTCAAAAACACATTTTCTCGTTTTGATGTCATAGACTCTAATAAGCTTGTCTGAAAATAGCTCTAAGTTAAAGCATTTTTTGAGAAAGGAGAAGGACCGTTTCACAAAAAAAATTTTTTTAATTGACGTAGTTTTGCTACAAGCAGCTGTAACCTTAACCCTAATTCTACCATTAGTATTAGTTTTAGCTCTAACGCTAGCCTTTGCTCCAGCCCTCACCAATTCTTAACTCTAGGCTCAGCTCAAGTTCTAGCCCGCTGGGCTTTAGCATTAGCTTCTTCCTTTACCCTAGCAAAGCTCTAGCCCTAGCCAAGTCCTAGCCAAGCTCTAGCCAATCCCTAGCCAAGCTCAAGCCAAGTTCTAGCCAAGCCCTAGCCAAACTCTAGCTAATCCTTAGCCAAGTTTTAGCCAAGCCCTAGCTTGAGTTCTAGGTTTGGCATTTAGCCCTACTCCTAGCCCAAGCCTCAGTTCTAGCTCTAGCCCTAGCTTCAGGACCTGCTTTAGCTCGAGCTCTAGCCATAGCTACAGCCTGGGCTTTGGCATCAGCCTGAGCTTTTGCCTTAGTCTTGGCCAAGCCCTAGTTTTCTCCCTAGCCCTAGCATCATCGCCCCTCCCTCTCACAACTATTTTCAGCTGTTTTTTCAAGTTCGCTACATACATAATAAATAGATAGTAAAAAAAATTACAAACCGCGTTTATGGACAACCAGGTCCGAGTCGTCTGCAATTGCAATTATGGCGTCCCACGCGTCATCGAGCAGAGGAAATACAGTTTGCCGTTGTCCTGTAGTGTTATTGATCACAACAAACTCTTGTTGTGTATTCACGAAACCAACGTATTTTCGGTAGCCATAGGAAACCGCGTTGTATATTTCATTGCAAAAGCCTAATACATTCACTTTAAATTTGTACTCTTTTTGATTACACACATCTACCAACGTTCGACTCTCGGAGTACCACAACGTGAAATTAGTGTCTCGTTGGTGTTGAAGCGCTGGGTAAGTTTTGACCACCTTTTTCTTTGCTATGTCGTACACGACAAAGGTTTTAAACATGTCTAGTAGCAGTTGTTTTGACTTGTTGATAAAATGCACTTTAAAGAGATGATCACCTTTAATATATTCAAAATTTTGTCCATTTTCAACCCAAAGTCAATATTCATCAAACGAACTTTTTTGCCGCACGATCTGCGTGCCATCATCCCAGTGTAAGGACAGCAACGAATGGGATCGTTATAAAGCCAAAATCCAAATTCCTTTTTGAATGTTGACTCTATTGGGCGGTTTGGTGCGCTGAAAAATGAGTATTAGTACAAATTAGCCCTAGTTCTAGCTGAACGTGAAGATTGGGCTGATCTTAATTTTAGTCCAGGGTCCGGCCTGAATGTTTTTCCGTGCAAAAGGGCCGGGCTTTTGGACCTGGAAATCAAGGCCCGGTCCGACCTAAATTTGAGTTTAGTCCGGCTTGGCCCCTTCCGAATGTCTGCTCTAGCTCTAACTCTAGCGTTATTTTTAGTCTTACCTTTCGACTTAGCCTTACATTAGCCTTACCCTTAGCATTAGCCTTAGCCATACCCTTAGCTTTAGCCGTCAACTTAGGCTTCGCCTTAACTCTATTGTAGTTTTGCTTTGAAGTACCCTAGTCATACTGAAGCTTTATCTTAAACTGTCCTGTTCATACCGTAGCCCACCACTGCTATAGTCATGACACAAGCCTAAATTTCTTTAAACTTACTGTAGCTTCACCAGTTGTGTTTTATTTTGTATAATCTACCCAACTTATCTAATAAAAACTTAAAGATGTGTACCTAAAGCATTGCAACTTGATAAAGATGTATGCCTAAAGCATTGTAACTTACTCAGAGAAAGCCTCGGCCCAAGTCTCTCCTTTGTAACGACAAATCATATGTCTGTAACACAAGCTTTGAAAGCTTATTTTCGTAGCACGTACTGTCAGTTCGTAACAGTACTTGTTTATCTGGGCAAAGCTACAGCGATCTTCCACATTTGTTGTGTACTTGATCATTCGTATCCAGAACTAAAAATCAATGGCCAATCTTGGATCATTAAATTCTAATTTGAACCTCAATGGGCCACAGATTGAGATTCAATATAAAAACATTTATATAACTTAAAGTAAAGATTACAATACAATTTACAGCAACAGATTAAGCTTACCTCAGGATAAATTGCCCATAAAATGCTCATCTTCGTTTTAAGCAATCAATTTAAGTAAAATTTAAAGAATAAATTTGAATAAAGCCCTTTTCGTATAGCCAGTCTTCCGACAAACGCTAAATCTCTGGACTTTTTAGCGCGCTGGCTTTCCCTACCTTATGTTACACTTGGCTGTTTTAATATTATACGGCCTTGCTTTGCTTTCGTTTTGATGGACTTGAATCGGCTATTATGTTTTGATACATTACTTTCATATTATCCATATTTAGTTAATGTACATACCAAAGAAGTAAGCTAACTAACCAAAAACAACAAGATACCGCCCTTTTATAATCAATAACACGACTTCCCAAAACCAAATCATAACAGAACGTCATTTATATTATTTCCAAGACAATTAGCTTCATTTTGATACCAAACACAATGAACTATATCGACTTTTCATCACAACACACATAACAAATACACTTATCATCTACAACAACAGCAATTTATGGTAGATACCATAACGAAATAAACTAATCCAACAAAACGTAAGTTTATTTACAACTTCAAAGAGACAACGTAGGTATGATGTTACAAAAAACAGTGTATAAAAAACTATGTATTGAATACAAAATGAGTATGAAAAAACAATAAATATGAACTAAATAGTAACTAAAACTCGCGTGGAACGTTCTTATTCCAATATATACCGGCAAATGGGTCTTGGCGTAGATCGATGTCAAATGTGTTAAGCCTAAAACGTATAATTTTAAAAGATTATTATCGAAAAACATTTAAAATCTAACATAATATCAATAGTAATATACTTTGTCTCTAAAAAACCAGAAATTCAGGACAAAATCATGCCAACCTTTGACAAAATAACCTTCAATATATTTTGCAGCTTATAAGATCAAACTTACGCCATGTTGCAGATCTGCAAAACCTGTGTGGTCAATTCCACCATGCTGTCCACATCCTGATCCCGGTTGTAACTGACTTTCGAAACCAGGTGAAAACGGCTCACTTCAATCTCTTCCCTCGACTCCTCGTGAATGAATTGGCAATTCACACCATAATGGCAATGTCCTTTCATTTGGAAGTTGCGACAGTGCTCGGTCTTGTACTTGGGGTGCAGCTGAATCTAAAATGATTTATTAACTTAGAATACCGAAGTTTATACACATCAAACTTAATTTCTAAGCAAAATACATACTTTCTCCTTCTATAAAATTATAAATTGAATAAAAGGATTAAAAAAACTCAAAAAATACGACAAAAAGACATTGGACACCTAAAACAATATAAAACACTGATTTTTAAGCTCCCAGTGTTCTAAATACCAAAAATTCTTTCTCTGTAGCAAGAATATGGTGATTGCCAACATAAAGTGAAGTATACTCAGTCTCTAACTTGCGAAAAGCATAATAACGCCGTTTACAATAATCTCATCCTACATCAATATCCGAAACTCAAATTTTCGGCCCTCACTGCGCTCTAAATCATTAAATACCCTTTTCTACAGCAAGAAAACTTTGTTTAACTTCTGATAATCCATAAACAGCTTATTAAGATACCTAAAATCATTTAAAAAAATCAAAAAGATGTTGACTTACCTCCTGAATTCGCAATTCCTTATCTCCATGCGCAAATCTGCAACTTTTGCCATATTGACAAAATCCGCTCTCCTTGTAAGCTCTGCAAAACTGCGTTTTGTATACTGAAGAGTTGTAGACATTTCGAGGATGGTGGAACTTTCTTTTATCACCAACATGTTGATCAAGAGAGTCGCCGGACGAGACCGAGTGTGAAGATGAGACGCTAAGGTTCGTTGATCTGGATGTCCTCTGACTTGAATAACGTGGCAGATAATAGTTTTGAACTTCGGAGACCGCGAACTGACACATGCCCATGTTGTGAATGCCCATATTCGTCTAGATGTTCAGGTTCTTGTCCAAAAATATGAATATTGACAGCTAGTTGAACAAAATATTAATATCCGCGTTGAAACAAGTATCCAAATCCTTGTGGAAAAAGAGGTAGATGCTCCTGTTGAACAAGACGTTCGTGTCCCTGTTGAATAAGATTCAGTCGACGTTGAAGTGATTGAGATAAAGACAGAGGGTTGAGAGTTGAGCACCAAGTGTGACCTGTAAATAAAGCACGAGAACGGTCAAGGAAACGTGTGTCAAGGTCCGCAAAACGGCCAGAACAACAACGTGGCCGAAAAGGTCTCGAATTCCAGCAATGTCAGGCAGCAAAGGTTTAGGTCCCGCGACGAAATCGTTTCATCACATTTCTGAAGAGTTTCAAAAAGGCGGTTGGAAGAAACGACTATTTCAAAGAATTACAATCTAAAAGTAATTCTTAATTTGTAAAAATATTAATGTTTTATTCTTTTACTGTTTTTCTTTAACATTTCCTTTGGATCTCAAATTTTAGGTAACACATTTATACAATTTCATGTTTAAAATCATTATTGTGTTAATTTTAAACAACACTTTTATTTTCTGTTGAATTTCTAAAAAAAAATCCTTTCTAGAATACTATTTTTGAAGACTTTTTGTCAACAGTAGTAAATCTCCGCTTATCTTCTTTACATGTTCTATCGTATAACATGTCATGACGCACGAAAGAAATAAATTACGGACGTTTTTTCGTTTCCGAAGAGTTTTCCTCAATTCAAATGAATAGAGTTAAGCTTTTTTCGAAGAAAGTGGTTTATTACTACGATCTTCGTAATCTACATCAAATTTTGCTTTAAAAAATCGTTTAGCTTCTTTCTAATTAGCATATACAACAATGATAAGTGGCCAAATGGCTTCATAACATTTCGTGGTTTCGTTTTTTCTTTTCCGTTTCTTGGAATAGCTTCTATTTCGTACATGTTATTTAGTCTATTCTTCGATTTTGATCAAAGCCGTTTTTTAATTTTAAGCTTTGCTTTTTAATATCAACGACATAGATAAGATCGCTGGTGTTATGAAGCTCGTTATCACATCTTTTAATGTCTTATTTCAGGAGGTTAACGGAGAACTATGAGTGAATCTGCAGAAGAAGAAGAGGCATACGTAGTTGAGGCGATTTTGGATCACAGAAAAGTGAGAGGGAAGAAAGAATATCTGATCAAGTGGCTGGGATACGACAATAAAGATGATAACACATGGGAGCCAGTAGAAAATTGTGTAAGTGCTTTCTATTTTGTTGAAGTTTAGATTCTTCCGCATCTTTTGACAGTAAAAATGACATGGTTTCTTGAATTATGGAGACGCACGATGTTGTTTTAGAGGAAAAGACGGTGTTGATAGCTAAAACAATATCGGCTTATCTCGTTGTTCTTAGATCGGGTTCATGCTTAAAATGTAGCTGTAGTATGAACTTGTACGGTATCTGAAAGTTGATTTGATCTTAAATTATCACTAAGTTTTGATTTATGGCTTTTTTGAGTTTGTACTGCTGATAATTACCCGTTTGTTCTAAAACATTATTTTTTCCTTGGCAAAATGAAATTGAATGTAAATTTTAGGATTGCCCGGAGTTAATAGAAGCTTACGAAGCAAAGCAAGCCGAAAAGAAGGAAAAGAAGGGCAAGCTTGCATCTAAAAAACGAGAGTCTTCTCATCGTGTCAAAGAATCGCCTCCTGTAAGTAAAGTTTCTTCAGTTTTCGATGAGTTTTAGGAATTTTTAAAAAATTTTCTATTGTGTTTGAATGGCATAGGTTTGAGAATCATATTTTTATAGTTTCTAGTGATTTATGACATTATTTTTTTCCAGAAGAAGACAAAGTCTCGAGCTATTGTTGTGGATTCAGATGACGATGAGGAAATTACAGTACATCGAGAAAAGGAGTCTTCAATAGCGTCTAAAGCTTCTCGAAAGTCTTTTGTAAGTTTTTCTTTTGCTTTTCATTGTTTTAGGTAATAGTATGATTGAATATAACGACAAAACTATGTTTTAGTCCTCGCCCAAGAAGCTGACTTCAGAAGATGTGTCGGATGATGCTCCAACTCCGTCGAAACGCTCACGGTCTTCATCGCAATTGGAGAGTCCCAAAAAGCCACGAGAAAGTCCAATGATAGATGTGGAGACCATAGAACCGCCTTTCAAGATCGTTGTTAAGCCGAATTATCGAGTGGAGGAAGAGGAAGCCAAAGCCATTTGTGGACTGGTTTCGGAGAAGGATTTGTGGATTTTGGTTGCATTTCAGGACTTGAGTCATCTCGAAGCTAAGGATCTGGAGCCGACACCATACGATGTGTGCCGGACTCACTGCCCTTTGGTGAGTTTAGGCTTTACATGGGTAATATGAGGGTTTTTTGCTGTAATTTGAAGGTTCAGGTATTAAAGTTGAAAAGCCATTTTTAAAGTTTTTTGGTGAATAAGTGTATGGAAAGATATATTTTTGGTTCATTATCGGTCAAAAAGTTTATAGAAAGTAGATTTTTAAAATATAACTCACCTCATTTTAGCTTCTCCTGGACTACTGGAAGTCGCGCGTTGCATTTGTGGACCCATAAGTCTCATCTTGTTACCCAAAGACCAGCTATACTTTTTTTTCAATACCTATTTTGTTTTAAAAACCGGGTCTCACCACACTTATTGTTTGTTGAAATTTTAGTTGAAATTGTACAAGTTTTCAATTGTTTTCATATAATTTTACAGTTTTTTTCCAGTTTTATATGTCCTTAGACGTTGTTTTATCGAAAATAAATAAGTTAACGGACTTGTTGGGCTTTACAAATGCATTTCAGTGCTAGAAAGTATTATTGTTCATAAAAAATGTTATAATTTTTGATTTTAAAAACAAAATATAATGTTAATGACTTTCGTCAAACATTGTAACTATCAGCTCCTAAATGCGTCGATAAATGAGAATCAGAAGTGTTTTCTGGCTGCTGAAAACATTCGACATCTTCTGAATCTTTACCATGGATACCGGACTTCAACCTTCTGAATCTTCATTATGACCAATCGTCACCAAGACTTACCGATAGTTCAGGATCTTATGAATCCTTACCATGGTCTTATCAATCTTCACCATGGTATTTTGAGAATTCAGAGTCTTTTGAATCTTCCTCATGAGCTGGTGAATCTTTCACATTATCTTTCGAGCCTTTAGGACCTTGTTAATACTTAGCCTAGCCTTCTCAGTCTCCGAGACTTCAGGATCTTCTGAATCTTTGTTATGGCCTTCCGAGACTAAAACATCTTGTAAATCTTTACCATGGCATTCTGAATCTTTAAAAACTTTTGATTGAAACGTAATAATAAGTAGTTTGCATGTTGTTGAAAGCACGTTACATCGTATAACATGTCTATTCTTGCGAAAAAATAAAATTTGGACATTTTCTTGTTCGAAGTTCTTTTCGCGCTCAGCGCCATAAAATTTGCATTTTTAAGCCGATTTTGAATATTGAAAATGTCAGTTATGTTTTAACTTCATTATTTAATGTTATTATTATGTTACTTTTCTTTATTTTTGCATTTTAGCTTTAAAAAGAAGTTAAAATACTTAAATAAACAAACAAGAACAACAAATTTTCACTTTAAAAAGTATTTTTGATTTTTTGCTGTATTTTTAGCTTCTTTTAGAAGTCTTCAAGAGTTTTAGTTAGGTTTATAAACAATTCTTCAAAAAAGAAGCGAATATTGTTGTAGATAATTTAGATAACATAGAAGTAGGAGGAAAGAAAGGATATCGGATCAGTACCTGATTAAACGGCTTGGTAAGATAACAAAGATGGTTTTACATGGGAGTCTGAAGAATATTGTGTAAGTTTTTTGTATTTTTATTAAAGTTTAGGTTCTTCCCCATGTTTCGATGTAAAGATAGCTCAATTTGTTGATCACTGGTGGAGTGGAGTAGAAGAAGATGAGGCTAGAGCTGTAAATGATCGAGGAAAGACTGGTTGTTTTTAATTTGAAGGATAATACGTTGTAGTTTAGCTATTTTTCATTAAAATACCTGTGTAGTTTGTTACTTCGTTAAATAAATGGACTGATTAGCTAAAATCGGTTTTTAAATTTGTTATAGCTCAAAGATTGTATTTAAATTGCAGTTTAAAATACAAAATAGCCCGCTTGATGACCCTGCTAACGAGATATTTGACAAAGCCTTTAAAAATGAATGTTTTGATACTTTTAGGTATCAAGCGTAACATAACTCTAGAAATGAACCTTTTACTGCGTGGCAAGGAGGGAACGTCTCGAAATGAGCAGGTGTTGCGAGTCCACGTTCAGATAAATCAACCGACTGGTAAGAAACACACAACGGTCAATTTTATGGAGCTTTTGTCTGAAATGGAACCAGATATTGACGATTATTCGGATGCTGGCTCTAGTGTAAGCTTATTAAGGAATAAATGGCTAATTCTTTTTGGGAACCAAATTATGATGTGTTTAGTACTTAAAAAGGTGTTGTAGTTTAGTTTAAAAGACTTGGTCTTCAAGTTATAGCAAAAGGAAAAGTATCAGTATATTGTGGTTGGTAGGGTTGGTGAAAAACGATGATTTCTTTAGTAAAATGGGGTTTAAATTTGATGTTTTAGGGCTCAAATGAAACAGCAGATCCGAGTCAAATGTTAGATTTGGAAGACTTGATGGCAAAAGGCGCGGGATACGATGTGGATGACGAATTCATCGACGATTCAGCTGCAGTAAGTGTAATATCATTTTTGGTGCAAAATTAGAGACTTTACGTATATTTTTGATTTTAATAGGTTTAAAATGGACAAGACTATAAATCAAATGATTTTTAAAATAAATTAAAAGTATATGCTTAGTTTCTGTCATTTTAAGGTCAAGAAGAAAGTTCCAGACAAGAAGGTACCACTTTACAGTGGTTTCTACGTTCACAAGGGTCCGATTCCATTGAAAGAAGCGCCAAAACCAAGGACTCCGAGTCCGATAATTGCCGAAGTACCAAAAAAGAAGCCGAAAAAGAGTACCAAACAGCGACTTCGAATCAAATTCACCAATTTTAATGTTCCAACTACACCAACTACGGCTAAAGATGGTACACTTGGTACGAGTGTTAACAACGATAAAGCTTCGGATGATCCAAAAAGTGCTGTTACGTCTGGTACTGGCGTCAAAGCTGGCCCTCCAGTTGGTACTGATGGAAAAAGTGTTACTTTGTCTGGTACTGGCAGCAAAGTTGGTGCTGGGGCTAATGCTACAATACAAATGGAAGAAGAGTCTTCTGAAGACGAAGATTTCGACGACGATGACGATGAAAGCAAGGATTCTTCAAGTACTAGTGAGTATAGTAGTGACGATGATGATGAAGATGAAACGCATAAACAAGATGAAAGTCATAAGAAAGATGAAAAACATAAAGAAGGTGAAGGCCAGAATAAGGATATAGGTCAGAAAGGTGTGGTAACACCGTCTCAGAAGAGGTCTTGGGTTTATAAGCCAGCTTCTGTTGCTTCAACATCAGAAAAACCTAAGTCATCATCCTCAAAGTTGCCGAAAGAGAATCTGGAGCGGAATCTGGATGTTATCAGAATCAGTTCGTCTCCAGAAGAGGTGCCACAATGTAAAGAGGGTTTCAAGAGCACAGCTGGTGCATCATCAATACCTACTGGAAGGCCAAGTACACCGTCACATACTACTTTAGAGCCTGGTACACCATCAGAAGCTTCCTTAAGGCCTACTACACTCTCACAAGCTTCCAGAAGACCTACTACAGCATCAGCATTAACCGGAAGGCCTACAACTCCATCAACGGCTACTGGAAGGCCCACTACACCATCAGTGTCTACCGGATGGCCTACTACACCATCATCAGCCAGAAGACATAACATACCGTCAGAAGCTTCCAAGAAATCTACTACATCATCAGAAGTTGAAGGTATACCTACAACATTATCAGAAGCTGACGGTAGACCTACTACACCGTCTCATAGGCTAGCAGAAGCTAGGAAAGGATCTAAAACAACCTTAGAAGCCTACAAGAGGCCTCAGCCAACTCCAGAAGCTTCTAAAAGGCCCCAGCCAACTTCAGAAGGCTCCAAAAGGCCTCATGTAATTTCAGAAGCGGCCAAAAGACCTCAACCAACTTTAGAAGCCCAACAAAAGCCGGCTACACCGTCAGGATCAGGTCCTGTTGGACTACCACCAACCGGGCATCATTCAGCACCCATCCAAATCAGCTCCGACTCAAGTTCGTCGGATTCAGAAGGCGGAGCTCCTGTAATCAGACGGATGACCGGATTACCTCCAAATGCACGGAAACGATAGGCCTTGATCTATATCTGTAATGAATAAACTTATTTTGAATTATAGTCGTTTGCTTGGCCATTTAGAAGTTGTTTCCGGACCTTCAAAATCCATTTCCACAAATCCAGAAGCAGCTACGAAATGTTTAATGTATGGCTAATATAACATATACAATTTAAAACTTGGGAACGAGGTACGACAATATAAACTGATATTTCAATCGTCAAGTGTAATATCCTTGAACAAGAAGGCCATGGATTCTTTGTTCTGAATCCGACGTATGGCTTCGCAGATGATCATGGATATGTCGACGGTCTTGATCTTGTGACATCGCATCTTCTGGACCTCGTGCGGCACCGTGTTGGTCACTATTACCTAAAATAATATAATTTTAATGTTGTCATTGTTTCCAAGACCTGATTTTGAAAAACCACAAGAACTTTCTTTACAAAACCTATTTCTTTAAAAAACGCAAGAACTTTATTTACAAAACCCATTTTTCCAAAAAACCGCAAGAACTTTCTTTCCAAAAACCATTTTTTGAAAAAACCGCAATAACTTTCTTTCCAAAACCTTTTTCCAAAAAACCGCAAAAACTTTGTTTCCAAGTACCACCCAAACCTTACCTCATCAATACAGGAGTCCTCGATAATTTTTGGAGCATCTGCTGACAGGATACCATGTGTAGCGACCACGTATATCTTGTAAGCGCCTCGTTTCTTCAGACATTCAGCTGCGGCCACGAATGATTGAGCTTCATCGATGATATTATCCACTAAAATCGCTATCTTCCCACCTACATCGCCGACTACAGTCAGTGGAGGCTTCTCTTTGGCTGTCTGATAAGTTATTGTCATTTTTGATTGACATTTGGTAAAAACAAGCAATATAAAACCTAAAAATTGCTACCTAAAAACTCACCAAAACCGGAAACAGTTCGTAAGAAGCATTTCCCAAACCACTGGCTGAACTGAGACGTCCCGAACTTGTCGAAGGTCTCTTCTCATTGTTCAACGGAGGACTTTGACGACCATCGTGCTTCAACGTTCCATCATTGTCCTCTTTCTGCTCTTCACCGTGAATTACGGCGATTCCTAGGCGAAGACGATCAGCGTAGCTTGTTGCCTAAAATTTAAGTCGTTATAATAAGGAAAAGTAAAGTTATTAAGTAAAAATGATATTATACTAGACATTAGATTGGATGTAATTGAGAGAAAAATTGTTATAGAAATTAAAATTCTTTAAATTTTAAAATGAAATATGATGTTATAGATAGAATGAGATATACTCTTTCATATAAAGTCAAAATCGATGCATTTAAAACACTTCTGACCAAGAAAATCATCAAAAGCTATATTACACTGCCAATTAACAAAGATCAATGAAAGTGTTACCAAATCGCAAAATTTTAAACATAATTTACACTACAGTAGCTAGAACAACATCTATTTTTCAATAAGAAACCACTATATCACTTGAAAAGATCAATTCCGTCAAGATATTGATCATAACATACCTTATGCATGACCTCAGCACTCTTGGCCACAATCACAGCGTTTTTAAAGTCCGGAATGTTTTCTTTAATATACTGCAGTAGATATGGACTAGCTCTAAGATTATCCACTGGAATTGAAAAGAATCCCTGAAAATTTCAAAGGCATATCAGTAATATAACACAAAATATACCAAAGTACTCAAAATATCAACTAAAACCATCATTTCTCACCTGAATCTCCTTTTTATACAAATCCAACGACACCATTCGACTAGCACCGGCTCGACAAATCATGTCAGCAATCAGCTTCATCGTCACCGCCGATCGACGCAACATACGACACTGTTTCGAGTATGGTAAGTAGGGCATAATCACTGTGACGGTTTTGGCCGAAGACGTTTTGCAAGCGTACATCAAGATCAGAAGCTCAAATATGTTGTTGTTCACGTCTTTCGACGCTGATTGAATAATAAAAACATGCTTTCCTCGAACACTCTGAAAAAGGTCAGATTAATACCTATTCTTCAGCATTTTAAGCCAAACTTGGCCTTCAAAACGTTTAAATTGGTCTTCAAAATACAAATTACAAGCTTATAACCCCAAAACTTACCTGTTTAATATCCACACTAGTCTCGCGATTGCTTTTATTGTAAACTACAGCTTCTCCCATTCGAACTCCCATCCGTTCACACACGAGCTGTGCCAGCGTTGGATGGGCGTTCCCGGTCAAAATGACCATTCCCGAGCTTTCATCCGACAAACTCATATTGTACAAATCGATATAATTTAAATATAAAGGTATATACAAGAGTTTAAAGTCGAAATATTCAGTTTAGCGTGAAATCTTGTGGCCAAACGTCGAAAAAAGGTTTTTTCTTTTTACATGGCCATATTTTTTGGGTCCTGCAACGAAAGATTGGCGTGCGAAAAGTGTGGCTTTGCGAAGCAGGATTTGGGAATATTTTGGAAAATTGGTGGTGAAGTTGAATGTAAAATACGCTGAAGTTTCGTTTGCCTATATACATATTGTCTGCAATTCGATTTTTTTTAGTTCTGGGTTGAAACTTCCATATTTCTTAGTTTTAAACATTATTTCTCAGTTATCGCTCTAAAACTTTGATTTATATCAAGTTTTTTTAGATGCACAACATCTTTCGGGTACCATTCCACTCAGCAAGGTTATGCAGTCGTTATCTGAGACGCTCAGGGATTTTAGCCCAGATCAGCGCCATTGCTCATGAACAAGAGGCTCGACGAGGTCTATCCACTAGTGCAATATTGGAAAAGGTTCATAAACAAAAGAAACAAAAAGGACAGGTAAGCAATTAGTTATGTTTTCAATATTTAGACATTTTTAAGGGTCATACATTGCCTTTGGTCAGTGACAATCTCCAATTCGAGGAGTACGACTGCGCTTTGTCTGAGATGAGGTCACTTGAAGCTCGATTAGAAGACGAGCTTCAACGACACTTCAGCACGAAGGTAGATCTTCGTCAGTACGAGGATTTGAGGGTACCAATCTCAGGAACGGATGAAGTGCATCGACTGGGAAATTTGGGGCGAGTTACGATGAAAAATCCGCAAATGATCATGATCAATTTTGCTGACAAGCCCACGGCCATAAAAGATGCAAAGGTTGCGTTGCAAAAGAGCGCATTGAATGTGAATCCTCAACACGAAGGTAAGAAATAGTCTGTTTTATGTTTCTGACAAGTTTAAAAGTTATGGATTGTTTTAGGCAGACAGTCAAGGGTAATATAAATTTTGATTTTTTTTTGATCATAACTCAACGAAAATTGTTTCTATAGGCTTGAAATTTAATTTTTAGTTAATGAAGAATATTTTAAATGATTTAAATTATATCTTTTGCAGGAATCATGTTGTACATACCTGTTCCAAGGATGACGAAGGAAAGGCGAGAGCAATTGGCGAAAGATGCCAGAACTTTGGTGTTGAATGATTATAAGAAGGCAATTAATGATGTAAGCTTTATTATACTTTTCTTCATCTAGTGTTGAGGTTTTGTATTTATATTTTTTTAAATATTTGAGTTTTGTCAAGACTTGACCAACCTACTAAAGCATCTTGCTTAATATCGGTAAACTCTCTAAAACAACGGTTTATAGTTTAAATTCAATATGTATTTTTAGGTATATGTTAAAAGCGACAAAAAGGCATCAACAACGAAAGAATTGGACAAGGCGAAGTTGAAACGCGCAGCTCTACTTAACTTAAAACATCAATATGAGAAACGAGCAGCCGCTTTGATCGAAGAGAAACAGAAGCAGATCCTTCAAGAAGTGGCTTAAATTTTAGTTGTTTGTTATTGTTATTGAGGAATATAGTTTTATGAGGTTGAGAACATTTAATTCCTTAACCTACCTGCTACTTCTTACCCCATCGTTTTTTTTAGAATTGAAACTGCCTTACCCAAATTTTAGGTGATAAATTTGAATTTTTTGAAAAAGTATTATCTTATCACCAACCAAGTGATTTGTATCGATAGTTCGATGTGCAAAACCATTTTAATCGGCTTCGAAGTGCAGCTAATCTTCGGATTAACACAAGTTACTGCATTACTATTGCTTGTCAGGTTTGTCACTTTGCGTAGGCTTAGTCTTACGCTTTTCCGTAGCGACGCCCCTGAACGAGACCAATATAGGATAAAGGAGCATAAAAAGAATGGGAAGGATAAAATAGAAAACCAACATTATGTAAATCCTTTAATCGCAATACCTCGCTAGCCGAAACCATTTACCAGTTTTCGAAAGCGGTCTTCTCTGTAACCTTGGATGCTCTTTCATCTATATAGGTCTCATTCAAACAGCCGAGGGGTATTTGGTAAAATTCCCTAGTCAGGCCTAGGATTAAGCTAGGGATGGTGCTAAATTAAGAGCCAGGTATGACGCTAGAACTAAAACTAGGACAAGTGTTAGGGTTAAAACTAACGTTAGAGCAAAGGGTAGGACTAAGGCTAACTTTTTTTTGACTAACTTTAAGCAAGGCCGAATCCAAAACAAAAAACTTGATTTTGTCTATAAATTCGTCTACCTTCTCTTTCTCGCACTCGTACTTGATCGTCTGCTTATTCTTGCCTGCTAGGCTTTTTGTAAACAATATTGCTAAACCGATCCTTGGAATTACTTTATTTTCAAAATACTTTATTTGACTTATTTCAAAATTTTTAAGCCGAAATTCATTTTTTATTTATTTATTCTGTTGTTTAGTGCAAAATATACAGAATAGCACGTGAGGGGGAGGGGGCAAAGAGGGTTTGATGAAGATCTTCAGAGCAACTCATTGTAGGTATTACCCATTGGACGCCATCCAGGTGACCCTGTTTCTTGAGCTATCAAGTTGTGATGAAGTGCTTCAAGACTTCCGGCCTAATCAGAAGCTTGTGTTGACCAAGCAACCGTATTGCCATAGTCTCTTTCAATTTAATTTCTTGGTATTGTGATCGTATTTGCTACCCTACCCAAGCAGACATCACGAACTATTGAGTTTTGTTTTATCAACGAATCGGGAGACGTCTAATGTAACCAACTCTTGAATGTGGGTGTCCATGAAGCCATAAGGATTCGTGAACTGTTCAAACAAAGCTTATTCCGAGCAAATTATGACTTACGTAAAAACTCTTGACAAGACTTATGTGTAGAAGCTCTTGATTTAATAACTCGATCTCGTTCATCTTGTTGTGGCTGTCCGTTTCAAAAACACATTTTCTCGTTTTGATGTCATAGACCCTAATAAGCTTGTCTGAAAATAGCTCTAAGTTAAAGCATTTTTTGAGAAAGGAGAAGGACCGATTCACAAAAAAAAATTTTTTTTTATTAATTGGCATAGTTTTGCCACAGCAGCCAGGGCCGGGCGCGAGGGGCGGGGGGGGTACTCTCTCTCAACTAACGCTAGCCTTTGCTCCAGCCCTGACCCAATTCTTAACTCTAGGCTTAGCTCAAGTTCTAGCCCCAGGCTGGGCTTTAGCATTAGCTTCTTCCTTTAATCTAGCAAAGCCATATCCCTAGCCAACTCTTTTTTTATTCTACCATAACATACAATATCATGCCATACTGTATCATATCTTACCTTATCCAACCTTATACAACACTACTGTGTACTACCCATAAGTAGGGTAGAGTAGGTAAATAAGGCAAAGTATAAATAGTACAATATGTTAAAGTATTTTAGGATTTGGTATGGTGGATAAGATAGGTTATGGTAGAGTATAGTAGGGTTTTGTATGCTTTGTTTGATAAGATGGGTATGGTATAGCAGATATCATAGGGCATGGTATGGTACCATACGGTATAAAATGTTATGTAGAATGGATATGGTATAGTAAAAGAGGGTAAAAAAAGTCAAGGGTAAAAGCCCTGCACCGGGCAGGGCCTAAGCGGGCCCGGTGCCAGGGCCTCAAATTGGGCCCTGCCCTGCCCTACGTCCAAGCTTGATCATCACCGCTCCCTCTCACACCTATTTCCAGCAGTTTTTTTCAAGTTTGCTACATACATAATAAATAGATAGTAAAAAAATTACAAACCGCGTTTATGGACAACCAGGTCCGAATCGTCTGCAATTGCAATTATGGGGTCCCAGTGACCGTCCCACCCGTCATCGAGCAGAGGAAATACAGTTTGTCTTTGTCCTGTAGTGTTATTGATCACTACAAACTGTTTTTGTGTATTCACGAAGCCAACGTATTTTCGGTAGCCATAGGAAACCGCGTTGTATATTTCTTTGCAAAAGCCTAATCCATTCACGTTAAATTTGTGCTCTTTTTGATTACACACATCTACCAACGTTCGACTCTCGGAGTACCACAACGTGAAATTATTGTATCGTTGGTGTTGAAGCGCTGGGTAAGTTTTGACCACCTTTTTCTTTGCTATGTCGTACACAACGTAGGTTCTAACCATGTCTAGTAGCAGTTGTTTTGACTTGTTGATAAGATGCACTTTAGAGAGATGATGGCCTTTAATATATTCAAAATTCAAAACTTTGTTCATTTTCAACCCAAAGTCAATATTCATCAAACGAACTTTTTTGCCACACAACTTATCTCTCATCATACCAGTGTAAGGGCAGCAACGAATGGGATCGTTATAAAGCCAAAATCCAAATTCCTTTTTGAATTTTGACTTTATTGGGCGATTTGGTGCGCTGAAAAATGAATGTTTTTCCGTGCAAAAGGGCCGGGCTTTTTGGACCTGCAAATCAAGGCCCGGTCCGACCTAAATTTGAGTTTAGTCCGGCTTGGCCCCTTCCGAATGTCTGCTCCAGCTCTAACTCTAGCGTTATTTTTAGTCTTACCTTTCGACTTAGCCTTACCCTTAGCATTAGCCTTAGCATTAGCCTTAGCCATACCCTTAGCTTTAGCCGTCAACTTAGGCTTCGCCTTAACTCTATTGTAGTTTTGCTTTGAAGTACCCTAGTCATACTGAAGCTTTATCTTAAACTGTCCTGTTCATACCGTAGCCCAAGTCTCTCCTTTGTAACGACAAATCATATGTCTGTAGCACAAGCTTTGAAAGCTTATTTTCGTAGCACGTACTGTCAGTTCGTAACAGTACTTGTTTATCTGGGCAAAGCTACAGCGATCTTCCACATTTGTTGTGTACTTGATCATTCGTATCCAGAACTAAAAATCAATGGCCAATCTTGGATCATTAAATTCTAATTTGAAACTCAATGGGCTAGAGATTGGGATTCAATATAAAAACATTTATAACTTAAAGTAAAGATTACAATACAATTTACAGCAACAGATTAAGCTTACCTCAGGATAAATTGCCCATAAAATGCTCATCTTCGTTTTAAACAATCAATTTGAGTAAAATTTAAAGAATAAATTTGAATAAATCTTTTTCTTATAGCCAGTCTTTCGACAAACGCTTAATCTCTGGACTTTTTAGCGCGCTGGCTTTCCCTACCTTATGTTACACTGGGCTATTCTAATATTATACGGCCTTGCTTTGCTCTCTTTCTTATAGTGAAAAGAGGTTTCTTTAGTTAATTTTTGTTTAAAGAACCACAAACTATAAGTGCACTGTCTTGGCATTCCGTTTCAAATCAGGGAAATCAAGGAAACCTGGATAACATAGAAAACTTCTGCAATTCACTTTTACATTGAAACAGACATTTTTTTAGAAATAGGATTAGCCAGCTGGGTGGATTACACAACATTTGACATTTTAGTGGATTATTGAGAACTATGATGTATTTCTAAGTTACCGTAGTTAATAGGAAAAACGTAGATCAAATAAGATTAAAAGGGTTGAAGTTGGAGGTAAATTGACAGTAAAGCTTGTTTATAATATCAAAAAGTCATCTTAAATCTATAAAATTGCAAAAAAAAGTTTAACATTAACTAGAAATGGCACTTTTGGCAAGTGGAAGATTTTCAGTGCAATTTTCACTGAAAATCTTCCATTTTTAAAAATTTACGAAATTAACCAAAATTTTTATAAAATGGATAAACAAGATCACACAAGGTTCACCGGGATAGTTTATTCGTCTACAAGTTCAATATGACGCAATTTACAGTTAGCGAAACAACAAACTATCGCTTAACTGAAGGTAGATAACATAGCTCTAAGGATTAATTTGTTGGTGGAATAAATAGTGAAAAAGTCAATAGATTATGGAAAGATCTACTAGATAGAGAATATAAAATAGGTTTGGGCTTTAGTTCTTTATTAAAAATGCTGTTTTTCAAAGGTTTTTGGATTTTGCACGGTGCAATCGGTTTAATTTTGATTGCACAGTGCAAGCGCTGAACTTTGATTGCACCGTGCATAAAATCCGAGAACTTTTGAAAAAAATTTTGATAAAATTTAGGTAGGCTTTACCATTGACATTTTAAATTGTCATTTTTGAAGTTTTAAAAGGTCTCGAACTTTCTGCACGGTGCAATTTAAAAATTTTGATTGCACGGTGCAAATTTTTTCAAAATTTTGAAAAATTTTGAAAATTTAAAAAATGGCTCTAAAAGCAATTTAAAATAGATTTCGAATACAAATTCCGAAAGCTGCTTGTCGCCGTTTATCGTTGGAAGATCGAAATAACAGAGCCCATAATGTGACTATATAAATGATACCGTTTCCATAATAATATATTATTGATCTTAAAATAGGTTGGTGTTAGAAGTTTGGTGGAAATATTTACAGAATTGTCGTTAGTTTGGGATACTGTAACCTAGGGTAGTAGATTTTAAGGGTACGGTAATCAGAAAGTAAGGTGAATTGACGTTACAGTAGGAAAAGTACAGTAAACCTTTTGATAACATTTTATTTTAAGCTTAAGCTAATTACTCTTAAGCTTAGTGATTCTAGGCTTAGTTAGGCTTAAGCTTAGTAGCCTTAGGCTTAATAGGCTTAGGCTTAGTAGGCTTAGGCTTAGTTAGGCTTCAGCTTAGTAGACTTAGGCTTAGCAGGCTTAGGTTTAAGCTTAGTAACCTTAGGCTTAGTAGGCTTAGGCTTAGTAGGCTTAAGCTTAGTAGGCTTAGGCTTATTAGGCTTAGGCTTAGTAGGCTTAGGCTTAGTAGGCTTAGGCTTAGTAGGCTTAGGCTTAGTAGGCTAAGCTTATTAGGCTTAGGCTAAGTAGGCTTAGGCTTAGTAGGCTTAGGCTTAGTAGACTCAGACTCAGTGGATCTAGGCTTACTAGGCCTAGGCTTAGTAGCCTTAGGCCTAGTAGGCTTAAAGTGTAAAACTTTAAACTCTAAAAACAAAAATTACAGTAACCCTCCGTTACAGTATCCAAGAACCACAATATCCCGAAATTACAGTAACCAAATCTACAATAACCCAAAATAACAGTACCCCAAGCTACAATAACCCAAATTACAGTACAAAAATCACTGTTCGAAGCTGGGTTCGGTTGGGAGTTCGAACTCGGACACTTCACGTGGTCCCAGCTGGCCCACAAAGATTTGACCAGCGTCGCTCACGGCCAAAGCGTGCGCGTCCTCAATACCCGAGGCAATGGTGTTGGCCTTGCCGCTGTTGATGTCCATGATGAACAGGTCGTGGTCGTTGCTGAGTTCGGGCTCGGTGTTGGTGACTCCGACGAGGTAGTGGTCTGGAAATGGAAATATTAGATTTTGAAAATTATACAGTATGGTAGGGTAGAATATGGTAGGGTAAGGTAGGATAAACTAGAGGGGGAGGGTGGCAGGGCAGGACTGGGCAAAGAAGGGTAGTTTAGAGTGGGGTAGAGCACTGTTAGGTAGGATAAGGTAAGTTAGAGTAGTGAAAAGGACAGCCCTTTAAAAATCTGCAAAAACTTTCTTTACAAAACAAAAATGGCAAGAACTTTCTTTACAGAAAAAAATGGCAAGAACTTTCTTTACAGAAAAAAAATGGCAAGAACTTTCTTTCCAAAGCAAAAAATGGCAAGAACTTTCTTTACAAAACAAAAATGGCAAGAACTTTCTTTACAAAACAAAAAATGGCAAAAACTTTGTTTACAAAAAATAATGGCAAGAATTTTCTTTACAGAACAAAAAATAGCAAGAACTTTCTTTACAAACGAAAAATGGCAAGAACTTTCTTTCCAAAAAATAATGGCAAGAACATTCTTTACAATGTTTCAAATTTCAAAAACCTACTTTTCTCTCTCAAAGCCATGATACGACCAACATTCTCTGCCTTGGTAACAAAGGTACCAGTTGGTATAACAGCACGTTGATGAGCTCCCTTTGGTACCAAACCGGCGGTGAAGCATTGGATTCGTCGGTTCTCACGATCGGCTACACAAATCATGTTCATGTCCTCAATGAGTACCAACGAGTGGGGTACGAAGAACTCGCCAGCCTTAGGGGAGATGCCAGTATTGGCATGACCAAAACTGCCAATGAACTTGCCATCCTTATCGAACTTCATGACCCTCGAGTTACAGTAACCATCGGCGACAAAGAACTCGCCGGACTTGGCTACGGCGACGTCAGTTGGCTTACAGAAGTGGGTGTTATCGTCACCCGGCACCAGCTTCTCACCCAATGTTAAGATAGGCTTAAAGTCCTTGTTCAGCTTGAACACTTGATGACTCCCGACGTCCGTTACCCAAACATTATCGTCATGATCGACCGTGAGACCGTGAGGCATGTAGAAGAGGTCGGCATTGTGCTCGGCTACAACATTACCGGTTGATGGGTCGACTACGGTAATAGTGTTGTTCTTGATTGGTGATAACGAGGTGTTGAACACGTTTTTGTTAGAGAAGGAACTAAAAGTGGGTTTAGATTAAGCTTCTAATAGCTTTGAAAGGCTGAGGGTAAAGCCAAAGATAGGACCAAGGCTAGGGTTCTAGGGCTAAGGCGCGGGTTAAGGCTACGGCTATAAAAAGGGCTAGGGTCTAGACTTAAGCTTCAGCTAAGGCTAGAACTAAGTTGAGAACTACTGCTGAGGGTAAGACTAGGGTTAGGGGTTATACTTAAAGTTAAGCTGATTCACAGAGTTAAACGAAAATCTAGGTTTAGCCAGCTTAGACTTAGTAAGCTTAGGCTCACTAGGCTTAGGCTTAGTAGGCTTAGGCTTAGTAAACTTAGGCTTAGTAGGCTTAGGTGTAGTAAACTCAAGCTTAGTAGGCTTAGGTTTAGCCTTAGACTTAGGTTTAGACTTAGACTTAGGCTTAGGATTAGGCTTAGGCTTATTCTTGAATTAGGTTTAGACCTACGCTTAGGCTTAGGCGTAGGCTTAGCAGGCTTAAGCCTAGTAGGCTTAGGCTTAGTAAGCCTAGTCGACTTGAATATGACAAACAAGCCAAAACACCTTTGCTGCCATTTCTATTTACGACCCCTCGCAGTAATTCAGAGACAAATCCCAGCACTCGCAGTCATTTGTTGGGTCGTTTTACATCGAGGCAAGTATTATATATAATTGTAAAATTACATAAAAAAATGTTGCGCAATACGATTTCTTGCAATTTCTCTAAGGCTATGATAATATACAATAACATTAGGTAACACCAACGGCAAAGGCAAGCTAAAGCTTCAACTAAGACTAAGGCCAGGAGCAGGTCCAAAGCTAAATGTTAAAGTTAGAGTTAATGCTAGGGCTAGGGCTCTGAGCTACGGATCTGAGCTCGGGCTTTGAGCTCGGGCTTTGAGCTCTGGGCTAGGGCTGTGGGCTAGGGCTCTGGGTTAGGGCTTTGGGCTAGGGCTAGGGCTAGGGCTAGGGCTAGGGCTAGGGCTAGGGCTAGGGCTAGGGCTAGGGCTAGGGCTAGGGCTAGGGCTAGGGCTAGGGCTAGGGCTAGGGCTCTGGGCTAGGGCTCTGGGTTAGGGCTTTGGGCTAGGGCTCTCGGGTAGGGCTCTCAGCTAGGGCTCTGGGCTAGGGCTCTGAGCTAAATCTCTGGGCTAGGGTTACTTACTATTGATTCCATTCTCGGTCACCACGGTGGAAAACGACCATTTGATTTTGACTGTTCAAGCCGATTCCATTAACTTGGCCAAACTTTTCGTGTACAAAGTCCTCAGGGGCTTCCTGAAACCAAAAATAAAATTTTTGGGCTTTGGCCGCTGTGTTACAAAATGTAAAGAAAGTTCTTGCCATTTTTTGTTTTGTAAAGAAAGTTCTTGCATTTTGATGTTTTGTAAAGAAAGTTCTTGCCATTTTATCATTTTGTTGAAGTACTGCCACTTCTATCATTACAAAAATGCCAATTAGCGACAAAAACAACTTTGAGCCTTAGGGCAGCAGAATTGTGGCTATAATAACAAGGATGTAATTAAATTCTGTTTTCCGGTTAATAACACACACGTACTGTTTATAATTTTGTTTACAGTCTGGCTTGGCCTCGGATCCTTGTTTTTTGGAAAGTACAATCCTATCAGTCAATGTTCATGCAAATTCAATTAAAAACTAAAATTTAAATTTTTTTTGGAATATACAATGAAAAATGGCAAGAACTTTCTTTACAAAGTTAAAATTTTTAAAAACGAAACTAAAAAGTGTCCCACCACGAAAACCTTAACTCATTCAAAATTTTTTCTTCATAACGCAAAAAATGGCAAGAACTTTCTTTACATAATAAGAAATGGCAAAAACTTTCTTTACAAAACATTAAAACGCAAGAACTTTCTTTACAAACTATAAAATGGCAAGAACTTTCTTTACAGGACTAAAAATGGCAGGAACTTTCTTTACAAAAAAATGGCAAGAACTTTCTTTACAAGACAAAAAATTGCAAAAACTTTCTTTCCAAACGACTCTTTTTGATTTTCAAGACCCGCAGGTCGCGCCCACACTTTAAACATGCTGTAAAATAGAAATGGCAAAAACTTTCTTTACAAAACAACAAATGACAAAAACTTTCTTTACAAACCCCAAATTTTTTAAAAATATGCAAGAACTTTCTTTACAAAGCACAAAAAACTGTCCCACCACGAAAACCTTACCTCAACCATATTCTGTTGCACCTCCTCGGGCACTTCCTGCATCACTTCCTCATTCTGAAACCCGTACCCAGGGTACTCCTCCGCCTCCTGTCCATAAAACAATTCACCGTGACATTGCGCGACCAAACTCAACAGCAACAACGACAACATCGACCCGTGACGTGCCATTCTGAGGGTTGGGGGGGGACGGCACGTTGAGTTGGGCCGTTTCTTCGAATGAAGCCGACGGTCCGCTTTTCCAGGACGTGCTGTGCGCGTGCTCTGTAGGTCCGCCTGAAAATCTTTGCGTAGAAAGAGGGCTGAAGGGCGAGAGAGTGGAGAGAAGTGGGAGACAGGCCGAGAGGAGAGAGGAGGAAATGAAAGAGTGATTAGAATAGAGAGAAAGGGAAAAGGAATGTAGGAAGAGGAAGGTCTACAGGCTAAGACACTGGGTAGGGCATTGACGATTTTCAGTGCCCTGCCCTGTGTTCAGCTATGCTTTGCTCGGTACGAGGTATTTCAGTTCTGTGCCCTACCCTGGCTTGCGTATAAGTTGTATTAGGTATAGGACAAGTTAGTAGCACCTCAGGCATTTTTGTCGCTGTTTTTGCGTTTAAAATGTTCTGGCAGGCTATAGTTTTCTCTGGCATAGGCTTACTAGTTAAGCTTAGGTTTAAACATAGGCTTAATATTAGGCTTTATCTTAAAAAAAATTTGGCCTGAATTTGGTTTAAGAATTAGTTGGTTTTAGGCTTGGGCTTACACTTAAGGTTAAAAATCAGTTTAGACTTAGTCTTAAGTTTAGGTTTAGGCTTGTGCTATAGTTTAATCTTTAGCTTGGGCTTAGGCTTTAGTTTAATCTTCAACTTAGGCTTAGGCTTTACCTTAGGCTTAGGCTTTACCTTAGGCTTAAGCTTAAGCTTTATCTTAGGCTTAGGCTTTACCTTAGGCTTAGGCTTAAGCTTTATCTTAGGCTTAGGCTTTACCTTAGGCTTAGGCTTAAGCTTTTTCTTAGGCTTAGGCTTTACCTTAGGTTTAGGCTTAAGCTTAAGCCTATGCTAAAGCCCAGGTTTAAACCTAGGTTTAGGTTTAAACTTACACTTAGGCTTAGGCTGTGGCTCACGCTGAGTCATAGTCTTTGACTTATTCTTAGGCGTGGGCTTAGGTTTCAGGTTTAAGTTAAAACTGAAACTTGGTATTAGACTTGCCTCTAGACATAGGTTTACGCTTTAGGTTAATGTGTAGCCAGAGGTTTTTAATTTTTTATTTAAACTTTGTGAACTAAAAGAACTATATATTTAGATATGTATACATTAATATATAAAATTAGTCCATAAATTTGTCTTCCATTTCTCATATTTCACATCAGACATATTATAATAACCTCTTTTCTAATCTACATTAATATTATACTAGATTCGAGGTTTCTTTCCCATTGACGCACGTAAAAAATTGTTCTTCTGGGCTAGAAATACAGCATTAAGTGAGTACGTACTCAAGATATAGTAGAAAACAGATAGTGTATTAGGTGGGAAATAGCACGGTACTGTCTGAGTAAGTACTATGTAGTATGGTGCTGTGGAAGTAAAAACTGGAGAGACAGTATATAGTATATATATGGGTAAGGTACAAGCTGAATAGCATGGTACTAGAAGAAAAGTTTTGAAATACTAAGATAGCACGGTACTGTTGGAATAAGTACTATGTAGCGTAGTACTGTGAGAGTATGAACTGGAGAGAATGTATGTATATAAAGTATATAGAAGTAGGGTGCAAACTGAATAGCACGGTACTAGAAGAGTTCAAAATACTAAGATAGCACGGTACTACCAGAGTATGAAAGACTATAATAGCACGATACGATTAGACTACGAAGGATTAACATAGCACGATATATAAGAGTACGAAAAAATAAAACAGCACGGTTTTACAAGACTTCTAAAGGCTAAGATAGCACGGTACTATCAGAGTACGATACATTAAAACAGCCCGGTACTACACGATTTCTATAATCTAAGATAGCACGATACTATAAAAGTACGATAAACTAAAACAGCACGGTACTACAAACTTCTAAATGCTAAGTTAGTACGGTACTACCAGAGTACGAAAAGATACAATGTATCAAGAGCAACAAAGCACCATACTGAAAAGACATGACGATACTCGCAGAGTCCGTACTAAAACAATATCTCGACAGCAACGCGAGAGAAGCCCAAAAAGAACGCTAAAAACGGAGAGAGCGTAGACAGTGCCATTCCCTTGCTCATTAAACATTCTCTTTCCGTGCGATGGCGTCACTCTCGACGAACACCGTTCTCGAGAGTCGCAAAAAAACAAAAGGAGGGACGGCGAAATGGAAACAAGCAATGTTCAACATCCGACATTAACATGAAATGGCATTTAGTTTTGAAAAAAAAACGGTGAATTCGAAAAACATTTTTTTGCAAAATTTAGGTAACAAAAGTTGATTTCTAGTAAATATATCCACATACTTGAGGACCAAAAAATAAATTTTTGACATTCAAGCCTAAGCCAAGGCCTAAGCATCAGTCTGAGCCTAAGCCTAAGCATCAGTCTAAGCCTAAGCCTATGCCTAAGCCTAAGCCTAAGCCTAAGCCTAAGCCTAGCCTAAGCTTAAGCCTAAGCCTAATCCTAAGCTTAAGCCTAAGCCTAAGCGTAAGCGTAAGCGTAAGCGTAAGCCTAAACCTAAACCTAAACCTAAACCTAAGCATAAGCCTAAGCCTAAGCCCAAGCCAAAGTCCTAAGCCTAAGCCTAAGTATAAGCCTAAGCCTAAACTTTTTCGTTTAATTTTAAAGTTGTGCCATGTCATGGGTAAAACAAATTGTGTTCACGTGATACTTAAATTGAGCATACGAACACATGAGTCCCAACTCTAATTAGATTAAGCACATGAGAACGGCCGCAAAACATACACACTCGAATTGCAAATAAGTTAGAGGAAAACGCAAAAGGATAACATTAACATACTTTTTGTAAAGAAAGTTCTTGCCATAAATTGTCTTGTAAAGAAAGTTCTTGCCATTTTTTGATTTGTAAAGAAAGTTTTTGCCATTTTTCGGTTTGTAAAGAAAGTTCTTGCACTAAACAACCCAACTATGGGGTATAGACGTCAAAGGTCCTGAGACCATAACAGGAACTGTAAAATAACCAATGTAATGTAATCAGCTATTCGAACACGCAAATCTCACCTGAAAAGCAATGTCTTTGGACTTTTATGACATTGCCTGTCCACGAAATGGCCTTAAGAGCACTTTAAGATTTAAAAAAGTGTAAAAAATGTAAAATTTTGAAATTAAAAAAAATTTTTTTTTTAATTTTTAAAATTTTAAAATTTTAAAAAATTGTAAAAATTTTTTTAATGCCATACTACATCATACAATATACAATATATATGGTACTTTCAAGTGTATTCAAACATGCCTTTGAGTATAATATTATAAAAACAATGGCAATTCTACTTCCGCCATACTGAGAATTAACGATGTGAACTTTCTGTGCAAAACATCTCTATTAAATTTATATTTTCACGCATAACATATCATCATATGTCAATTGAATAAACGGATATTATTTGTTTTCATAATATAAAAATATAGATATCTACCCCCGCAAAAAACTCTAAACACCTTCAAGCAGCCTCAATCTGATTCTAAGCCTAAGCCTACCTACATCTAAGCCTACTTAAGCCTAAGCTTACCTAAACCTAAACGAACGGCTAATCCAAAGCTAAAGTTTAAGCCTCAGCTTAAGCCTAAGCTTAAACTTAAGCCTCAACCTAAGCCTTAGTCTAAGCCTAAGCGTCAGCCTAAGCCTAAGCCTAAGCCTAAGCCTAAGTTGAAGATTAAACTAAAGCCTAAGTCTAAGCCTAAGCCTAAGCGTCAGCCTAAGCCTAAGCCTAGGTCTAAGCTTAAGCCTAAGCCTAAGATTAAGCATAAACCTGAACCTGAGCCTAAGCCTACATTCAAGCCCTAGTCCTAGCCTTAGTCCTAGCCTTTACCCTAACCCAAGTTCTAGCCCTAGCCGAGAGTCGTAGTTTTAATTTTAGCTCCGTTCCTAGCCTTAGTTCTAGCCGTACGTACCTACTCTTCAATTCCATATAATAACCCCTCCGCACCCTATACTCCCCCCAAGTACAGGCTTAGAGCAAAATGTAAACTGTCAAAACTGACATAAATAAAGCACTTGTCACTACTGCCAGCAAATTTAAATTCATTTTGGATATTCAATTTCAAAATAACATGCAAATTAGTCACGTTTTTTGTTTCAGTTTCCTGGAAAGTGTCATGTTTGGCTTCAAACACAGCCTCAAGGCATAATAAGGCTGAAAAGGATCTAAAATTAAATTCTATATTAAATTATTAAAATCCCAATTTTTGCAAGCTATTAGGCTTAATAAATGTATTTTGGGCTTAAAATTTGTTCCTATTCTTAAAACGAACACTTTAGACTTAAAAATAATAGTTAAAGTTTAAAAAATAATATCTTAGGCTTAAAGTTGGCTTCTAGATTTAAAAATAATATTCTAGGCTTAAAATTAGTTCAGCGGCTTAAATTTATATCTTAGGCTTAAACATATGTTTTAAGCTTAAAATTTGTTTTTAGGCTTAAAAATAAGGTTTTAGGCTTAAAAGAAATATTTTAGGCTTAAAATTTGTTCCTAAATTTAAGGATAATATTCTAGACTTAAAATTATAATTTTATCATATAAGTATTTTTTAGGCTTAATAAACACATTTTAAGCATAAAAATAATACTTTAGGCTTAAAGTTCGTCCCTAGGCTCAAAAGTAAGATCTTAGGCTTAAAAAGAATATTTTAGGCTTAAGAATAACGTTTCAAACTTAAAATTTGTCCTTAGGTCTTAAAACAATATTTTAGGCTTAAAATTTGTTCATAAGCTTAAAATCAGTATTCTAGGCTTAAAAAAACTTTAGATTTAACCTTATCTTAGGCTTAAAATTAAACTGAAAAAAAAACATTTTTTTCAAAAATGCAAAAACTTTCTTTCCAAAAACATACTTTTCCAGCCACACAAACCTATTTTTGTTTCATTCTTTTCGTACAAAACCATGCCGACCGGTCGGAAAAGGAGCCGACCAAAGAAGAAACGCGCGCTCAAACGGTAAGTTGATTCACTTTAAACGTCTATAACTTTCTTTACAATTTATCGAAAACTTTGAAAATTTGACATAATGTGGCAAATGGCCTACAGTTTATAATTTCAAAATTTTAAAACTATATTTATTGCGAAATTATGAAAAAATGGCCGAAAACTTAAAAATTTTAGAAAAATCGGCGGTTTTGGCCTGTTTTTGATACTTCTGCCATTCTTTTATGAAGCCAAATTTGAAAACATTTAAATTGGTAGCTAGCTTAAAGAGTAAACTTTGAATTGCCGTTTTAAAAATTAAAAATTTTTGATTTTGACATAGCCAAATTTAGAAAAAACGGCTATAAACCTCAAAATTTTGTAAAAAACAGAGGATTTGGGCTGTTTTTGATATTTTTGCCATTCTTTTTTAGAGCAAAATTTGAAAAAATTTAAATTGGTAGCTAGCCTAAAGAGTAAACTTTAAATTGCCGTTTTAAAAATTTAAAAATTTTAAATTTTATCATACATAAATTTCAAGAAAAACCGCCAAAAAACTCCAAATTTTCGAAAAAAACCGCTATTTTTTCAATATTTTTGCCATTTTTTAATCAAATCCAACAAAAAAGGCCATTCTTTTTTATACCTAAAAGCTTCAAAATCAAAATATTTATCTAAAAGCTACAACAAATATTAAAAATGTCATTTTGCTTCAGGACAGTCCGCCGAAAAGCTGCGAAAAAGGCGTTGAGCAACAAGAGACCGCTGAAAAAGAAGAGAGCGGCGAAGAAAAAGACGAAGAAACCGAGTGGAAAGAGGAGAGACGACGGAGAAAAGAAGAAAACCAAGACTGATCAAGCACTAGAAGTACTTCAACTTGATCAAGTAGCACCGGAGAAGAAAGATGGTGCTGAGAAAGGTGCAGTGGGACCAGTGGTACCTGTTGTACCGAATGTTGGATTGCTTTATGTAAGGTTTCTTATAGGTGGAAAAGTGGCAAGAACTTTCATTACAAAACAAAAAATAGCAAGAACTTTCTTTACAAATCAAAAAATAGCAAGAACTTTCTTTACAAATCAAAAAATAGCAAGAACTTTCTTTACAAATCAAAAAATAGCAAGAACTTTCTTTACAAATCAAAAAATAGCAAGAACTTTCTTTACAAATCAAAAAATAGCAAGAACTTTCTTTACAAATCAAAAAATAGCAAGAACTTTCTTTACAAATCAAAAAATGGCAAGAACTTTCTTTACAAATGACTCTTTTTGATTTTCAAGTCCCGCAGGTCGCGCCCACACTTTAAACATGCTGTAAAATAAAAATGGCAAGAACTTTCTTTACAAAACGTAAAATTGTCAGAATTGCGCAAAAGTAAACGAAATGTAACAAAAATTATTGTTTTTTTTTCATAAAATTTTTTTTAATCTTAACTTTCAGGACTTGGATATGAACAAAGAAGAGCTAGATGTTGTGATAGAAGAAGTAAATGAGAAGTTACGTACTATACATGCCAACGTACTGTGCTGTGTATGTCAAAAGAACATTGAATGGAGAATGTTTTTAAGACAGTGTGTTCACTTCGTATGTCTACAATGCGTCTACCCTTATTTAAAAATGAAAATTTTGGATCAGAAGAAGGTCAGTTTTTCAGTTTGGATTTGTAAAGAAAGTTCTTGCCATTTTTTGTTTTGTAAAGAAAGTTCTTGCCATTTCCCGTTTTGTAAAGAAAGTTTTTGCAATTTTAAATATTTTAACATTTAAGGCTAGAATACCCTGCCCAGTACCAGATTGTCATCGCCGAATACATGAAAATGACATTGATGCACTATTAAACAATCCGTCGTATGACCTTAACATGTTTATGTCATCAGAAGAGCGAAAGAGCTTATTAACAGCTCACCACCTTCATACTGTAGAATATGCACTTGGCAATGACAGTACACAGGCAGCATGTCCACAATGTAATGTAAGTAGGGTAGGGTAGAGTAGGGTAGGGTAGGGTAGGGTAGGGTAGGGTAGGGTAAGGTAGGGTAAGGTAGGGTAGGGTAGGGTAGGGTAGGGTAGGGTAGGGTAGGGTAGGGTAGGGTAGGGTAGGGTAGGGTAGGGTAGGGTAGAATAGAGTAGAGTAGGGTAGGGTCTGTAAAGAAAGTTATTGCTATTTCAGTATATGGTTTCAGATACCGTACCCACTAGAGCCCGGCTGTCACTACGTACAATGTGTTCACAAGAAATGTAAAACCTGGTTCTGTAGTGGTTGTAAACAACCCGCCCAGGATTTTTGGCATTTTTCAACAGGTATTTAACTGTATTTCACTAAAAATGACCAATTTTTGCTTTTTTTGGGTTCTGCAGGCTGCGGGTGACAAGTTATACGATGAAGACGGTTTTGACTGTAGTTTTTATCTCACTGTTGATAACGTTATAAAATGCGTACTCAAGTCTTAACTAAGTACTAAAAAACCGATTTTAGGCGGAAAATGTCTAATCGGATCCACCGACGTCTACCGTATATCGTACCTTCTTCGTATGTTACTAACCACCCCAGTATTCGGCCTAATACTCATTGCACCAGGATTCTTCTGCACCATACTCATATTACTACCTCTATCAATAGCATTCATGTTCACAACAACAATAATCAAAAGGATATCACATTGTTTGAACAACATTTGGGCAACAACGGCTATAACAATATTGATCGGATGGGTAATATTATTGATCGGCTTTGTACTAGGCGTCTTGACAATACCGTTCAGTATCATTGTCGTGCTATTGTATGCACAACTGGTCGTGTTTCGATGCGTTCCGACCAAACTTTTGGTAAGTTGCGGCTGACAGGTTTCATCGTATAAGATGTCGTCAATGTGACGTTTTGATGGATTTAGAGGGGGGAGGGGTGGGATTTTGAAAAGGTATGATGTACATGGATGTAATAGACTATATTATAAGCCTTTTTTTTTAAAAGTTGTTAAAATGACATCACGGGACATGTTATACGATGAAAGGTGTTTTTTGCCATTTTAGCTATATATGCTATGGATATGCCATTATATATATAAAAATAAGTTAGAAATGAGTTATAGATTAAAAATTTCAAAATTTTTTAAAATTTTTGTAAAGATTGAGTAATAATCGATATTTTAGGTAACAATAGCCATGTCGATTGTCACCAGAGTCTTAACGGCCTTAGGGATCGGGTCGGTTGTAGAGACCGTCTCCAACGTACGACACGCCAAACTGATGGTAAAAGTCGACCAATACCAAGAGGAACAAGAAAAATCAGAGGAACTTCATCCAGGTAACGTTCTATGGCCGTTCTCGGCTGCTTTATGACCGTTCTCTGCTGTTCTCGGCCATTTTTCATCGAATATGATAGTCTTAAAACGAATTTCAGATAAAATGACAAAGCTTGATGCCAAACTCAAGAGAATTTATCAAGAAGATCGAGAAGCTCATCGTCAAACAGCTGAATTTGTGGATAATTTGAAAAAAATGGGCGATTTTAAGGATTCAACGGCCGTTTAAACCCGCCTTTGGACAATATAAACTTTGATTTTGAAGTTTTGAACTCAATAAATAGATGTGATTTATTAAATCATGCTAGATTATTTATTTATCGACCAGGTTTTATTGCCGGACGACCCTTTAAGGTATTTTACCCTAGAGTAGTCTAACCTGTCTTACAGTACCCTACCCCACTTTACAGTCGACCAGACAACACTTACAGCATCCTAGCTTAGACTACAGTATTCTACTTTACGCTATCTCATAGTGTCGTAGACTACAGTATCCTATCCTACAGTAGCTTACTCTACAGTATCCTACCTTACTCTACGATAACCCAGTCAACCCTACAGTACCCAAGCCTACAATACAGTAGCCTACTCTACTTCAACTAGAAATCAAAATTTTAAAATTGAAAAATTTCAAAAATCAAAGTTTTAAAAGCTGCGACATAACAACTAACATACAACATAACACATAACACACGTCCAAAACATTCAAATTTATTCAAGTACAATAACGTATGTCGTCCATGTTGCTACAAAGACAATTTCGAATAAGTCATGGTGTCATTCTTTATTCGATAGTGGGTCCAAACGCGACTTCTGAAGTCAGTTCATAAAAGGATTCGAGGGTTGGATCGAGGATCCTCTCCATTGGCCCGCCGCGACCCAAAAACAAGCGGCGACAGGTCTTTCTAGTGCCATTGCTGAAAGTAATCAACTTAAAAGCGCAATAATTTTCTTTCCAAAACACTATTTTTTCGAAAAACAGCAAAAAGTTACTTTACAAAACAAAAATTAGCAAAAAATTTCTTTACAAAAGATAAAATGACAAGAACTTTCTTTCCAAAACAAAAAATGGCAAGAACTTTCTTTACAAAACTAAAAATGGCAAGAACTTTCTTTCCAAAACACAAGACGGCAAGAACTTTCTTTCCAAAACACAAAACAGCAAGAACTTCCTTTACAATCCAAAAAATAGCAAGAACTTTCTTTACAAAACATTATATGGCAAGAACTTTCTTTACAAAACAAACTATTTCAAAAAACTTCAAAATCTTACCGCTCTGCCATCTTCCATTCAACCAACGACCATCCCGAGCACAGTCGATCAGCCAGCTTCCTCATAGTTGGCAAACTCAGCTCATTCACTACTCCAGTCATGTTAATCAGCGCCTGCGCCAACGACAGATAATGGCCTTCGCTTCGCAACAAACTCAATCGCATCAGATTCTCCAAATTGTACTTCGAAGCCAGTACGAGGTGCTCCTTCAGCAGCGTCGACGTGATTGGAGGCTCACCCATAATGGCCTGAAAAGACGAAATGTCACACAAATATCGATTATTTAAAAAAATCAAAATATATTTTAATTGTTTATAAACTTTTAAAATTAATTTTATTTCATATGATAACCTTCCAAAGCCCTATCATAACAAATTTCGAAAAATGACGAAATGTCACAAAAAATATTGATTTTTAAAAAATTTCAAAATTCTTCAAAAAGTGCATGGATAGCCTACAAAATACTTCTATACTTGCTTTTTACTGACCGAAAAAAACCCAAAATACCAAGAAATACGAAATGTCACAAAAATTATTGGATTTTTGTGACATTTCGTCCATTTCCAAATTTTCTTAAAACAGCAATAAAACCCGTTTCCAAGCACTTACCTCTTCCATTTTGGCTTTCAAAAACTTCAGTTCATTGTCGTGAGCAAAGATCAGCATGGGTTTGATGCACTTGTTGCAGACGCCCTTCCCATAATAAGCAAAATCCAGGAATTCGTTGAGAAAGTGCTCCAGATTGATGTGAAGCTTCTGGAGGTATTCACGGGTGGCCACGCTGAAGATTGGGTAATACTCTAAAAATTAATATTTTAATTTTAAATGGCCAAAACTTTCTTTACAAAACAAAAAATGACGAGAACTTTCTTTACAACCCTACCTCTAGCTTCCAAATCAGAACTAGTACCGAACTTGGCCATACTTTGGGCTTGTAGCACTCCTTTGTGAGCCAATACTGTCACTCCACTGTAAGTCAACTTGACGACATTTGGGTCGTTTGCACTTCGAGCTCTGAAAAAATGGGAATAACTTTCTTTACAAAACAAAAAATGGCAAAAACTTTCTTTCCAAAACACGTTTTTCTAAAAACCGCAAGAACTTTCTTTCCACAACTCATTTTTTGAAAAACCGCAAAAACTTTCTTTCCAAAACACATTTTTTAAAAAACCGCAATAACTTTCTTTACAAATCACATTTGTTTAAAAACCGCAAAAACTTTGTTTCCAACCCCAATGTTTACAAATTCCGCAACAACTTTCTTTCCACTCACCTCAAGGTCAACTGTTCTTTGGTCGGAAATTCGAAATTTCGCTTTTTCTGAGCTTGAATGCAGGCTGGAGCGACAAAGTTGTTGTAGACATCTTCCGAGAACAAGGTGCTTGGTTCACTGACTTGGCTGATCACTTTCGACCATTCCTTGTTCTTGACGGCATCGAACATCAACTTGGGAATGACAACGTCGCCAAGGTTACAGTGGATTGCTTCTGTGACACGTTGAGTTAGGGATGACATGTACGGCTAAAAATGGAAGAAACTTTGTTTACAAACTAAAATAATTAAATTACAGTAACGTATCTTAGCGTAGCCTACCCTACCCTATGGTACCCTAGCCTACTTTAAAGTAAATCAGTCTACATTACAGTACCTTAGCCTCAACTACCGTATCTTACCTTACCTCATAGTGTCCTAGCATATACTAAAGTACCCTTTATATCCTAACGTACTCTACTCTGACCTGCCCTACTTTACAGTAAACCAGTCCATCCTACAGTACCCTACACTACAATATTTCATTGTATAAAACCCCAGCCTGTCCTACAGTACCCTAGCCCTACACTACAGTATCGTAGCCTGTTTTACAGTACCTTAGCCTACCTTACAGTATCTTATCCTACTGAACCATAACTTGCCCTACCCTACCATACAGCGAACTACCTTACTCTACAGTTCCCTAGTCTAATGTACAGTACCTTAACCTAGCCTACCGTTATCTAACTTGCTCTACCCAACTCTAGAGTACCACATTCCTACACTACGGTACCAACGCCTACCCTAATTTACAAAATACAGTATCCTACTTTACTCTACGGTAACCCAGTCAACCCTACAGTACCCAAGCCTACATTACAGTACCCTACCCTACACTACCAAACCGTTCTCTAAACCATCCCACCCTGCAATAGCATACCCCCTATCATTAACTTAACCAAAAACGCCAGAACATACCGAACAATGCTGTAGAAAGTACTTGGCCACATCAATCAATACCGTATGGGAGGCGTACTTTTTGGCGGCATGGCACAATTTGACGAATCGGGGGTGGATCGGTCGGATGTTGGGTCCCAAATAGACCAGCAATTCCGTGACCAGTGGTCGATCCTCGGCCGGTAGATGGATAATCGGGTTGGCGTACGCATCAAACTCGGTGCTTTGCTTAATCATATTGGCCAAGCCAAACGAGTACAATTGCAAAAAGTTTTTGTAACTGTAAATGTCGTCCTTGCCATCGTCAAATGTGATGGTGACATCGGTGTCGCGGAAGAAGGATGGCGACACTTTTTCAAAATTCTAAAAAAAATTAAACTTTCAAAATAAACCACATTTTAAAAGAGTTTTGAAAATTGTAAATAAAGTTCTTGCGGTTTTAAAAACAATTAACAAAATTCAAGCTCCGCAGCCTGCGAGAGACAAGTTATACGATTAAAAAAAGCTTTAAACCTCTGTAAAGAAAGTTCTTGCAGTAAAATTTTCGAAAAAAATCAGATTTTGTAAGACTTTTAAAACTTGTAAAGAAAGTTCTTGCGATTCTTCAAAAAATTGGCAAAAATCATATCCTGCAGCCTGCGGGTGACAATTTATACGATGCATGCGTTTAGACCTTTGTAAAGAAATTACTTGCGGTTTTTCGAAAAAAAAACTTGTTGTAAAAAAAAGTTATTGCCATTTTACAAAAATTACGTTTTGTAAAGAAAGTTATTACGGTTTTTCAAAAAACAGGTTTTGTAAAGAAAGTTCCTTCGTTTTTTCAATAAAACAAGCCAAACCCAAGTTCCGCAGCCTGCGAGTCACAAGTTATACGACGAACAAAAACAAAGTATTAAGTTGTTCAAATAATACTGTGCCCCTAAAATAAAAAATTTACTTTAAAAAATGGCTCATAATTATGTGAACAACCAAACCCTTACATATCTAATCAGTCTCATGTCGACCCTGATAGCGTTGATTTCGCCTTCGGAATGGTCGAGTTCAAGCCGGACTGGTCGGTCGTACTTGCCAAAACTAAACACAGCACCATCGACCACTTTAAAGCTGGACAAATTGGTCGAAGTCGAGAAACGGACTTGAGCCACAACTTCCCATTCCGTATACGAGGTGGGGTAGTCGGTTCGAACTTCAACATACCCTTCGGCGTCACTAAAATTGAAATATTTAAAATTTTGTTTTGTAAAGAAAGTTCTTGCTATTTTTTGTTTTGTAAAGAAAGTTCTTGCAATTTTATGTTTTGTAAAGAAAGTTCTTGCCATTTGTTGTTTTGTAAAGAAAGTTCTTGCCATTTTTTGTTTTGTAAAGAAAGTTCTTGCCATTTGTTGTTTTGTAAAGAAAGTTCTTGCCGTTTTTAGTTTTATAAAGAAAGTTCTTGCATTTCTGAATCCAAAACCACAACATTCAAAGTAATATAACCAACAGCTCACAAAAAACCCATTTTTATACCTAAAAACCTACTTTAGAATAAACTTTAGGTACAGATCCTTGAAAAAGTAGCTGTATTCATTTTCCGAAGCCGTGGTATCATCGTACAGTAACTTTTCACCATCACAATTGATAGAAACGCCCAATCGTTTCGGTACCTCAATATCCACCTCCTCCAATGCCATCACAGCCTTGTTGATCTTCTCTTGCTCCTCCAGTAGCAGTCGGACCTCGGGGTCGGATAGACCGGTCTGAAGGTTGGTATTGGAGACGGCTTGGGCAAACTCTTCATAGTCGTCCGGGCAGGTCGCAATTGACTACAAGGTAACATTTATTACTTAGAAAACATGTCATTTCATTATAAAATCGAAAGTTCAAATCAGAAGATCAAATTTGACACCAAAAAAGAAAGGTTTTTAGTACGCGTCAAAAAGAATTGATCACTTTTACTATATGAATACACTGAAAAATGATCAACTCTTTTTGACGCGGCCTAAAACTGTTATTCATCGGTCAAAAAGTTTGTGGAAAAGATCAAACTTAGTTCAAAATAAAGCTTATGGACTATTCTAACCATTTCTTGCCCAAACCAAAGCAAATTTAGTATTTTGTCACATTTATAACCAAAAAACTATGCCGCGCCAAAAAGAATTGAACTTTTTCACTATATAAATACACTGAAAGCCAACCAATTCTTTTTGACGCGGTATTTTCAATTAGTCCTTATAGTGAGTTTAGAATCCATGCTCTGTACAGAACGCCCTTACCAACTGATTCAAGTATTCGGTGTTGTACTTCAACTCCTCATGGTAACAATCGTCCATCATTTCGACCAACTTCCAACGGGATGTCACCAACCAGCAGTAGCACAGAACTCAAAATGAAAACTGAAATTTTAAAAATTCTCAAAAAGCAATTTTCAAAACAAAATTTGAATATTCTTCCAATTTTTTTCTCTTTTGCGCAAAAAAATATTTTGAAAAAAGGAGATCGCACTGAAAATGTTATACCTAGGTCAAAAAGTTTATGGACAAATCTAAATTCAGCCCAATTTAAAGCATCTGGACTGCTCTAACTACTTTTTGACCAAAGTAGGTAAATTTGATTTTTCTACGAATTTTATGACCGTAAAAGGGCTGCACTAAAAAATGTTATATCTCGGCCAAAAAGTTTGTAGAAAAACCGAAAAGAATGAAATTAGAAGATATGGACTATTCTAACTATTTTTTGACCAGACGAATAATGAGCAGCAAACCCATCTCTCAACATGAGCACAAACACCACAGACTGGCCATAGCGACCATCTTCTTCATGGTGGACCTGTACTTTTTCGTCAAACCCCTGGATTTGAAGAATGAGAAGGTCAAAAGTGACAAAACTTTGTTCAGATTGGACACAAATCAAGTGGGAAAAGTGTTGGATGGTGCTGATGGTACTGGCGCTACTAAGGAGGATGTCAAGAAGCCCAAAATGAACTTGAAGAACAAAAATGGGTCAAGAAGAGACAAAACGGTACCACACGTCCTCTTCCTCCGCCGGCGCAAAGGCTAAATTAAAAATCTAAAAAGAACAGAAACCTAACGCAAGACACGGTAGCATTTTAGAGCAAACATTTCGCGATTTTGTGTATGAACCAATAGGTTTTATGCCTCCGCCGATCGTCCGCCAAACCGGTAAACAATCATACAAAACCAAAACCGCCCGCTAGTGGCTCTATAACAAAAAAAGAATCAGGCCAATCAGACGCTTAGTTTTTAAGAACGAAGTCTGTACTTTCTTTCAAATTTCTCTGGACATCCTGTACTCGCCATAACAGTTTGCTTACGGCCTTGAGGAAGTATATTATCTACCTGCGTAAAAAGCCGGTAAGTATTCGAAACTATTTTTTTATTGTTTTAAAATTTGTTTTTCAAAATTCAACAAGAATGACCAAACTCAATTTTTTTTCAGGCGCAAGTAAAGAAAGGCCTGCTTCCACGGATTCCACCACTGTGCCCCATCAAGTACAAGGAGATCTGCCTAGAGGTCCGCAAAACATTTCCTCCAGCAAAGAAGCGCAGCCTATTGGCCCGTCAACAGGATTCAATAATCAGTCACTTGATGACGGATCAATACAACGAAGACGAGGCGTGTTTATGCCCATATTATACCTATACGTTAATCGGATTTACCCTGTTTAAAATTTGTCCCACTAAAAGCCGCCGATTTCCACAAGTTTTTCAATGTGCAACAGGACGAATAGACAGTCGATTTTGATTTTTTTTAGTTTACGTTCCCAGAAAATGAAATTTACAAACGCCACATAAAAAGTCAAAAATTATTCCTTTTTTACATTGACCTTTATGAAATCTTAAGAATAAAAGTATGTAAATTGGAAATGAAATAAAATTGCAATGCCCAGACCATAGGAGGCCCGTAAGGCGTCCGTTGGTCTGTTCCCCTTCGTAAATGGAGAAGAATGAGACTATGTCCGAGTGCAAAAATCGAAAAAAGCATTTTGAAATTTAAAAGGGCTTCCGTTGGTCTGGTCAGGCGTATAACTGAAGAATCAGCAAATTATTGACTCAAGAAACTTTGAAAAAATCGGAAAAATAGCATAAAATCCGAAAACGTTCTTACTCATATAAGACTTACGCTTAAAAAGTACCGTACTCTAACTAAAATATCATAAATCGACCGGTCGATTTCACTTTTTATAACTTTTAAGTAACTGGAGTAGAGTATCATACCCAGAGGGTTTAGTACTGCCTAACCTTGTAACACTTACGCTTAAATAGAAAAAGCCTTAAAAAGTACAGTACTCTAACTAAAATACACTAAATCGACCGGTCGATTTCACTTTTTAAAACTTTTAAGTAACTCGAGTAGAGTATCATACCCAGAGGGTTTAGTACTGCCTAACCTTGTAACACTTACGCTTAAATAGAAAAAGCCTTAAAAAGTACAGTACTCTAACTAAAATACACTAAATCGACCGGTCGATTTCACTTTTTAAAACTTTTAAGTAACTCGAGTAGAGTATCATACCCAGAGGGTTTAGTACTGCCTAACCTTATAAGACACGCTTAAAAAGAAAAAGCCTTAAAAATTACAGTACTCTAACTAAAATACACTAAACCGACCGGTCGATTTCACTTTTTAAAACTTTTAAGTAACTCGAGTAGAGTATCATACCCAGAGGGTTTAGTACTGCCTAACCTTATAAGACACGCTTAAATAGAAAAAGCCTTAAAAAGTACAGTACCCTAACTAAAACATCATAAATCGACCGGTCGATTTCACTTTTTACAACTTTTAAGTAACTGGAGTAGAGTATCATACCCAGAGGGTTTAGTACTGCCTAACCTTATAAGACACGCTTAAATAGAAAAAGCCTTAAAAAGTACAGTACCCTAACTAAAACATCATAAATCGACCGGTCGATTTCACTTTTTACAACTTTTAAGTAACTCGAGTAGAGTATCATACCCAGAGGGTTTAGTACTGCCTAACCTTATAACACTTACGCTTAAATAGAAAAAGCCTTAAAAAGTACAGTACCCCTAACTAAAACATCATAAATCGACCGGTCGATTTCACTTTTTACAACCTTTAAGTAACTCGAGTAGAGTATCATACCCAGAGGGTTTAGTACTGCCTAACCTTAAAAGACACGCTTAAATAGAAAAAGCCTTAAAAAGTACAGTACCCTAACTAAAACATCATAAATCGACCGGTCGATTTCACTTTTTTAAAACTTTTAAGTAACTCGAGTAGAGTATCATACCCAGAGGGTTTAGTACTGCCTAACCTTATAACACTTACGCTTAAATAGAAAAAGCCTTAAAAAGTACAGTACCCTAACTAAAACATCATAAATCGACCGGTCGATTTCACTTTTTACAACTTTTAAGTAACTCGAGTAGAGTATCATACCCAGAGGGTTTAGTACTGCCTAACCTTATAACACTTACGCTTAAATAGAAAAAGCCTTAAAAAGTACAGTACCCTAACTAAAACATCATAAATCGACCGGTCGATTTCACTTTTTTAAAACTTTTTAAGTAACTCGAGTAGAGTATCATACCCAGAGGGTTTAGTACTGCCTAACCTTATAAGACACGCTTAAAAAAGAAAAAAGCCTTAAAAATTACAGTACTCTAACTAAAATACAAAAAAATCGACCGGTCGATTTCACTTTTTAAAACTTTTAAGTAACTCGTGTAGAGTATCATACCCAGAGGGTTTAGTACTGTCTAACCTTATAAGACACGTTTAAATAGAAAAAAGCCTTAAAAAGTACAGTACTCTAACTAAAAATACACTAAATCGACCGGTCGGTTTAGTGTATTTTTTTTAGTTAGAGTACTGTAATTTTTTAAGGCTTTTTTCTATTTAAGCGTAAGTGTTATAAGGTTAGGCAGTACTAAACCCTCTGGGTATGATACTCTACTCGAGTTACTTAAAAGTTGTAAAAAGTGAAATTGACCGGTCGATTTATGATGTTTTAGTTAGGGTACTGTACTTTTTAAGGCTTTTTCTATTTAAGCGTAAGTGTTATAAGGTTAGGCAGTACTAAACCCTCTGGGTATGATACTCTACTCCAGTTACTTAAAAGTTGTAAAAAAGTGAAATCGACCGGTCGATTTAGTGTATTTTAGTTAGAGTAATGTACTTTTTCAGGCTTTTTCTATTTAAGCGTGTCTTTTAAGGTTAGGCAGTACTAAACCCTCTGGGTATGATACTCTACTCGAGTTACTTAAAGGTTGTAAAAAGTGAAATCGACCGGTCGATTTATGATGTTTTAGTTAGGGTACTGTACTTTTTAAGGCTTTTTCTATTTAAGCGTAAGTGTTATAAGGTTAGACAGTACTAAACCCTCTGGGTATGATACTCTACTCGAGTTACTTAAAAGTTTTTAAAAAGTGAAATCGACCGGTCGATTTAGTGTATTTTAGTTAGAGTACTGTACTTTTTAAGGCTTTTTCTATTTAAACGTGTCTTATAAGGTTAGACAGTACTAAACCCTCTGGGTATGATACTCTACTCGAGTTACTTAAAAGTTTTTAAAAAAGTGAAATCGACCGGTCGATTTAGTGTATTTTAGTTAGAGTACTGTACTTTTTAAGGCTTTTTCTATTTAAACGTGTCTTATAAGGTTAGACAGTACTAAACCCTCTGGGTATGATACTCTACTCGAGTTACTTAAAAAGTTTTTAAAAAAAGTGAAATCGACCGGTCGATTTAGTGTATTTTAGTTAGAGTACTGTAATTTTTAAGGCTTTTTCTGTTTAAGCGTAAGTGTTATAAGGTTAGACAGTACTAAACCCTCTGGGTATGATACTCTACTCCAGTTACTTAAAAGTTGTAAAAAAGTGAAATCGACCGGTCGATTTATGATGTTTTAGTTAGGGTACTGTACTTTTTAAGGCTTTTTCTATTTAAGCGTGTCTTATAAGGTTAGGCAGTACTAAACCCTCTGGGTATGATACTCTACTCGAGTTACTTAAAAGTTTTAAAAAAGTGAAATCGACCGGTCGATTTAGTGTATTTTAGTTAGAGTACTGTACTTTTTAAGGCTTTTTCTATTTAAACGTGTCTTATAAGGTTAGACAGTACTAAACCCTCTGGGTATGATACTCTACACGAGTTACTTAAAAGTTTTAAAAAGTGAAATCGACCGGTCGATTTTTTTGTATTTTAGTTAGAGTACTGTAATTTTTAAGGCTTTTTCTTTTTAAGCGTGTCTTATAAGGTTAGGCAGTACTAAACCCTCTGGGTATGATACTCTACTCCAGTTACTTAAAAGTTGTAAAAAGTGAAATCGACCGGTCGATTTATGATGTTTTAGTTAGGGTACTGTACTTTTTAAGGCTTTTTCTATTTAAGCGTGTCTTATAAGGTTAGGCAGTACTAAACCCTCTGGGTATGATACTCTACTCGAGTTACTTAAAAGTTTTAAAAAGTGAAATCGACCGGTCGGTTTAGTGTATTTTAGTTAGAGTACTGTAATTTTTAAGGCTTTTTCTTTTTAAGCGTGTCTTATAAGGTTAGGCAGTACTAAACCCTCTGGGTATGATACTCTACTCGAGTTACTTAAAAGTTTTAAAAAGTGAAATCGACCGGTCGATTTAGTGTATTTTAGTTAGAGTACTGTACTTTTTAAGGCTTTTTCTATTTAAGCGTAAGTGTTACAAGGTTAGGCAGTACTAAACCCTCTGGGTATGATACTCTACTCGAGTTACTTAAAAGTTTTAAAAGTGAAATCGACCGGTCGATTTAGTGTATTTTAGTTAGAGTACTGTACTTTTTAAGGCTTTTTCTATTTAAGCGTAAGTGTTACAAGGTTAGGCAGTACTAAACCCTCTGGGTATGATACTCTACTCCAGTTACTTAAAAGTTATAAAAAGTGAAATCGACCGGTCGATTTATGATATTTTAGTTAGAGTACGGTACTTTTTAAGCGTAAGTCTTATATGAGTAAGAACGTTTTCGGATTTTATGCTATTTTTCCGATTTTTTCAAAGTTTCTTGAGTCAATAATTTGCTGATTCTTCAGTTATACGCCTGAC